TCAATAATAATAATTGATATTCAAAAGAGGTATCTAGTTTTAATACAAATAATAAAAAAAATAATAATATTATTTGAGAATATATAAAGAATAAAATCAAGAAAATATTAAATGAAATTTAGATAATGGAGAACTTTTTAAATAAAAGGGAAGGGGAGATATAAGAAGGTAGTAAATTAAACTGGATGTAAATTTAGAATTTATAATTCAAGAGTTAAATTGTATATAATATAATTCAAATAAGGGTCTGGATAATGATAATATGGATGGTAGTAATAGATTTAATAGTAGTAATAAATTAAATCAAATAAACTAAAGTAATCTAAATATTTATATTCTATTTAATAATAAATTAATCTTTAATAAATATCGAAATATTAATTAATTGGATTATACTCAAAACACAAACTATATATATTGGATAATAAAAAATAATTGAATTTATTATAAAATATAGGAATTATATTATTAATACCTTTAATTCTTTTTTAAGTATTTGAAGGAAGAATATATAACTTCAAAATAAGATGGGTTTATAATCTGAGTGAATTAATTACTATATTAAAAGCTGTATAATTTATACTAAAAGTAAGAGTGTAGATGATTCCTATAGCTATAGATTATATAGGGAATTCAAATAATATAAAGGAATAAATAAGAGAGAAGAAAAATATTTAAGAAAATAATATCTCTTTTTTCCTCTAAAAGAAAATTAAATATATAATTTAGGTTTTCTAAAGCTAAATATTTAACAACTTATAGAGCCAATTTTAATAGAATCAAAAATCGAAATAGAAATAAAGAATAGGGGATATCTTTGATAACAATTTATATTAGAATTACTATAGAAAGAAACTTAATCTATTTTAAAAATAAAATACCCCTATATTTTGCTTTTATAGATTAATATTAATTAGAAATATAGTAAAAAATATAGCTCTAATGTTATTATAAGATAGTGTTTAGATAATCAAAATCAATAATTATTATATATATTTTATTATTCTATTCAATCTTAATCTTTTTTTAAATAAATAAATAAAGAAATAGAACTTTTTATTATTTTATTTAATATTAGAATCAAGAAAAATTAATGATTTAGATTCTTTTCTGTAATTTATAATAAATGAAATACTGATTCTAAATAAAAGTATTTATAATTTAAATAAATATAATAATTCTAAATATCGGCTATATAATTCCTTTATAAAAAAGCTGTTTATATTATATATATAAATTATTATTATATTTAGAAATAGTTTTAGAAAAACTAAGATTATAGGATTAAAGAAACTTAGTAATATGTATTGTTTATATTATTATTATATAATCTATAATATTTATAAATCTAATAGTAGTTTTTATTATATTTTATATACTATAGCTCAATTATGAGATAAGGGTTTAGAATTAAGGAATAATGTTTGATTTTAATTGAGAAAATAGGAAGGAATATAAGTGAATAAAATAATAAAAAATAAATATTAGAGGTTTATATATAATTCTATATTATTCAAATTTGAATTAATTTATTTTATAAAAGTATTAGGATTAATATAATATATTGTATTTTATAGAATATAATATAGGATTTTTATTTTTTATAGGAAGATAAATGGTTTAATTTGGATAATAAGAAATTCTATAAAAAAAGGATTAAAGAATTAAAAAAAAAATAGAAATAATAAGAAGATAAGATATTATTATTAATATTATAAGGAGGAAATCTTTTATTATATAGAGTAAGAAATATGATTATATTATAGATATTAGATTTAGAAAATATTAAATACAATTTAGAGAATTAAAAAAAGAATAAATTGAATAAAAAAATGTTTTTAATATTATATATTATATTAAAAAAAGAATAATATTGATTAGGTACTATTTAAGAAGAGATAAGATATATAATTCCCTTATAATTTGGATAAAATACTAAATATATAAATAAATATTGAAAGAAATATAAAACTGTAGAATAAAAGAAATTCCTAATATAAAATAGAATTATTTTTTAATAAATCTATTAGGATTTGAATCCTATTTAAAAAACTTTATTCTACTAAAAAATATATATATTTTATATTACAAAAGATTAATATCAAAAAAAGATATAAATAATTTTGAATAGAAATCAAAGGAATTCATATAAATATTTCAAGAGTTATATTATCAAAACAAAGAAAATCATATAAAAGTATATAAGATTAATTAATACTTTTTGTTTTATTTAAATATAAAAATTCAATTTCTCGAATTTTTATTTATATACAAATAGAAAAATTCTAATACAAAATAATAATACAAATTAAAGATTTAAATCTAGGATAGGTATTTTAAATATAACTAATAAAAAGATATATTAGTATTTATAAAAGTATAGTAATTAATATGATTAATATGAATAAGGTTTTATTAAATCAATTAATACAAATAGAATATATAAATTACTTATTAGAATCCAAAAATCGCTATAAATAGAAGAAAAGCTATTTAGAGTAAAACCTAAAATTCCTAATAATATTTAGGGTATTTTTTGATATAAATCTAAGTTGTGTATAATTCAATCTAATTAAATAGTATTTTAGAGAGGAAGATTTAAAACAATAATTAATTAATAAGGATTCTATAAAGCTCTTCAAAAAAGCAAGAATTAATATCAATATAACAATAAGAACGAAAATTGGGTAAGGTATTTCAATAAAAAATCATAATAATTTATATATACAATAATATTTAAAAAAAAGAAACCAGAGAGTGATATAGAAAAATACAAATTATTATATAAAACTACAATTAGAAAGAGATTATAATAATATAGAAGTTTTACTCTATACAAAAATATAGGAAATAGAACTTTTTAATAATTGATAAATCTACTAATAAAAGATTTGATAAATTGAAGACTATAAAATTGAGAGAAATAAGGGATATTATTAAAAGAATAGAAATAATAAAAAATTGTGAAAATTATTAGAATAGATTTATAACATTGATTTTATAGAATAAGCTTTATTTTGATTAGAAAATAGAAAATATTTTATATTACAATAATATTACTTTTATATTTATTTATAATTGGATTCCAAAATAATCAACTTTATAACTATATTTTCATTTTTTCTATCAAAATTCAATAATAAACAGGTTACAAAAAGAACCGATTTGATTCGTTAATGATAAAGAGCTTTATTCATTATTAACGAATATATATATCAATATTGTAATATACGAAATAGAAATTTGTATAGAGGTTTATATTGAATTTCTCTTTGTCCGGAATATTAACTTTGCCACCACAGGGATAGTGCGGGCATCTACAAAAACTTGTGGTTTTATTGAAAGGATTTAGAGATCCTTGAGGCTAGCCAACATAAACAACTGAGCCCTCATTGACCAGAGGTATCATCGAAAGATTTGTTTACCCATAAGATATCAACTAATGCAACGCAACAAATCTATCCATGCTGAGCTTTTTACTATCATGTAATGAATCAATTTCTTGGTGACCAAGCTTCTTTGAAGTTTGAGCAGCCTGCTTGATTTTCGTACCAGCTATTTCATACGAAGGAAGCTATACCGTCCTATCTCTCATATGCACTTATCCCCACCTTAGTGCCAAGCCTCTTAGCTGCTATGGGATGATCTTCCTCGGATTTCATCAGCGCTAATCTCATTATGAAGTAATGGGAGTTATTGTTCAAAGAGTTGATTTATTTATCACCTGGAAAAACAAAATGTTTTGATATCTTGTCGTTTCGGAGGCGTGGTCGGCGTGATGCGCCTGATTCCGAAGGCGCAAATAAGGTAATTTATGCTCCCTATATTGATTGCAATAATTATTAGATTTCATTTGCGAGGCTCTCCTCATAATTCTGACTATTGGTAACTATTTTTGTGTTGCATTTTATTGCGGGTCACATCCGTTCTCTGGGGAGGCTCGATGGAATCGCAAAGAGATGGATGGGTGGATAGTTGGAAAATATATTCGCCGCAACTATTACTAGAACTGCACCTTAGTTTTCGTGAATGAGAAGGCCATTATATGTAGTGGACTTTAATCTGTATTTTTTGGCGTTACTGGCCATTTGCCATCTTGAATTAAAAGGACATTATGCTAACACGAGGTCGAGTGAAACTTTCCTTCAGCGCTCCGACAGAATCCACATAGAATGTCAAAAGCTAGACTTTGCGTGCCTATGAAGGTAGAAAAGTGATTCGATAGAAGGAAATGAAATTGAAAGAAAGATTTGGGTCGCGATCGGCACCTGATAGACTGGCGTAGATCAGCTCTCATAGAGCTGCGAAAAATGACTGTGCAGGCTTTCTTTCTTTTCATCGTGTAATGACATGTCATAAGATATTGTCTACCTGCTAGTTGTCACTAGCCAATATTATGACCGATAATTTAGTTTTTCTGATTCTTTTTTTGGGTTTCTAAGCATAAAAATACCCGCGAAGCCCCTTTTGATATCAACAAAACTATAGACTAATAAGCACGGTAAGTTAAGGGAAGTTTCAAGTCATATCATTGGTCATACACTACAAATAAATTGACACTTCAGAGGTTGAAAACAGAAAGTGCAAATTATACACAATCATATTGCTTGAGCTCAAGTCAACTTGTTCACGCATGAAGTTATCACATACTCAGCAATTTGCATTTCATTATCTAACTTATATTTTAGAAGAAGTAAAATCTAGATATCGCGAGAGTACCAAATCATCAAATCGATCTCTCATTTAGTTAATCACGCTGTTATCTGCTGATCAAGAGATTTTAAAGGGAGTATGGCCCAGATCCCCAGAGTCTGATAGTTTGTTTGATTCACCAAAACGCAATCGATTCTGCTTGTTCAGGCTGGCTCAAAATCACGAGTTGGCGCGCTTCCTTGTCATACCCATTGACTCGTCCGTGGAAATGTCTTGGCCCAGCTCAAAAAAATCTTATTGGGCTTCATCTCAGCACTAGTAGGGGATATAGCACAGGTGCTTTCATTCTAGATTTCTGGTTCTCTATTTCGAGATTGAAAATGGTTGGCTTCGATGGGAGACATTTCATCTTCACTCGTATCATCTGCATTGCCCTGCGTATTATCACCGCCCTCGATCCAGATTTTGGTTTCCAACTTCACCATTCGATCGTAGAGTTGATTTTTGGCGTTATTCTTGTGAGGTTTGATGCTGTTATGTGATGATTGCGAGACGCTGTCTTGGAATTTAACCCGGCGTTGGGAATCATAAGGGGCTTCTTCTAACATTCCTGCTCCCGCTTGTTCTCCAACATTCGCCTCCTTCCACATCTTCGATTCAATTGCGACCATGCGATGATAGTATGCTTCCGTCTTGGATTTGTGAGTGACCTCAGCGCTCTTACAAGCAGAGGTCTTAAGAGCGTCAGAAAATATAACATGATTCTGCGCACCGTGAGATTCCTCGTCCGACAGATCTATCTCAACATTCGCATCGTGTCGGATTTTTGTTTCGATTGCTACCATTCGTTGGTAGTATTCTGCGTTCATATGATGATGTTGATGAACAGTCTTCGTCTCGGGTTCGAATTGGATATGGCGTTGTGCTTCACAACGCTCCTCTTGATCTGACATCTCCGACTCATCCTGTGATGTCATGCTAGATTTGATCCACATTTTCTTCTCTGCAAATACCATTCGAAGGTAATACTCGTCGTTTACATGCTTGCGGGTAACCGTTGGTCTATTGCAGGGAGACTCGGTGATACTGGTGTCAAAATGGACTCGACGCGAAGCGCCAAAGTGAGAAGAGGCAGGCATTTTGATAGTGATTTCGTATGTTCTCAAGATATGATTGAAATCAGAGATCACTCCCTGCAATAGATTTTAGATCACGTCTCTGACTATTGATGTTCAAACTAATGGACCAAGAATGTAGATTTTGAGTGGCAGACTGAATGGTTTTATCTATAAATGGATGCACTGAATTTAAGTTTCCATCAAACCCGATACGGCCGATTGAGTAACTTCTAATAAGACATAGACGTATTGCAATAATAAGAGCCGTAATATTACATAATTACTGGGAAAATAAGCCTTCTTGATTCAATCGGATGTGTAGTAAAACAACAAAAGCTCATGGCTGCCTGACTCAGTAATTTACGGCAAAAAAAGGTAACTGTACAAATTCAAAACCGTACTAGGAATCTGGAGATCTGGAGTAATCTACAACGCTTAGCTATTAGCCGAAACCCACACGCACCCACACGCAACCAGATATTCGGATATGCGGATTCAGAAAATGCGGAGAAAACAAATACCCAAGTCATAGGCACGCCCTAATCAAAATTTTATGTACTTTGGGCTAGATTAGAAGATTCTTCGCGTCTGAATTTGACTAAATAATAGAGATTCAAAGACCACCAAGAAATGTTGGTAACTGGCACCTAAATTTTGATTTCCGCATGCAACAAGATCGGTAATTTGAAATTGAACCAAAAAAGTCACAATATGTCTCAATGGTGATAGTAAAAATTTCAATTCCTAGCCTAAAATTTGGATTACTCAGGTATTACGACCATAATGGAATAAGTGAATAGAAATCCCATCAAGTTCTCGAACCATCCCTTCGCGCCCCTCCCCGCCTCCCCCCAAAAAGATCTAGTCATTCGCTAAATCCGCTAGATCCACTAATCGAAACGCCTTTCGAAGATTCCCTCACATATATGTGTAGGCAGATCCTTTGCCCATTATTCTCAGCCCAATCACATGATGCCACATGAGTTGATGCATAACTAGTATTCCCTTGATCCTGTCTCTCTACCACCAGTCAGGATGCTTTCTATTCCCAGAGAAACAGCTCCTGAGCATTGGTATTTTGGTGTGACTTGACAGGATTTCACTCCTCAGGAGTGAGCGATCCAAAACACAAAGCTTTTTTCGCAACCGCAACGCCCTTGGATACCTTGTCTTGGTGAATTTTTTTCACTGGAGAAATAGGACGTTTAAGGCCGCTGCGTTTATTGTCCGAGGTTTCTTTAATTGTTTCTTCACTCCATTCAATATGGACTGAGTCGACGTCATCTTCGGAAGGCTCATCGTATGTCCTGTTTTCATCTTTATAGCTTGCCTCCCATCTGAGTTTGTTCCATTGCCTAGGATACTTTTTCTTGTATTGTTCGAAAGCACCCTCGACCAAGTTGTCGCGTTCCATTTTCTCTATGAAATAGAGTCTATCCTCGGCATTTTGATAAGTGTTGTCGAGATTTTCTGTGAACCTGCTTGGGCGCTGGGCACGAGGAGTCTTCTTGGCGGAAGAAGTGCTCTTCGAAGTGTTGAATAGGTCTCTGAGTGTCATTTTGGATGCCATTTTGGATAAAGAAGACATCGTGGAAATAAAATCAGGTAACGATGAAAGTTGATTCTTAAAGGGAGTTGTTTGGAGATGTGCTGGGTTGGTGTTCAAGTATTGAAATCTTCAAGTCTTCAAGTCTCTATATTCGTGCTGAATGTTGATGTCTTTCTGGATTTGTAGATGAGCGAAAGACTTTCTTTTATCTCTCGTCTACGCCCCGTCTTGAATACAGAAACTATGATTCTACCGTACTGCCCGTACTGTCTGTAATCTCAAAGACGCAACCCTACCCTAGTTTGTGTATCATTAAAAGATGCTCCTATCATCAATGAGAACCAGCCGTACGCCGTTATGGCTGTGTGAATATAGATTCAAGATCTTGAGTCTAGCATTGACCGTAGCAGATCCATGTGGAGACCGCATACTAAGCGATCAAAATAAGACGTCACTGAGGTGAAAATATACGGAAAAGGCCTTGTTTCCACTATCATACTTCACAATCTGTCTCAATAAAAATGCAAAAGAGTTCCACGGCAGTCCTGGTTGAGAAGATGTGTTTACTAACAACACATGTAATTGTATCAATGTCCATGAGTTCTGCAGCTTCCGCTCACGTAGCTGACACTGTAGGGGCCGTCAAGTGTAGTAGAGGACCAGACCATCATTAACTAAGTTATCGGCAAAATAAGCCTAAACGAATGTTATCTCTAATTGAATGCAATCAAAAATATTGCGGAAGCACAATAATGCTCTGTGGAATGCCCATAATATCATGAAACTATCAAAAGTACAGAAAATAACGGGCTCAAGGCTAGTTTGTCTGCTCTTGTTTTAATTGGTAGTTTATCCACCTCCCCAATATATGTCGGAGCATCTCAATTTGCAGCTCGATAGTGAAGATAACATCGCAATATTTCACATGAACTCTTTGAGTGACTTTGGTCTTAAATGTGATTCTATCAGCTTCCAATTGACGTAAAAGCAGATTAGGACAAACTTAGTACCTGACAAGTTTCTCGCCTTTTCTAGTTCTTAATTCCTCATCGGCGAGAAAACCAATTTCCTCGGGTGGATATTTCCAGAGAATATAAATCCAATCGTCTAACATCTCTACCCACTATTTTACACATCTCTACTCAAGCTGGCTAAAGCTTGCCGCAAAAGATCAGGAGAACAAATCAAGACCAAAACCTCCTCTCCGCTTCCTTCTCAGCCTCACTCATCTCGACAAACCCATCATTCGCCGCGTGCCACTCTATCGATCCATAGATTACCTGTCGCCTACAGGTAGACGACTTCTCGCGTCGATTTTTAGGCTTCGCAGTGACTGAAGAGACACTGACCGATGTCTGGCTATCTGTCGAGACTGCAGTTTTTGGTCCCTGTTTCACATTAAACTTGTGCCCAGTTTTCTTCTCAAAATCTTGCGCGACGAGGGTAATGATACTACCACGATAGCGATCAATAGATCCTCTGATATTTTGCTCCGTTTCGACAGAAGCTCGAATGGCATCTCGAAATTTTTGGGGACGAGGCGCACTTGGTGGTGAGGGGGGTGATCGAGGAGATGAAGAGATCGGAGTCGACGGAGGCGACATTCTTGTGAATCGTATGTCTTTGTAAGGTTGCAAAGGTAGTGGATACTCTTGGATGATTACGAAAGATTGTGAAATGAATTTTTGAAATTTTCACCGACTGGCTTCGATGATTCCGATCTTCTTGATCACTGAAATTAGAGTATTATGTCGACTGAACTCTTACGACTTTCGAAACCAATGGCCCATATATATTAGCAATCTGAGCTTCTTCATTTTATACAGCTTCACTCTTGCGAGTGAAGCTAAACGCCCACGATACAACACCTTCGCCGTACACGAAGATTTACAATATGCGATCGTATTCACCACCTCTTTCGAGACTTTTACTGACCATTGTCCCCTGTGTGACAATCAATCATCAATGTAGAACATCGTTGAAAAGAGAACCGTTAGTATGTGGAACGATTGGAATAAGATGATTTATGCTACGGGCTGTATCAATAGACCAAAGAATTGGAACAATTGAGCTATACTATGATGTATCTCGGCAGAGAAGACAGAGTGCTTCAGATTGGAAGGTTAGACCTGTTATGATCTTACATATCGGTCTCAAATGCGCCTTTGCCGGCAGTCTTATCCAAATTGTGATATTTTCATCTTGTAAAACTATGACACGCTTATGTTGAACATCTGACAGGAATGCAAGCTTTTTGCATAAAAGCATGTGATAAGAAAAAGAAAAAGAAAGAGAGTTGAAATGCAAAACGGGGAAGAGATATTACAATATCACAAGCTGCATGTAATCTGTGATCACAGCTCTTTTCTCAGAATACCCAGTATACATATATCAGTTGAGTAGAAATAATGTAATAAAAAAAAGGCCGTCCGAGATCGTCTAAACAAACATTTCCCTTGAGCTTTTCCTGCCCAGTCTATCCCAAAATCCATCCCAATCCTCATATATAATCAATTCGCCACAAATGGGTATACTACCAGCATATAATTCAAACACAACCCTCTGGTGCCTCCCAAGCTTAGGCGTTGTTTTCCGTCAAAAAATCTCTCGAATTTACTGCTGATGAAGAAGCCTTGGTGCTCTTCGACTCACTCGTTGACGTTGACGCAACGCTCACACATTCCGAGTCCAATTCATCGGCTCTTACAAGTCCCCAACCTCTTTCTAGAAAGCTTTCCCTTTCCATAATTGATTCCTCGTCGGCATGCTCAAGCTTTCCATCACTAATATGATGCGGTATCTCGTTGGGCGATAATAATCCACCGACATCTCTCGTCTCACCTCTCGCGCCATAAAGTTCCTTCTTCCTGCCTTTGGTTCCTTCAACCCACCCCAAAGCATTCTTCAGTACTCGTTCCCTACAGTATTCTTTGAACTTGTTGTCTCCAAAATATACAAGATTCTGAAGGAATGCACTTCTTTGTCGTTCCCGGTGTCGACGTTTGACATTCTCCACTGCAAACGCTCGGAGCGCTGGCCTAAGCTCCATTGTGCCGGCTAGCTTGCGCCTAGGTCTATGAATACTTTCTGAGGTGAGCTGAATATTTTCGCTTTGTGATGTTGACGGTGGAGATACCGGAGGTGAAATTGTTTCGGCGAGGGAGACAGCGTCAAGAAGAGCACAGTTGGCGCCCTTCCCTAAGGTCGTCATAATGCTTGAATCCAATGTCAGTCACATGTCACCGATATTCCTGATGTCTGGAGGTAAAAGGTACGTACTTAAAGACTGCATCCCCTATTAACGTTACACTGGTTGAGTCCCATGGCTTTACCGAATCACACTTCTTCACCATATGTAGATACGCCGTGCTTGTCAAACACATCTCAGCCAATTGTAGAAAGTTGGGGTGTACATTTCGATCGGTTTTTGAACGAGCAATGATCTCCGTCTTCAGTTCCACGGGAGTAAATTCCTCGGGCGGTTTTGTCTTGTTGATGAAGGCGCTAGCTGGGCTGCCGTAACCATACATGATAAATGATTCAGAAGGCTCGATCTCATCCGCTGTATATTCTGTTGCCCAAGGCTTCATTGGATTCTGCCAAGAATGCACCAATATATTCTGATTTCCAGGACAAAAGGCCTGTATTTGGGTCAGTACTCTGTAGAAAGTTGCTTTTCAGAGGCTTGGAAAGACTATACCATAACTCCACTATGCGAACCTGCTAATTTGAATGTTTCCCTTGTCAATGGGATTTTGAAATATATGACTGTGACATCCGTGGGTCGTATTCTAGAGAGCGGGAACATTTGCTTTCTTACTTGAGAATTAATACCGTCTGCGCCAACTAATAAATCGCATTCGTCTATCGACCCATCTGTGAAATGTACTCTTACTACTCCATTTGGTAATTTCTCATATCTGTCGAACTTCTTCCCGAAACGCGCAAAAGATTCGCTCCAATGCAATAGTCCTTCCCGGAGGCGCCAGCGCGATACAGAAAACTGATCTTGTATTTCCTCTGGCAGCCACGTGAATATCGGATCGCCATTGCTTTTCACAAAGTTCATCTCCTGGCCCCCACCAGGTTGAATACCAATACTAGGCGCAATTTCCTGCCACACATCATGCTGCAGTTTTCCCTTAAGATTTCGGAGAACAAATGAAGATAACATAACACGATATCCCGAAAGCCTGTCAGTCGGACCTATGCTACGCTCATAGAGCGTGACTTTGATACTCGGCACATCTGTAAGAAGTTGTCCTAATGTTAGACCACTTAGTCCACCACCGATGATGATGACTCTAAGTGGCGCGCTGTTTTCGGTTGTGGTCATTGTTGATAATTGAAGTGTAAGTTAATCTTGTAAGAGGATTGAAATTAGAGGAAAACAGAAATTTAGTAAAGGAATTCTGGGGCAAAGATGTATTGAGAATAAATATCAAACCATTGTAAATGCATCAATTGCTTGAATATGCATCGGCTTCACTACCGAATTCCCCTGTCTAACATCATACTATCATACAGACACTTCCATATTACATCACGGAACGCTCAACAAAAGTAAAGCATTGTCAAAAAAAAGTATGCATAAGTAGATTCAGATGTTTGAAATCGTATGGAATTCGTTCATTGTAAGAGTGTCCGAAATAATTATGAGACGATAAATCATGCGATTTTAAAAACAGACGACCCATTCAGTGGACTGCCAAGATGTAAACGAACCAGACTAATGAAACGCAAAAAACATGTGTCAGATTTCAAATCCCTGAACAAAAACTTCCGATAATTAGCGGCAATTTTTTTCTTCATGTCGGTAATATAAATGTTGGTGTTGTAGATTTCCCATTCTGCAATGTTCTTTCAGCGGACGTGGAATGAAGGCCCTATGGGACATTGCCGGAGATGCCCGGCCGGTTAAATTGCAAATCCAGATAGTATGATAATGAAATTGAAAAGTTGCTTTATGTTGTCGGGTCCAAATAATTTTCATTTATTACGAGTCAGTAATGCTAATTTGCGGGATGTCGGATGAGTTGAAAATGATTCCGCGTGATTTCCAAATGACTAGTATGACAGTACTAGCATTATGGGTCAATCATTCTAGAAGAAATCACGACACCCATGCATACACCTCGGAATTCTGTGACTTTTCTAGGTAAGGCCTGGTGGGTCTCAAAGACATCCGCTCCCGAGTTTGCCATGCAGGGACCTACGTCAGACCTGTGTCCGTCTTAAATGCTTGAACGGAGCATGTGATAAAGTTACAGACATCATGTTTCATACCACGAAGAACGCTATTCTGGAAAAAGTGTGTTATATCTAATTTCCTTTGGACGTGTGCAACATATTAATCGTATCAAAAGAGCGAATGCATCTCAGTCCGCGGACATTTCATAGAAGATTTGATGTAGACTTTCGGAGGGTAATCCTGTCTCCGTTGTACTTTGTTCAGGTGTAAGGTATTGTTGCAATTGCCGTATCTCTGTTTGCCTTTGTGCAATGAGTGCAGCAACATCTTTCGAAACCGTGGGTGGAGGGTAAGAGTTTTCTGAGGGAACTTGTGGGTTATCAATAAGAGCTTCGAGCTTGGGTGTAGTCGTATTTGCAGATTCGGTCACAAGTGGGGAAACTTGAGATTTGCTTCTTTCAGCGCCTCCATCATCTTGGCGTGGAGAGAGAAGTAGGCCTGGCGAAAACTCTAAGGTGTTTTGAAGTAGAATATCAGTTCCACTTAGCTCAATGGGTCTGAGGCCCCTGAATATAGATCCTCCAAGCTCCTGCCGCGGAATCGATGAATCGCTTCTGTATACGGTACCCTTCTGCCCACGGCCGAGTTCTGCTGCAGTACTTGATCTGTATTCATTGTCTTTACTGTCCTCACGCTCATGATAACGTCTCTCCATCTCATCAAGCAGCTTGCGAACGCGGTGTTTGCGTTCTTCTGATATATCAGTGGTGTCAGAAAACCCAATTGTTGCAGGCATCAATAAGAATCCCCAGCCATGTGAGTCTTCGCCTTCATCATAAAGTTCTGCTCCTGCTTCCATGAGTATCTCTAAAATTTCCGGGTGCCCATAGTAAGCAGCATATCTTAAAGGTATGTAACCAAATTCGTCACGTTCCTTAACAGATGCGCCCTTCTTCATCAGTAGTTTAACAAGGTCGAGATGACCAGCTCTAGCAGCAATACACAAAGGCGAGTCTTTATTTGGTCGATCTCTGAAACGCATTCTGAGAGGCTCATTGTACGATAATAACTTCTCCACAATTTGGACATGCCCTTGACGACAAGCAATGCAGAGTGGTCGATCACCACCAAAGTCCCGCTGATCAATCGCAATTCCCTTACCATGCAGAATTTCCACGATACGCACTGATCCCTTCGCAGCCGCAATATGAATTGGCCGTCGACTCTCGCCCTTAGTCTCTTCCTCAGCATTTGCCCCAGCACTGAGTAGCAGACTCACAATATCGGGGCTATCGGACCCGCAGGCATAATGAAGAGGCGTTCGGCCTTCTCTGCACCGACGGTCTAAGTTTGCTTTTCTTCGAAGTAGCAACTCAACAACGCCAAAATGTTGGCCGATAACAGCAAGATGAAGCGGTGTCAAGCCATCAATATCACTTTCATATATTGACAGTTTCCATTCAAGCAGGTAATTCACTACTTCAACATGGCCGTTGCGAGCAGCATAGTGTAGAGCATTAGCCCTCTTTCCATCGGTGCTCTTCGGATTAACCTTTCTCTTCGAGAGATATTCTACTATTTGTAATTGACCTGTTGCGGATGCGCAAAGAAGTGGGGTTTTGGAATTGTTGCCCGGGACTTCAATGTTCGCGCCTTTCTGGAATAGGTAGTCAACCACATTTTGGTGACCATTCTCACAAGCATAATGTAATGCAGTCATGAATTGATTTTCTCTGGCTTCCATGTCAGCGCCATTACGAAGTAGAATTTCAATCATCTGCTTGTCTCCCTTCTTCGCTGCTGTATGCAGAGCCGTGCATTGATCATTGGATCTTGAGTTGATTTTTGCACCTCTTTTTGCCAATAGCTCGACAGATTTGACGTGCCCATTATATGCAGCTGTCCATAAAGGAGACCATCCGTCTTTATTCCTTGATTCTATGTCAATGTTTTCATTGAGAAGGAGTTGTAAAGTAGAATAGTGATCCCGAGATGCTGCTAGATGTAATGGAGAGTCTAGATTGACATCTCGAGTAGTCAAATCTGCATTGAATTGAAGAAGAAGATCAACTGATTGAGTGTTACCGCAATGGGAAGCGACTGCTAGAGCAGTTCTTCTGGTACCACCATGATAGGCTTCTATATTATCTCCATTTGACAACAAGGCCTGGATTTCTACACCAGATCCTGCCTGGGCTGCTCGGACAATCGTGGGCGTTTGGAGTCCATTTTGTGAGCTAAAATCAATGCTTTGTTTGAAGTTTATGTCTTGTCCTCGTTTCAATCGATTGACAGTAGGGAAACTCGGGCTGGTGGACTTCACTCGATCGGGGCTTGATAATAAACTAGCAGCACTGAAAGTGTTGATCTTTCCAAGCCGAGTAGGCCAGAACCTCTTCCTTCGAGAACCATCTGATTTATCTTCTTGCGGTAATGATTCTCCGGAAGAAGAAGATGAGGATAACCATCGTTTGACCATAGGCTCTGACTTGGCAGAATCGGACGCAACGCTGCGACTACGATATATGTTGAAATTATTGAATTCCGGTAAAAGATTTGTTTGACCAAGGTAGGGACGATTGTCCAAACTGGGGCGATGGCTTGAAGATACTGGGGATCGTGGTTCAGACAGCATTATTCCTGCTTCATAGCCTTCGTCAGTCGCCGCAGTATTGTTTGTTTCTTCTGGAAGCTGATTTATTTTGTGTGCGAGAGCTCGAGTTCCCTTCACTGAATCTGTGTTGTTGTATGGTCGAGAATCTTGTAGTGTGGGATCAAATTCAAAAACCGTTCCGCCAATACTACTCCCCAATATAGATTGACGTGCGCTTCTCGAAATTTGTGATCCGGCTGAACTCTCACGTAGTGATCTTGTATCGTCGGCAACTTTTTGTATCAATCTTCGGTTCTCTTTGAGTGCTAATAGAGACTTTTGAGTTACTGCATCACGACTAATACCATGAGCATATTAGCTAGAATATTGGAATTTGGACGATTGTGATCTTACCATTGTCCTGCCATGAGAAGAAGTTGTAATGCCTGCACTTGGCCATGTAATCTATCTTCGTGAGCCTTCATGGTATCCTCGCTCCATACTGCTGCCACTTTTCCTCTGACTCCAAGTACAATTGGCATTCCATCGTTTGAGTCCCTCGTAGCCACTGTGAGATCTTTGACTTCTTCGGAAAGTACATCAATTGCAGCCTGGCATCCATCGAGTGCGACATGAAGTCCATCCATGAACTGCCTTTCCATTGGGGAATCATGCGAATTGAATTCCGCCCAATCTCTAATTTGGAAAACAGCAGCTTTTATTGTGGAAAGTTTGCTGATTATGAGGCGAATTGTTATATCTGCGTCTTTAAACTTTCCCCGCAGAGTGTGAAGGCCTTGAATCGTCGACCCAATGAATTGAGCAATCTGCAGGGCCGATGCCGCGACACCAAGAACAGTAACGGGATCCATTAAGTATAGGATAACTTATCGCGATGGCGAGTCCCAGGCGGAATGAAGATGTTCATTGAATACTGCGACAAATGAAACCGTAGAGCATGAAGAATATTAGTAGTAAGAGTGGTGGATGTTGCACTGCATGCTTGTTCTCTCGACATGCTCAGGAACACTGCAAGAAACACAAGCTGAGCCCCAAGACCCATAAGATGGAATAACGACAAGGATTGAACACAAACACATCCAATTACTTTTCAGATGTGTCCTGAAAGGCCCTGCAGCTTACATATGAAATCAGCCTTAACCTCAAACTGCGCCCACCCTTGTGGAAAATCACGATAACGATGGCAAACATTTCACGAAGGAATTGAGTTCAACGGAAAGAAACTTCATTGGCATAACTTTCCGAGTTGAACCTGTGCCGATGGATTCACACTTGGATGAAGGATTCCACCAAGGCGGCCAGCTGTGTGACTTTGATATACATTATCCTGGGAAGATGTGTACCGTTCACGATTGCTGCACGGGGTTCCTCCAAGCCTCTTGAAGCAATCATGGTAACTACCCGTATCGCTATACTACTCACCATAGAATTTTGAGGTAAAACATCTAGTAATAACAAAGAAAACAAAAAAGCTGTCAAAGTATGGGTTTTATGAAGTAATTCGTATTTCGGTGACTACAAAAGTAAATTTAAACATTGACGGGCTAGGCCGAATTCCCCGGCGCTAAATTTTGATAAGCTCACCGATACACCGCACTTCATCGTGTTAGACACAACTCGATATAACGTCAAATATTACCGCAACCTGGTCCACTAGAGCTTCAATGACGACTTTCAAAACACAACCTATGATATCGAATGAATGCCAGTGACATGCATGAATTGCCGTTGGTCATTGGATACTTTCCCTGCAAGACAAATCTCAAATGTCTCTCCACCAAGCGGTGGAGGATAAGTTAGATGCTCATGTCGTTATCTATCTAGGTAGCCAAGCAAATAATCCGATTTGCTATCAAGGTCTCTCTTCTGGATCCTGTACCATGAGCTCGAGTGAGGTGGAGAGAATTAGTAAATTATCATTCGGTCGAAAACTTCGGTCAAATGAATATCAAATCGTCTCTACATTTCATTAATGATCAAGATCGTTGTGACTGGAAATTTTGACTACCTACCCAAACACAATCGATCTGATCTTCGTCCACGCGAGGGTGCATCAAATGCCAAAATACCAAATTTCTTCACTTCATACAGAAACTAGTAGCATCTTTCCAGCTCGATCCCCTGTGGTTTTCCAAACAAGACCAGACCAGTGTCTGACGCCGGAACTGATCGTTGAACTAGATCCCTATTGACATTAACAACTGGACACCTGCTTCACTGATTTGCGTGTTTCATATCTTTCCTTTTGCAAAGAACTTGCAGATTAATGGAGAGATAAAGTTACAGAATTGAAATGAAAAACACAGACAACTTGATTGCCGATGCGTACATTGTATACCATCTGTCAGGGTGATATCTGACCCGTATTTTGCAGAGACTTCAACATTCTTCTTCCTGCATCAGTTTAAAGCCTGTCTTATCTCTTCTCAGTATAGCATCACGAAAAATACAGTTATATCGAATTCAATGAAGATACGGAACCAGGATTACCATCTACGGGCTATACAAGTAATATAGACCTTTGCAGTATACTATGGGGATCAGATGATCTAGTCCATTTGTTTGAGTTCTTTCTTTCTTCATTCCATGTACGATGATTTTTAAATACTCCACCGCATTGAACACTAATCGTATCCAAGTATAGCCCCATCATCCTCCAAACTGCTCAACAATAGTATTCGTTTCTTGGCAACTCGACTACCCATTCACTCTCCATCTGCTCCCTTTCCAAAATTCCCTCTACTGGCTTTCTTTGAAGCCATTCAAACCCATGGTTAAAACCGACTCCAAAATACACAAATTCGCTTAAGTGGCCTTTTTCTTCGAAGAATTCCTGCATCGCTTTGTTCCAGCAGCCTATGTTCACGCCGCCTGGCATCTCGAATCTTCCTAGGTAAACGATCTCTTGACCATCTGCGTTCTTGAAAGGCAACGCTGCCATAATCTGTTCGTAGAGCTTTGCCCAAAAGCCGGCAGTTGCTGAATCATCATTGTATGTCCAAGCAAATACAAGGGCAGCAAGCAAATTGCTCACATCTCCAGTCTTGTCGTACATCAAGTCGAGACAGCGTTGAATGTAGGGAATAGCGTTCTTTGTGTGACTATAGTTCGGATTGTAGTAAAAAAACTCGGGCCAAAAGGTTGGATCCTGGGTAAGATCAAAGTATGGGTCGCGATGCGTCAGGGGTATTTGGAAATCTAGATAATATGTCTTGCTGAATCTGATGGTACAAAAATTCATGACATATCCCTTGGGGGTCATCGTACTCGCTATTTCAGTTGGTTCTTCGAACATGCTGGTATCGGTAGAGGTAGAGCTGAGTGACGAAAGTGGAGAGGGGGACCTTGATAGATCGAAAAGGTCGACCAAAGGTGTATCATCTGTACATGTGATTATCGAAGAGAAAGCAACGCTTTCCATTGGGTCAGGAGGCGGTATTGTGGTTGAAGTAGAGACTGGCAGGGGGGAATTAGGACTTGAGCCAGCATGTGATTTAGATTGTTTGGTTCTTAGTTCTCTGAAATCCGCTCCTAACTCGGACCATACATCATCAGTATCGATGAAAAGCCGTTTAACCATGGCGAGGATATACCGAAGTCTCGAGCTTGTGTGCATGTTTGTTAGAAGAAGTCATGAATAACTTTGTGATGAGGGGATAAAGTGAACTCTTACAGTAACAATTTAAAGATAGTGCCTGGAACTTGCTGGAATTGGGTAAATCTTGTTCAACGGCCCGAATACTTATGTAATCCAATCATGAACCAACCGATTGTCGAAATATATCCAAAGATGAATGTAAAGTTTGGGCAGCATACGAAGCATGCTATCAAATTCGAGAAGGAGGCAGAATTCTCTTTGAAACCTTTGTATGATTGTTGTGAAATTTTGCGGAGGGAAAAATTGTTATTTCAAGTGCTGACCGAATGTTGGGCTATGCCATTGTCCTTCAGCTAAAGAACAGTCATCGTTGGTACTGTCTATTTATTAGTCTGTTATTTTATTGATGATAAGCGAGTTTCTAAAAGCCACTAAGGTGAACTTTATGCCGTACTTTAAAATTTGACCACTCAGGAAGTCCCAAGAACTGGCGATGCTAGACTTTCAGTTCGTCTTAACCCTGGCTTTCGAGTTGGTGCTATTGGTCTCTGCAGATTTTGTTACAGAATCTTTCACATGATCTTTGTCCTATTTATTCACCAGCACTAACTGTAACAACTGCTGTAGGCAGATAATATTGGTATACATCATAGAAGCGACCATGTGTAAGAGTCAATAATAATATTTTTGTTCCACTTATGCTCCATAGACTAAATAGTGAATAGCCCAGCAACCATTAAGGAAAAAAGAACATATACCATTATTATTACCCTTGGTTTTTTGCAGTGGTCGTCACAAATCCATAAGCTTCCCCCACTTTCCTTTTTTGATATTGACGCAAGCATTCACTAGACTGTCAACACCACAGCACATGAAACTTGACTCTATTTAAGAGAACAGATCTAGAACATCTATTACAACTTCTGATATCCAAAGAGCTTTTTCTGCTGCTTTGAAGATCTTTCATCGCATATCTCTTTAGTATTAGTACTGATGTTCCTAGATCCTTTGTTATGATGTAGTTTATACAATCTTCTTAACATCATCATTTCAACTTCTGCAAAGTAAGTTCAATAACAACAATAGACTCCATGCGCTTGACTTAAGTCAACAACAATAGATTATTTGTACTAATGACGGTAACCAATCCTACCGTAACCATTCCTATCTAGCTCCCTCGACGTTTCTCCTCTTCCAAAGCTTATTTCCTTACAAAATTCAATCTCAGAATGTGCTCCAAATGTAATACCCGCAGAGCATCTGCAAGCTTCTTATACCTGGTATGCCTGAGCTGCCGTCTCCAGAACTTCCGAAGATGCAGTTCATATATGCGCTGCTTATTGATGTTCTAGTGGGGCTCGAGAAAGAAGACACAGAAATTTTAGGTTGGTATGCATGCGATGGTGAATGTGAATATGGAATTCACTGCCTCCGGGCTGTTTGTAAGGTATTATTCAACAGCCTCATTTGACTGGCAGGCCATCTTATTTACTCCTCCTCTAGTAGGCAGTGATAATTGTTTGCTATTGCACTAATATCTGTCCATAAAAGTTATTCACCATTCAAACTTAACCTTCAAATTTTTTCATAAGAGAAATAATCAAATCATGAAATAAAGCCAAAATTCGAAAGAATATCGCCCTCTGAGTTCACCGTAGATCTTTACTAAAGAACGAGACGAATGCTCAAGACCGGTTATATGGAACTACTAGCTACCAAATCTATTTCTACTGTCTCAACAAATGGTACTCCTATCGCTAAAATTTTCACCATCAATAAAAACTTTGGTTATCACCTGATATGGCTTCCAATCCCATACCGTCACCTCCTCTGTCTTTCAGAAATGACAGCACTTGATGATCTGTCTCAAAGCTCTTCTGGTTGTTGATATCATTGAGGTCTAGAATGAACTCCACCTATTCTCAAAGTTACAGCAGTGTACTCAAGCGTACCCTTACAATATGCCCTCCAAGATTTACAAACACTCCTGCAAGAGTGTTTGTTCTCAAGTAAACGAGTCCCTTGAAATTTCAATTACCAAGCTGTATCCACTGATCAAAACGCAGACAATTCGTTCATTTAACTCCATGAACTGACATTCACCAACCCAAATTATCCCTTCTGAGCCTTCTCACCTTGTTTCTTTACTCTCTAAGCATAAAACCACACCAATCCATCCTATTCTTGCTCTCTTCAACTCGAGGAAAGCGGCGTCGACACAATCTAAGGAACTTCTCACCTCCCTCCTCCCAAGACCTAACGCATGTCGAACAAGGAAATTTTGCAATTCAAAGCCTGGATATTGGGTTTCCACATCTAGAATCTTCTGGAAAAAATGTTTCTTTTATATTCCTTACTATGCCCCATCGATAAACTTCAAAATCAACAGTGATAGCACATAAAAACGCCAACACGAACTCCTCCCATGCCTGAGTATCTTGCCAACTCAACATCAATACAAGTCGTTGAGAATCGCGAAAATTTTGAGAGAACAAGTGGAAACTCGCGACTACCTACTGACGACAATACTCGTGAAATCCAAGAAACCAAGGATGTGTTCAAAACAAGAAGTTCATAGCGTCGGTCAAGAAAAACTTTTCCATTTAACCAAACGATGTCGCCAAGCCTTTCTGGATAGTGGAGAATGAGGGGGTGGAGAAGAACACTTCACTTAATACGAGAAGTGGCTCCTGATCGGAACTCCACTTAGAGGATCAAGGATAACAGACCTGGGACACGAGAATGACGCAAGGCAAAATACTGTGAGCCCCTCCGTCTCGCTCATCATATTGTTTTTGAATAATATTCTATTGTTAAGAAGTGGCTCTTTGTAATTTTCTAACATTCCGATTCTATCCCATCCCATCCGCTTCCAGCTTCTACTACTCCCATATATGCAAAAATACCATTGACTCGCCTCCTCGTATCTATGTTGACCAATCCCAGTGATTCCACTCATTAAACTCCATATCATTACCTAACCCATCCATAAGTATTCAAAGCTTTCTAAGCATGCGCCTGTTCCGTGTAACCAGGAGTACCTGCCTCGTCCCTCTCGTCTGTTTACTCCTCCCTAGCGAGATTCTTTGCCCAAGACCTGTGGTGTTCCATGGCCTGCTGATCCCCAGAAATATGTGGTTTCGTTATCGGCCGACAAGCGAAATGACAATTTTCATTTCCATTTGACCCGAAATCAAGGTTCCAGATATATTGCTTATCTGCCCCCCATTTCCTCTTACTACAACTCCAATCCTTTATTTGATCACCACTTTTTCGTATCCCGATCTTTCTAGTCCGCCAACAGCCTTCTCAACCCTCACATAAGCACCACCGAGTTCGGTCACTCTTCCCTCCACAAATCCCACAAATCTCCTTAGACAAAGTCTCTCACTTCTACTCGGCAACCCCATCATTAATCTTTCATCCCCACAACTTCCTACGATCCCCGCTCTGAGAACTTCATCTAACCTCCTTTGCATTGCAATATCATCTCTGAGAATTTGTAAAGCTTCTCTCATTTTAGCCTGGACTTCCAATTTCGTCTGTGTTCTCGAAGTTCCAATAATTTCAGGGCTGAGGGCTGGCTCGCTTGTTTCGGAGGGGGTTTCCAAAGCGGTTTCCGAATGGGTTTCCGAAGGGGTTTCCGCAGTTGGTGTCTCTGTCTCCACACCAGAATCCCGTCTTCGACTTGAGATAATAGCTTCCACAGCCTCCCCCAATACACTTCTGCTCCTCCTCACCAATCCCATCTTGTGAACCATTGTTTTCCCAACCAATTCCCTCAACTTTGTCAATGTAATAATTATTAACTCCTTAGTATCATCACTCAACTTTCTTGTCCGCCATATTGCCATTTCTTTCTTACCAAATAAGAAGGCCAAGTTTGTTGAGAAACGGGTAGTCAACAATTCTTGATATTCGAGTAAGAGTATAGCTTTATTGATGCGGCGGATGAGATGTAAAGTTAGTGATGGAAGGGCAGGCGATAGGGAGGATGAAGAGGTACAGGCTAGAGAAAAGTAACCGGAATCGGAGCAATTGAGTTTTTGGTCGGCATTGAGAGATCTTCGAAGAGGCGATGCAAGTTCTGGGAAAGGAAAAGGAAGGGAGGAGATTTGAATTCTGGTGTAATCTATTGGTTCATGGATGTCGAGAGGTGGGACATCAGTTGTGGTTGTGAGAGCGGGTAAATTCGGTGGGGTTTCCACCATAAAGACATGGTGGACTTGCGATAAGTTACGAGATGCAGGTGTAGAGTCTTTAGGAGGTGACTGAAAAGAGAATCTACGGAAGATTTTTCTTATCGTTTTTCGTCGAGGTCTTTTGGTTGATTGGGGCAACTGCTCAACGGATACATGACTTGACTCCTTGTTGTCCTCGTTTTCCTCAGTAATCGTGCTCGTAATAATGACTTCTTCCGATATAGAAGGTGGTAAAGAAATAGGCTTAGAAGAATCGATATCAACAGTATGCATGTCTTTCTCAGGCAGCGGCAACGAAGGTGATGAGGAAAAGAATTGGGAAAGACGGCGTGTGAAAGGCATCTTCGGGAAGGATTCGGCCTTTCTTTTGACTCTTTCAATCAAATGGTGAGTGGGTATCCCTCCACAAACTTTGACAACAGGTTCGTATGGAAAAAAAAAATGGGTGCCCAAGGTAACTCGTGATGGACAAACGACGAAAATAGAAGGTACGAAGAAGGTATCAATCAGTATAAATCATAAATATAAAAACACAAAAGAAAACAACGTATATGAAAACTTTAAAGCGAGAGTATGAAATGTGTCAGTGAGCGAGCGCAGCAAGCAGGTAAAAATAGAGAAACGGTCAACGATTGAGATAAATGATTTTCCAACAGTGAGTGAGCAATAAGAGGAAAAAGCAACGATTAAGATCAACCCTATCCCGAAAGTAATGTGGCCAAGTCAAAGACTCGGTGAAAAAAGGGAGTGCGGGTCAAGGAGATAATAAAGCCCCTCTTAAAGTTATGTTTTCTTCAAACAACAACAAAGACAGGACAGCCAAACCGTGGAACACGGCAGGTGGGATTGTGGATCGAGGAATTGCCCTAAAACTGGGGACTGTGAAGGAAGCACAAAAGAAGTGGTGACGTGAGCGATCGTTATAGAGGAAAAGAATGACGGAGAAGACAGGGAATGAATGAATGTTAAGAATAACAACGTCTGCTAACCGCCAGGGTACGTTTTGGCTGAATGGAAGTAAAGATTGTCGTTGTAAAAGATTTTATGAGGATTTCCTAGGCAAATAAAAAGTGTTTGGTTGGGTAGTGAATGCACAGGTACATCAACAGATAGATGGAATTGGTGGATATAGAGTCGTGGGGGGGCTGTTTCGACTAGGGTTCTTTCTCACTGTCGATCTATATCTTAATCGTAGGGTTATAAATCCCTGTATCGATTGTGATAAACGACTTGATAGGCTTTTTGTATAGCTCAAGAGGAAGTGAAATAGATGATTGGAGATTCGCCGCGGTAATCATATGATGCGATACGATGTTTTATTACTCGAGCAGGTCGTAAGGAATTATGATCAATAGATGGAATAGACGGAAGGAAAAAAGATATACAGGCACCGACCCAAGTGAGGGAGGAACCAAAGCACGGAGTGGGAAAAAAAGAAATAATACCAGATCTATTCAGCCGTCTTGCATAAAAACGACGCCATTAGCATCCAGTAGGGACTTTCTCGATTACTAATATGGGGAAATTTGAAACAGATAGTCATCCATGATAGATTTGGTAGTCTCGGATGAAAATCTGTTCCTTTCGCATGCTCTTCTTAATCCAAGAGTGCAAATTGCGGTGGCTATCAGGTATACGGAGTTATCGTGAAGGAGTAATCAAGCTAAGGACTTAAAAAGTTACCTCGCAATATAAATAACATAAAAAACGCACCAAACCATTTCATGCCGTGTCTTTAAAGTTTAGACATGCTTTGCACGCAGGCTACAACCCTATCAAACAGACACAAAACGCGGTAGTAAAGATTAAATTCTCCACTCTAGCGATAGTGGTACAAGTGGTGCAAATTTCCCATGTGCTTGGACGATGGTAGCGATAAATGAAATTGCTGGGTCGGTTCGAGCATGTCCTGGCTGACCAATGGTGGAGTCCACTAATTATGATAACAGATCACTGAGGGAAACAAGAATATAACAAGAAAAGCATCATTAACTGAGATGATGAGATGAAATGAGGTGTAAGTTCGGATTTCGGTTAAGATGAAGGGGTCAAACAGGCTTCAGCAGGACGGAAACCCCGGGAGATCAAATCGCTCAAATGAAATTATATATTGAAAATATAAACATTTTATTTGCATTGTACCAGTATGATGATACCAATTTCTGATTTGATATCAAATGTGGAAAATAGTGTGTGTATTTGATCTCTCGGTGTTCCATCCTACTCGACATAGGTTTCTTTTCTTGGGGCTCAATCACCGCCTGAATTAAATCGAAGAGACATTGTTATTAGGTAGTTGACAATGGATGTCAACAATTATAAGTGCGGTCAAAATTAAGATTGCAAGTAGGATACCGCTATTTCGAGTGGCTAGAAGTGCGACTTGGCTCCAAAACTATCTATTTGTACTATCGGCGCTCTATCTAGTTGCAGCCGTAGGAATACGCCAACGATACGTGGTGCTCGTACTCATTTGCTCAAATGTCGCCAGTGCATGGACTTGACGTCAATGACAAAAATTCGTGCTTTTGTGGGTTGGGATCACTGTTGAAGACCAAAAATTCAATGGCGACATCATGACAATTGATGGGGTTAAGAAGAGAATATATAGAAGTTCTGAAGAACTAGGTCGACTTAGAACAAGAGAATAAAGAAAACAACTACATCCACACAACAATTTTCATTTCGCCCCCTTTTGTTCCCTATTACATCTATCCAAACCAACTAGATTGCCAACTTCCTGTTGTTCTTCGGCAGCCCATAAATTACCGTCCAAAAATCCATCACTCATCTCATCCATTCATTTCTTATTTCGCATCCCGCACGGTCTCTAACTTGAGGTGGATACACCGCGCATCGTAAAAATGATATGACGATAAGCAAGCTTATCTACTCATCATCTTCATCATCAGCAACAGCTTCTGGAACTTCATCCAGATTTTCCTCTTCAGGAACAACTCCTCCCTTTATTTCAGCAGCTTTACTGGTAGGTCCAGAACCGCCAACTGAATCCTCGGCAGCGGAATCTTCTTCATCTTCTACTCCATCATCATCGGGTTCGACTTCGGCTTCGGCTTCGTTGTCATCGCCATCTTCGTCGTCGTCGATAGGAACAATTTCATTTTCATCGACAGATACGTCGTTGGTGATGACTTTGCGCTTTTTCGATGGTGGTGCCGTTTCTATACAAGTATTCGTTAGTATGTTTGTAAGAGTTAATGGCTATGAAGGGATGAATTTTTGCAACTTGTCGCATCGCCCCGCATACCTTGAACTTCCTCTTCTTCTAATCCTTCTTCGTCCTCGTCACTATCGTCCTCATCTGATGCAGCAGATACTGCTGCTGCGGCTTCAGCGTCGGAGTCTTCATACCTGTCAAAATGCGCCAATTAGTTACGATTTCATCAATGAAAGAATGAGCAACCAAGTATATCCAATCAAGCGATGCGATGATCCGTAAATTGATACCAAACGAAAAATACAATGTCCAAATGTAACTCATGTATGATCCAATCAACTAACACGCAGCTGACGACTAGATATCATGGATAGAGCTCATTGAGAGTTCTATGGGAAATCAATGAATCGAGGAGAGGTGCAACACTTACTCCTCTTCCTCCTCGCTCTCATCCGAGGGAAGAGCGACGAGCTCCTCGTCTTCAGCCTTTCTCTTTCTTGTACTCATATTGAAGTTGATATATTTCGATGTTTTGTGACAAAAATACTTTAATAAATATATGGATGAGTGTACAAATATATGATGATTGTTTGATAGGTATAAAATTGATAGAGATGAGATGGAAAGCGAATTGAAACCTGTAGAACCCGAACTTGGGGGGGGCAGGAGCTTCAGCTGGGGAAAGAGGAGGCGCTTACTGGCTAAGACTACATTTACACTCACCCCCAGAATTTCATATCACACTTGTTCTCTTGTTCCTGTAAGCAGGAAAGAAGCTTGGACTTGAGCTTCTCAAGACAAGCTTTTTGAGGAAAGTTAATGATTGGGTGTTTACTTGAATAGCATTGAAGCTAGTAGATATAGGGATTAGATATATGCATGTATCCATAGTCGGACTAAGATGATGCAAGGAATGCATATATAATTGGAAAGCAGGGGAAGAGTAGTGATTGGTTCAAGGGGAAATCCGATAGTACACATTGTATGTAAGGAAAAGAGTACATATCATCATTGGGTCAACGGCGGCTGTTGAGAAATCAAGAAATACTGGTAGAGTGTCTGTCGCAAGAGAGTTGCGATATCTTAGGTAAGCATGTGGAGACTAGACCCGAGTTGAGAAGTTTCAGTTCATTTTGTTGTCAACATAGATGTCGAAATTGGGATTTCACTAGCTGGTGTCAAGAGATAGGAGCTTTTAAAATGCTCGATGATCATTCAAAAGAAATTTCGCGACTATCAGCCTACTAACTAGACGTGGAATGACAACGTCCACTATCATAAAACATTTACAAAACAGAACATCAATCGCAATTTCGATCCTTCAATCTTGTTACTGTTAATAGATAAAATGTTCCGGTTCATAGGGTCTTCTTATTGTTAGTGCTTTTCTCTTGATTCCACAAATTATATCTTGATTGACATCTACGCACACGACATTCTTTAGAACTGACAGATTCACGAAATCTTCCAGAAAATGATTACCATGATAGCAACAGCGAGCGCAACAGCATGACTCCTTCTTTCATTACATGTCAAAGAATTGTTAGAACACGTCCTCGAATTGTTGTACACGCAAATTTTTCCTTTTGCATACATTCTGGGACGAGTGTCCGATAGTTCGGGCCAAGAGATAAGATGTGAACTAGCAATTTCTAGAAACATTTCACCATTATAATTTTTATCAAGAAGTTGAAGGATTTCAGCGTTCTAGCGAGTCTCAATAATAGAATATCAATTGTTCTCGAACTAGACTATTGGAGACCCTAGTCTGAGACCAATAGCTTTAGATGCATCTTTCCGTGACGGTTCCCGCCTCCTTCATTTCCAGTTCACATAGACATATCATATTGAGATAGAACACAATCGATTGTGCAATGAATCTAGCGGTATAGCGATGTTTAAGTTGTAGCGTGAATCCATTTCATACTATGTAGACCCTGGACATAGTTAACTCATATTCTGTAATCCACAATGCACTCCGTCGATCATTATCTTTCATTATATCCCTCTGCCTTCTCTCTCAATCGATAATTTGGTTGATTGCTGAACTGTAACTTGCAAACGAACGGTCAGTAACCTGGAACAAATCATGAGACAATTACTTCTGATGGAATCAACAGGCTGAACTCTATGTTTCCCCCATGATATAATATTTGCAATCATCTATTCATACATGGGATCTATTCAACTACATAATGGAATTGTCGGGCTCTTCGCGGATAACTTGTTGTTAGCAATACAGAGCAGAGCTATATCAGTGGCAGCGGCAGGTACAAACTTCAATGGAAATCATTAGAAATAGTCGACTATTCTACCTCCTTGACTTATCACAATTTGGAATGGGTATATGCCCTTCACTCCATCAGGGATGAGTCATACCTCTACTCGTCGGGACGCACAGCCAAGATAAACTCGATGTCGTAGACATAGCTAGGTATGGATAAATTGCAAGAAAGAGACAGTATAATCTACATCTTGGCTAGGAACGGGAGGTTTGAGGAAGAATACGGGTATCAAATCTCGCAAAACTTATGATTTAGAACGTCCGTTAGGTCTGTATATGTATCTTTTATTCTGAGCCTGAGTATATTGAATCCGTTGAAATCCAACGCAAATAATTTGGGAGTTCAATGGTATTATTCTATCTCTTTACTGTATATCTTTGGCGCTTATCGCAGCAGAGGGAAACGTCGGGACTAGCAGTATCTAAAACTTGAATAGGCGGTGGCAGAATTTCGAGACTTGCAACATTGGAGTTCTTGAAGCTAGCAATACCGAGCTAGGAAGGAACTTTTTGAAACACCCAGAAGCACTTAGAAGCCCTACAATGATATTCGACAGTAATTTTAAACTGATGAAGTGCAGAATGGATATCATTCCTATACCAATCAACTTGCTAGGTAGCCCAACCTCGAGTTCCAAGGTTGCCATTCTATATCTATTTAATCACTGAAACCTGCTAGAGGAACAGCTTTCTTACTTATAAGACTTATATAATTTTGCCTCAGGTGGTTACATTGAATCATTATATAATGTGTAGTAACGTAGAAAGATGACTTCCGTTGACTGTACGTAACCCGAAAGTAACATGGCGAGTCATGCATGAACAGAACTATCTACTAATTTCCAATAACATATGATTCATCATGGGTTAGGTCAGGAACTGATTCACTAGTGATACCATAAGCAACTCTAGCACATGTAAATATACCCACATTACCCCAGATTTTCCCATTCCTGATGTAGAATAGAGGAAAAGATGAAGATCAAATGAAAACTCGTTATCACACAGATAAAGTATTCATATTACAAGAACTGCTATCAGATATTTTGATACCTCATCCAAGGTATGAGAGGGCCAAGGAAGAGAAATAGTCACTCCTTAATCGTTGGCCAATTTCCATCCCAATATCTACTCCATAAGTTTTCGTTCATGGCCAAAATCAATCACCGAAACTAGCGGCTCTAGTGCAAAGAAACCAGTTCAAATTCACCTGTCTAGCCCTAGATACTGTTCATAGCACGACTTAAGCGTGAAGGTCCACACTCTTTCAGGTTAGCGAGTTTCCGAGTTCAGCCAAGCGCCGTGTTTTAAATCCAAGATATCAGCACATGACGCGATGTTGGGGATGTAGAAACATCAGATGAAGAAGCGAATATGTTTAGCGCAGCAGTAGTACATGCCTAGCGTGCAATAACGTAGCTTTCACACCAGTTTTACAGTATACAAATTCTTCTCTCTTGCCAATTCCACTCTCTCAATTATACATTCAAGAAATAAATTGATCTTCATAAAGCCACATTACCATCGGATATCACAACTCGAAATCCTGAACAAAAATACATTAGAAAAAATCTGCAAGCAAAGGTAAGCCATTCTATAAAATTCTGCTTATTCAGATAATTTCGAAGTAATTTGAACTACTTAGGTGTTTCAAAGACTCACTTTCTTTGAATGTCTTACAGTCTTTCTTTATTAGACTGCAAACCAAAAAGTAAGTAAAAAGGATTTTGCTAAATACCAACACAGACAAGACTTTCTTCACCATGGCTCCATCAGCGATCGATCCTCGAGAGGAACAAAAGAGAAATGTTACCAGCGCACGAGTTCGTACCAACGGTATCACAAAGAACACAGCAACCAAGCCGAAGATGAACAAAACCACAGAAGATTTAGTCAGGCCGATTGAAGGATTGGTAATAGAGAAGACCGCCAATTCATCATCGACAATAGAAACCACGAATACAGTTTACAACGATGTATTCTCCAACCTTCGCGGTCATTTCCAGAAAGCAGATATCGTCAAGTCTGACGTCGCCAAGTCTGACGTCGCCAAGTCTGGTAGTACAACAACTGCTGTTAAGAATAAACTTGCAAAAAAAATCATTGATCAGGATGAGGATGCCGCCTACAATATGATCAAAGCCCACTTTAGTTCCATGAGCTCGGGAGGCAAGGGGCGCGCTAACAAATGGAGCTTTCTGATGTAATGGCATGCTAACATTTATTTGTCGCTATCCCAGGCCTTTATGAATATTTCTGATAAGCATTTTCAGTCAAGAATCTATGATTGGAAAAAATGTTTCAAGTATCTAATTGATAACACCCCGATAACTCTTCCAGCGAGGACATTGATAATTCTACATATATTTATTGGCATTGTTAATGGCAAAGTTATTCACTTTCAGCATAAGCTGTACCTGCACTTTGCTATGGGACTGGATTCTATTCTGACTTTGTTCACCGTTTTGACGAATCAGTTTTGAACAACCATGGAATTTTTTGTGAGAAGTTTGGAATAATATCTGAACAACGTGTCTATTAGACACTTAAATAGGTGGCCAATCTGTGTCTCTGTACTAGTTCCTTATCCACAGACAACTTTCAGAAGCAATTACCTACACTAATATCACATCTAGCCAGATAAAAGCTTCAAATACACACTTCACAGCCTAATCAATCACCGCAAACATGCCAACAGAAATAACAAAGCAATCTCGCTGGGGCCATAGCGAGACGGCTTATCTTGCAAGTATCATTATGCACACAGTTGATGGGCAAGAGGAGAGACTAAGAATTAAGTCAGTTATTTTTCAAATGACAATTGAACAAGCGAAACATCACATTGGTGGTGTCGCGTTTGCGCAGGACCCATGGCCTATCAGAACTTATACCATTGAAACCATCAGGCAACGGCGGAGACGCATTTTCAAGGCACGCAAAGCAGCTGATCGTCCTGGTGTCGAAAGACCCGCTCAGAAACCCGCTCAGAAACCCGCTCAGAAACCAGCTAGGAAACCAGCTCAGAAATTACAGCCGCAAATCGAACGATTTATCGTACCTTCTGGTGACTCAATAGCATCTCATGACTTTAACATAGAAATGCCTGTAGAATGGCAACAAGAAATCGAAGAAATGATGGCTCCCTTGAAACAGATATGGGCTGAAGAGGACCGCGCTAAAGCCTCCGAATACCAAGCAGCAGTAATGGCCGCAGACCAAGTTCTAGGAGCTGACTTCTGGACTCAGTACGAGGAAGGTGTTGATATGGAGTGATCATCCTCGGATATGGTGGCGGAGGATATGTATACACACATATCAGCATGAACTAGTAAGTAAGTGCTAAAGCGAGATTTAGCTCGAGGCTGGCCCTCGCTATTCAAATTGACATACATTTCCTAAATTAAATCTTATATAAACCCCAAAAAAATTTCCCCGTCTTTCTTTGTGATACAGTGAGTGACTGTGAGTGAATAATTCCTTGTAATAACAAAGGATTCGTCTTAGATAATCTTTATTCCCTTGAAAGATAAACTCTTGTAGGTTTACCGAGGCTTGCATTGTAATGACTATCGTATTAAAGACTATCGAATAAAGAGAAGATACATCTCTTGATGACTAATACTAGGCTAGTATAAATAAGGACAGTCAATCCATTCAACATAAACGAGCAGAGATTACTTTGTTAAATACCATTGTTCTTAACCCTTTCTCAGTCTTCATCGCTCGTCTAATAACTGAACAAAGAAAAGTATTTTTAGAGCAGGTTAACATAAACAATGTAGTCCTACTAAGTGAGCACCAGGCACAGGATCCGTTTGGCTACCGATATTCATCTTGTGAATTAACAAGGCACATCACTTATGCCGTCCTGACTATTATCATTCCGACTACCATCCTAACTGCAATCCTCAACTCACCATAACAGTAAAAGACTATAACCACCAGAAAGAAACGACATACTTCCCCTTTCCAACCCAACAATCTCCAAACTCAACACAAAAAGTTTCAACCGACCCACCAAAATCATCTTTTCACGCCATTATCCATCAGGTATACCAACCTCACAGCGGATCTTCAACGCATACAGTATCTCCCTTGAAAATCAATAAAAAAACATCTACAAGAAATTCAAAGACATCATATTTCGAATGATCCTCTACTAATGGGTATACAAACCGACAGGATACCGCAAAAATTGACTTGACAACATCTTTTGAAACATCAATCCGAACCCTTTGAAAATTGTATTCATGAATTATCATAGACTAAGAAAAAGAACGATGAATCCCAATATCAAACAACCTGAGAATCAATATCTTGCAACTTTAGAAACTTGAGAAGTATCCCGTTAGTTCATGTATCCATATATGATTCCACCTCCCGATGATTGGCGAGAGAGTGCTTTTATGCTTCCCATACAATTCATATTCAACCTATACATATCCTTCATCTGCACAAGATAGACACCTACTCTAATCCCGACCAACAACTAACATCTCAGTTCAATCCCCTTTTCTCAGATTCCTTAGATTCCATAGTAATAACAAAAATATACAAATCATCCAACCATTAGCATCATACAATTCCATCATTTCCCATACTGAACATACTATCCCATACTCCCCCATTCCATCATATCATTTTCAAAAATCCTCATCCTCATATAAACCCCAAAGCAACTATCAACTATCTCCACACCCGCCTCCCCCTTCTTCCTCAGCACTTTCCCCAAAATCCAATCCCAAACTCAAACTCACCACCTCCCCGTATATCCCCGCATATCCGTTCTTTCCATTTTCCATCTATCGTCAATTCATTCAACACCCAGACAATATGAAAAAACATGAGAAAGAGTCATCCAGTCAGCAAAAAAGTCAATCGTTCCTATCTCCTCTTTCCCCTACCTCCAGGATAATATAACATTAGATACTACAATCTCAACTCATCATTATATAATCCCAAGTGCTGAAATTCGTCGAGAAATTCATTTTGATATCTTCAAGTGTTTTTTTTTGGCAAAAGAATTCCAGGTTATCATTAGAGTGATTTTTCTTCTTCTTCTTATCATATTTTTCTCAAATTCCTCGTCGGTGGTGGTAATCGATCCAACCCCTTTCAAACATCGCTGGAGCTAAGCCCGCAGGATCGGATGTTCAGAATCCTCAACCATTCATAGATCGATTCATCATCTATCCACCCAAAATCTCACCAATCCCAAGCTCACCATGGCGCACATCCTAACCTACCACACCCACGGCTCGACCCGCACATTCTCTCCCGCCATCTCAAACCCCTCTCCCCCTCCCTCTCCCTCTGCCTCCCCCACCCAACACCCCCCCAAACCTACGCCGCCTACGCCGCCCGCTACACGCACGTCTACCCCTCCCAGTCCAAAATCTACTCGGGGATCCTCCCACCCACCTCCCGCCACCCAGTAACCCCCATTCGCGCCACGTTCTCCTCCATCCTCCTCGCGCAGCGCTCCGCCCTCAAGCGAATCGAAACCCTCAAAGCCACCAATTCCGATCCAGACACCTATTATCTCCCCATCAACGCCGAGCCAAAATTCCGGGCCGAGCTCAACGACGGAGCAGGTTTTTATCTGGACATCTATTCTTCCTCCGAAGAAGTAATTTCGCTTCTGCACAAATGGCCATTTGACGATGCGACGAAAGGGATGATTCCGAGTAAACGCTTGCCGTATGTAGATTTAATCTTGCAGTTTGACCAGTTGAATGAGAAGTTGCATAAATTGGGACAGGCGAGTTTGGGATATCATGTGAAGTATCATTGTATCCCGAGGAGTGAGAATCGAGCGGTGGAAGTGGATGTCATGGCGGAGCTGGATAGATATGCTGCTAAGCTGGAGAGAATCATGAAAGAGGTGGTGGAAGATGATGAAACGGAGGAAGAACTGGAGGAACTCCCAATCTTGAAGACAACGCCGATATCGAAATCAGGGGGAAAGTCAACACCAACCCCGGTATCGAAATCAGGGGGAAAATCAATACTAACCCCGGTATCGACCCCGGTACAAAAGCCAAAGCTAAAGCTGAAGCTAACATCTCGAGACTCCCGGCTTCGTCAAAATTCCGCACCGAAGGCTCCCGAATGATGATCTGGAGATGAAAAGCCGGCTGTTTGTCCACAGAATCAGGACACACTACTTTTGCACCCATCTCGACTCAGCCATTCACAACCCGGTTCTGTGGTCTGATATTTTATATCCTCCGTTCACGCTATACATCCAGAAACACAATCAAGAACCATAGCAAATTACCAGATACACATTTTAAGGAGACACTGCGCGGGTACCCGGAGTGAGGCGAGTGGCACACCGAAAAACACAACGAGCCACACAGCAAATCCTCAAACCAACACTCGTCAAATCAACACCTCACTCCTCGCCTCAAACCGCACATATCCCCAAAGCTAAGCAAATATTTCCCCCAACTCCCAGCGTACCAAGGACTTTTTCCTTTTTCAATTTCCCATAGTCATAGCTAGGAAGCTATCAGCAATCAAGACAAACAACAACCAGACCTCTCCTCTCTTGACCATTCTATTCCATTATGCAGCTGTGCGCCATCCTATCCCCGTAAAATATTCATATTCACATACCTTGCTCACAACCCATAACCCATAACCCCATACCCAGCGATGCGAAACAGATAAAAGGTAGAAAATGTCAGAGTTGAAAACTATACCATTATTCGATATATCCATTCACTAACATAGGTATGTAAACTCTACACATTATACTTAATGTATCCACCATAAACTCTCCATCTCCATCTCTATTTATATTGCCACTCACATTTTCCCCAATATTCAAAAAAAAAGACAAAAATTACATCTCACAACTGATTAAAAACCTATCAAATAAACTACAGGAATGAACCTATCAACAAAATCTATATTGCTACGACTTACCCATGCTTCGCGGACAAAGCAGCTAGAAGAAGGAGGAAGAAACCTACCACCTACCTTTGATTTCTAATCCGACTCCACCTCTGAGAAATCCGCATCATCCCCAGGAAAATCTCTCGCATGTTGCGCTCTCCTCATCCTCTCTTCCAACCTTGTCTTTGTCAACACCGCCAGCGCCCGACTAACCTGTTCCACCTTCTCATCCTCTCGTATACGATATTTGAGGCCCTCGGGATCTGATACTAGGGGAGCACCATAGAAGTACGCCTGCGCCGGACAGCCCAGCCACATGAGAAAATCAACCGTACTACAGTCATCTCCGGCGGTGCCAATGGGCTTTTCGACATCGCGCCTGAGTAGCTCGTAGAGTTCGTCTTCGTCTTTGATAAGACATGCTTTCTCCGTGACTTTGATGCAGAAGTGGACCCAATTGAGCATGACCTCTGGATCTAGAGTTCCGGGATGGAGACGGAATTCGATGGTGCGTTTTTCAGACTCGTACGGGAGTTTCAAGTTGACCAAGTTGAATGCAAGTCGTCCTCCAACGCCCGCTGTCATGTCAGTCCAAAATTGTTTCCAGTGGTCTTGGTTTTGGTAGGAAAGAATGTGGTTGAGGAATTCGAGACGCGTGACATCTGGGACATTCGTGGCGAAAGTGCACCAGGTAAATGATCGGCAATATTCTTGTGAAGTCTGCACCCGCTCGGCGGAGACCATAAGCCGAATCTGCCGTTCGTAAGTATACAAAATTGCAACCAGGTTGCGGAATACAGGGAAAGAAAACCCATCATACTCGTTGCCAACGTGAACGTGGAAGCCTGCACTGTCATTAACTCGAACTAGATAGTTATTTCTTAACGTCTCTAAGACTACTGGAATAAGTTCTCGCGAAGCCTGATCGTAATAGTAGGGTGGAGATGATATTTCCATACCAAATTCTCTATAATTTGGGTGAATTCGCTCTTTTGGGCTGACACTCGAATCAGATTTAAATTGCCATTTAGTTCTTAATTCTGCATCACTCGGCGATGTATCTGCATTTCCCCACACAGTTACTGCTACTGGTATACCCTTAGCCTTGAGTCTTTCGCCAATGTTATCATTAGCTTCGTCTATGCTACTTAATTTCTTTCCATCTTTCTCACGTGGATCCTTTGGATGAGGAGCAGGATGAACGGGATGAACAGTAGCTAAGAGATATTCGATCTCGATACCAAATGTGAGCCTAGTCTCAGACTTGACTGCTATCTCTTTGGTACTTTCTATTGTCGAGCTCGGAGACATCTTGGTCAAAGGCTAAGGGTTGTGATTGTGCTACAGTAGTCAAAATGTGTTTAGGGTATTCTGGGAAGAAGTTGAGTTATCTAGAAAATGTGTGAGCGATACGAGCTAAAGAAATGCCTACATATAAGAACTACAATGCCATTGTTCCTTGATGATGTTAGAAGTGTATGAGAGAAATCATCTTCCTTTTCAAAAGTTCAAAAGTCCTTTGAGCCCGAATAATTCTTTGTACTCGAACAATAAGCTGTTGAAGGATTGTTTAAGAACATAGAAGCTCCACAAAGTTGATACAACAAGTTTGAGAACCAATGCTAGAAAGTAAGATTTCAACATAAAATCAAAATGGAAATGCTACGTTCGTGATGGTGTTGAAAACACTCACTTGATCCATGTGTAGCATGAATGAAACTTTCATCCCCATTGAAAAGGACGGCTAGAACAAAATGGTGTATATTCCTATGGTATTTTATGTAACTTCATATGAGATCCAAAATTTCTCCAATTTCATGATTTTCCCCAATTAGTGCTGATTCCTTATTTGTTGTCGCGAATGAATGAAACGAACTCCTCATCTAAAAGAACAGAATCTCGTTAGTAATTGTGCAAGTCTGGAGAGGTTTGAAGAGTATTTCAAGAGGGGGTTTCGTACAATCTATGCTTCCGTCACCATTCTTATCCACCTCCTTCACCATACTCTTGATCTCTTCTTCTGACAAATTCTCCCCCAAAGATGCCATCAACTTGTAGATTTCTTCTGGGGAAATTGTGCCACTTCCATCAACATCGAATACTTGGAAAGCGCTGCGCATTTCTTGTTCGAAGTCAACGCCCTTTGTTTCGGCAGTCATCATCTTGAGGAATTCTGTATTTCGAACAAAATATGGTTAGAAGAGTTCGAATGAAAGTGTTGACGATGTGAAGATGTGGGGTATTCGTGGTGTATCGCGGTGTAACAAACCGTCAAAATCGACTGTTCCAGATTGATCAACATCAACCTCATTAATCATATCTTGAATTTCCGCATCTGATGGATTTTGTCCCAAAGATTTCATTGCTTCTGCGAGCTCGGCGGTGGAAATGGTTCCTGGTTAAAGGTAGGATTGTTAGAAAAGGATTGCGAAGAGCAAGTGCGGGGTTGAATTGCGCATACCATCACCGTCTTTATCCTGTATATGAGAGTAAGCATTTTGCGCGAACATTCAAATCAGAAGTTTGACTTACGAAAATAGAGAAAGCATCTCTATATGCTTGAATCTCCTCATTGCTGAGACCCTAGAACAGAGGAGGAGTCAGCACTGGTGAGTACGCGTAAAGTATGCATATCAAGACATCTCTCGTGAAGCTTTCAATTTTTGAAACTTACTTTGGCATTCTTTAACTCCGACATTCTGGTGTAGTATGTATGGTGCAAATACTTTAGATACTTGGCAGATGTAAATGATTTGGCGCAAACAATAAATATCGATTTCAGATGAACGACTAAAAGGGGTTGAAGGGGTTTGACCGTTTGAGAGGGGTGATGATATAAAGTGGCTCGAGATGTTTTTTGCTAGAACCGTTTCATAAGGCGAGATCTTTATTTTGGACCTTTACCCGCAACGAATCGAGCAAATCAAGCAACGCGGCCTAGAATCCCAAAAATTGAGTGGCAGCTCAAAATTCTCCACAAATGACAATCCTTTCCATTGGTAGAGAGAACCTTTCGGTAAAAATGGGTGATCACTGATAAGAGCTCCAGTTCCGTCTCATTCCATTCCCACACCCAAAAAGAAGTTTGGAATATTGACCAATTTGTTGCTTCAATAGCTTCAGTATCCTCAACACACACACAGAAAATCGAAATCAAGGGTCCTGTTTCATGATAATGTTGATCTATTTTTGGAACATGAAAGATTTCTCATCATGTCCCAAAAAGCTGGGGAATATTTATCATGCATGGAAGCCATGCCTTTAATTGATGATGTCGTGGCTGTGTTAATCATTGAGTGGAACCTTAAGAAGCAATCCCGCCGCATGGCAATATAATAAATACGTGAGGAAACGATGGATTGGATCAAGCTGAGGTCTTTTCTCTTTTGGGAATAAGTTACGCTGTACGGAGTGTGAGATGCCAAGAACAAACGAGTCCCTTACTCATCATTAGATGAACAGACTTCATATTTCTATCGACCTAAGGTCAGTATCTCTGTACGTACACATGAAAGATTTTGTGGCTGTGCAAAGTCCAAAGCGAGTGTCTTCCATAGGCAACAACCGACCTCACCTCACTTCACGACTACATTGAAAAATACCACGTCGCCTCAAACTCACAGGTTTTGTCCATCCATTGGAACGATAATCTCGCTGGTGATCTCAAAGGAATAACGATATCATCAGTCGACGAGATCCGCGGCCCTACATCGGGCACGACGAATCTGCAATATGGGGAAAGAAACGCCACAGCCCTACAAGGCTGATGCTCATAGAGATCTCATAGAAGTTGGCAATGCTGCTACTTCTTCGGCAAGCTTTCTTAACAATATTGATCAAGAATACCCCGAAGAGGATCTTCCAACTTATGAAGAAACATCCTCATCGGCACCTCTTCTTTCGCGAGCCGATGGCCCATCTGCCAGCAATTCCCACTCTACCTCTGGTGTAGGTTGGTATATGTAAGAATCCCTTATCAAGTGTGCCGTGCAATTTAAACTAACTTACTCTGCTCTAGCCCTCCTCCCGATCTTCCTTTCTCTTCGCACGACTACAGTTCAGCCGATTTCTGGACGAGATTCCCAAATTATTCCACAGATCCTGATGCTCTTCGTCAAATGATTCTCGAACAAGCTCAATATGCTCCGACCTATTATGTGGAAGTATCAGGGACTCATAGAGAAACCGAGCGTCGACACAAAAAAGACTCAACGGAAACTATTACGGATTTCCACATCCGACTGAATCTAACACATCTGCTCACGACCGGAATAAGAACTGGAGGAAAACTAGAGATCTTGCCGGATAATCAGAAAGGATATCGAGGAGGAATAATCAAGTCTCTCGAGCCCTCCCTCTCAAACTGTGATATTGAGTCCGGCTCAACAGGGGATGAATTACAAGCCTGGTGTGAAAAATTCGTTTCCGATCCATCCAGCATGAAATGCTTCATATTCGAACGCAAGATCATAAATCACGATAAAAGTCATCTGGAGTATCTCTTACGACGTATTGTTACATCTACAAATTACCGTGGTCAAGTGCATGTCAACTTCCCCACGTCGCATAAACGAGTAATCGTTTATTCGCCACATGTGATCAACGGATGGCGAATGACTACTTGGATTCGTTGGTTCTTTTATCTCACATTCCTCTGGGTAGTTTCCTGGCCAATTCTCTTCTTGGTTACTCGTCGCTATGAGGTTGTGAGGTGTATATATCAATATGCAGACAGACGTGCGGGAACCGGTGTCTCCCCCCGAAAACCAACTGTGCAAAGCGAAGATGATTTTGTCAATCATTGGGAAGCTGCCTTGAGATCTGCAATTATGGGACGAATGATCCGAACAGATTCTTGTCTGGATGAGGATTATAGGGTACAAATATTGCAAACGGAAGTTGCGAGAGGTCAAGCGGCTGCACGTGCTTTAAGTGGTACGGGTAATGCTTTGGCGGATGGAGCGATTGGAGTTATCGCAGCAGCGACGAGTTTCGTGAGCGAGTATAATGATGCGAGAGGATGGGGTTATGATTCTTGAATATCATTTTCATATAGATGCGACGAGTAATACGAGTCAGCGTGGAGTTTGAATAATTTGTATGCTTAGAATAGCGAGTCAGTATACCAATTTAGCAAGAATGAGCGTTTATTTGGTAAGAATTACACCTATTTGAGACGGAGACTTTTGTCTCTCTTAACTACCACGATCAATGAAAACATCAATTGGTCATTCCCAACTCCTTCAAAAAGAGTCTATTATTTGTGAAATTGTACCTCGTGCTGGTTACATTAATGCACACACCCAGGATTTGACACCAGAAACTCGAATTTCTCGCTAGCGAAGATCAATTTTACGTTGAAGACAACTCCTTCGTTTCATCGACTTGTTTTCTTTACCCGAGAGTTCCCACAAGTGTCATGATTCAATTCGCATTTTTTCCGATTTGAATCTGACTCTCAAGACGATGACACGGATCTAAAAACCTCGAAATTGATAGGTTTTGCAATCTAAGACTCGTGACGAGTGTTGATTCTCTTGTGAGTTGTCAACAGCACTTGATGGAGATGGAGATGCAGATGGGATATCAATCTCATAGAATCGTTCCGTAGGAATTTCGTCTGTGTGCACCGTTTCGATCACTTGGCAACCGTAACCATGTCATGTATGGTATGTATGTGTGGATGGAGAGAGGGAGGGAGGTTCTTGAGAATGCTGGTATTTTGGGGGAGCGGGTTTTGATGTGTTGGATGCTTCATACTTGATAGTGTTCCTCACACAATGGACTCAGCTGGGATTCTGAATGATGGATATGGAGGTGAATGATTGTGCTGATTGATAGACGCAAGTGTGCTTTTTGGGAATTATGTATGTAATCTCATGAATGATTTTTGTTACCTAGTAACTTCTTTGATTTTGGTTTGTAGATATAGGATGGTATGGAGGTTTTTTGGAAACATAGGTCAGTGGAACTATACACCTAGATAAGTCATGTAAGTTGGAGAACGATTGGAAAGAGTGCAGATGTTCTTTGACTTCAAGGAATCTTTGATCTTCTGAACTTGTAGTTTCTGGTAATAAAGGGGTTTATTGCGATTGTTCTTCTTCTATATGCGGGGAGTTGGCAGTTGGCTTATACACTGAATTATACTTCGCGAGAAGAGAAGCTTCGAAATGAGACTTTGTGGGATGGGATACCGCCAGCAGGAAATAATCGGAGACTGACGTTTCGAGAGATTATTGGAGAAGATACTTTACAAAAAGATACAACTCAGAGTGAACACCAAGAGAACACTTATCAAGGTGAAAACCACGCTTTTTCAAGAATGGATTTCGAGAAAGCTCATGAGAATCTTGCTTCGAATAAAGACTCACCCAACAAAACACTCCTCAAGAGAGCACTCAACAAATAGATTTAGTTGATTCCCAACTTTTCATCTGTAATAACTGTGAGTTTCATCCCGCGGAATATTGCTATCACGAAAGCTAACAGAGCCAAGAAAGTGATGGTTGAACCACAATTTTAACACCAAATTCAACATTCGAGGTGGATATACTCACTTGAAGTTCCTATACTTGGTGTCGGCGGGGCAGATCAATGCATGCGTGGACCATGGGGGTAGATATATGGAGCGGCCACTTGTGCTCTAAATAATTTTTGTGATGGCGAGAGATTGCCTTGCAGAAAGTCTCAGTTCATTCAGGAACTCATTATCAAAACCACATGCTTTACTGAGAATTGCCTGCAGTGGGTACTGAATGTCCAACTAACGAGAAAGATTCGAGAGGGCACGAATTGGAGACTACACCATTCTGTATCCCGAAATTTTCATTCCTTCCACAGCAGTTCAATGTTCTAAGTTTGCATTCCTCAAAAAACATTCTACGTTTCTATTCCGATGTCATTTTGCAACTTTCTCGTAGTTGGAAAGCTAAAATAAAGTTTACAGGTATCTACCTTATTCTGTGCCGCACAAACGTTGTTAGCAAGTTCTAGGCGCTTCAGAGCGATGATTGGTTCAGACTTACTTCACCCTCTGTCGTATTGAATCTGACGCTATAACCTTAAATACTTACCTACGTAATTATCTACTTTATTTATATGATATAAAGTCCTTTTCTTCCTCCACCTCTTATCTTAAGCTTCGACAAACAGTTTGCATGTCGCTTGTGAGTGAAGCTATATATCCTGACACAATCGCTTCGTCATCTTTTGGCAAGAACCTCATCATCATTCTGAAAGCTTTGTGCCCATGAAAAGTTTCAGAGTACTGCCCAACTTCAACATTAGTACTTGTATTATTCACAACTTTACCTTTCAAATTTCACGATCACGATGCATGCAGGAAGGGAGTTGAACCAACGCTCGAAGCTACATTTCTTTGATCTTGCCATTGAGATCCGACTTAAGATCTACAATGAACTACTCATCGCCTCGGAATCTCAACCTATTGAGATAAAATCCTCCGAAACAAGTCCATCGCATTTAATCCTAAGCAAAGAATATCATCTCTGTCCCGCAATTCTACGAATCAACAAACAAATCCACTTGGAGGCATCTCCAATTCTCTACTCCAGCAACAAATTTGTGTTATGCCGTCTCCAATTCTTCTATGTACCAGGTTATAGGATTATCACTGGGTTTCTAGCACAAATCGGAGAGCGGAATGCTCTTTTTATTCGTTATTTAGATATCTATTTCCCACTGTTTCCAAATTCGATTTTTGGACCCGGCCAGCCATGGCCAGCTGGAAGAGATATTCAAGTTATCGATTTTGTTATTAATAAATTCACAAATCTTGTAACATTTAAGATATCTCCATGGGACAACTTACGATTTGGTGGTGGCAGTATAAGGCTGGCAGTTAATTCCTCGAGAAACTCCGGAAGCATTGATTCCTTTGAGTCTATTGGTTTGGGATTGAACGCATTCGATGAAAGATTCAAAGCCATGCCAGCTTTGAAGGAGACCATGGTAGATTTCCATGTGTCGAATGCGTGGCCAGATGATTTAGTGGATAGATTTTTGAGGAAGAAGATACACGGTAATAGATGGATGTGTCAAGTTACCAGAGAAGACAGTCTGTCTGAGTCGGACACAGTTGGCTGTTACTTTGGATTATTCGCCTAGTCCCAAGTTAAGGTCAAAGATGGAAGAGTCAAAATTGACTTCTTGTGAGAAGTTGGCTGAGACATTGGTCACCATGCTCAATTAAGGAGAATGAAAAAAGCGCAATATCGAATCCATTGGAAAGCTACCAAGAAAAAAAACGTTTCGCAAGGCATGACCGAAGAATTAAAATCATATGGGTAAAGACCGAAAACAAGCATATTTCGTAGATCCTGAGATTGCGATGCTTGAATACAATTTTTGGTCCAGGTCAAAATAAGGTTTCGCAAAAAACCTTAAATATTCATACCGACCACATCGAACCATAATTTCCCCCTATAATCCTAGCTACACGAGAAATAGACTTCTTCAGATATTAAATCGAATTATAAATCGACCGCAGCGCATGGAATTTGAACCAAAGGACATTCATTTTTTTTGAATGCAAAGTCCGCATCTTGGTACAACCCAGCAATGGAGAAATTGTAACATACAATTGTCCGATATAAATGTTAGACAAGGTAATGTATGGTACTTCTCTTGTAAGTAGAAGCAATCACTTTCATTGAACCGTCACTCTCTTAGAATTTTCATTCATTTCATCAAAATGCCTTCCGTTGGCAAGATTCTACTTGCCGCTGTCAACTTGTCAGTCCTTGTTAATGGATTAACGTGGACCTCATGTGGCACCGGCGTAGAATGCGCAACCCTTGAAGTTCCGCTCGAATATGGCGATGCGAAGTCAACAGCAAAAGCAAATGTCGCGCTTGCTCGTTATCCTGCCACTGTAGCAGCGAGCAAGAAGCTCGGGTCTCTCTTGATCAATCCCGGTGGACCCGGTGCCAGTGGTGTTGGATTTGTACAGTCTGGGGCCGGTGCCGCCGTCTCGGCACTGAGCGGCGGATTGTACGATGTTATTGGATGGGATCCGCGTGGAACTGGTGCTTCGGCTCCTATCTTGGAATGCTTTCCAAATGCCAGTGCGGAGTATGATTTCAATAACGCACTTCCATCCGCTCCAAATCTTTGGCTTGGACAATTTGCGAATGCTAGCGCCAGTGCTGCTGTTAGCTCTGCTATCACATCTTTTGACACCTCTGTCGCAGCTCTCGCAAAAGCTTGTGTAGCTCAGAAATCTCCCGCTCTTTACACCTCAACAGCGGCATATGTTGTCCGAGACATGGCAGCGATAGTTGACGCATTGGATGGAACTTCTGCAAAACTCAACTACTGGGGTTTCTCATATGGAACCATATTCCTCGCCGAGTTTATCCAAACTTTCCCAGGCCGTGTAGGAAGAGTTGTTGCCGATGGTGTCTTTGACGCAAAGGCAAACGCCCTTACATACGTCAGCCAACTACCGAACGATCAAGTCAGTGTTCGTGCTTCGTTAAACGATTTCGCAGCTTTCTGCACCACCGCCGGCAGTAAAGGATGCTCTTTTGCTACCGCTCCTACTGGAGTCACAGGTACTGTGGCCACCAGACTTGACAATATAATGGAGAACATATTCAAGAATCCTATTGTTGCTTCTGGCTTAAGCATTAGCTTAGATATCCTCAGTCCCACTCTTGCTTCTCTTCTTAGAGTTCCAACAACATGGAAAACACTTGCATCTATCTTATCCGGTCTCGAAACCCGTGACGCAACTGCTCTTATCTCACTACTTGGATCCTTAGCAGCGAGTGCACCAACCGATGGCTCCGCAGCAGGTGTCGGAACTCTTGCTACTTACCCACTTAATTGTGTTGATAATGCAGCGTCAAATGGAATTACATTGAACACTGTCATTTCTCTCACAAAAAGCATTTCAATCTCTGAAAATACTCCAATTCTAAATGCTGATCTTATCCCCATCACATTTTGCCGCAACTTTCCCTCCACACGTCCGATCGTTCCAAACGTAGGAGCAAGTTTAATGGCAAAAACAGATACTCTTCTCGCAACAGCCAAAACACCAATCCTCATTGTCTCAGCCGAGAATGATCCGACAACACCTCTCAAGTCCGCAAAAGCACTCCGCAGTCTACTCCCTACTTCATCCACTCTCGTATACCGCGGAGGAAGTGGACATACCACTATCTCACATACATCTCTCGGAATGGCTAAAGCGATCTCCAATTTTTTCGTAAGCGGTACAATGCCCAAGGATGGAGCTCGATTCGCAGTGGATCAGAATATTTTCCCCACCGCTGCAGCAAGTGGTTTAGTCACACCAGCAGCTTTTAACGGAACCTATACTACGCAAGAGCAGAGTATCCTAACCGCAACATACAACATTGGCCTTGCATTTTTAGCAATCGCATAAAAACATCTCCATATAATCATAGACCATTAGATAATAATACATTGTAATCAAAAATGCTTACCATAAAACCCCATCCCGTGCAATCGGACCGTATGCGTGAATAAATTTTTAGTGATACCCAACGGATCTTCAATGTAGAGCCAAGACCACAACATATTAAATGTCATTCTTACATGCATGATATTGTTCCACAGTACCATTACCCCAGAATGCACCCCAGAAACCCTGCACCAGGTCAGCGATCACAGGGCACACCACGGGAATTTAACCGACTCGTCCCCCCTTTATCCGATAAGCATGTTGGTTCCACAAATTGTGTTTTCAAAGGGAGTGACGGGCGGAATCTGTGCGTCCTATCAGCACTTCCGGAGAAATTACCCTTAGGTTCATCTCCCGGATTCTGCGGTTTTCGCGGAATGGGGTATGGGAGTGCCAAGAAAAATGATGTATCATGATGAATAGGAAATGGGAAGGGATGAAAGTGTTGATAGATTAATATATCATCGACTCCATATAATGGATACGGGATGATATAAGAGTCATGAATTCAAGGTCACCAGAACTGAGCTAGAATGATTGGAATAAGAGTTTAAGATGTCGTAATACCCGCGCTGGTACGTCTGTATTGAAACAGTTCCCACTTCAATACATACCATATCGGAGCACAAATTTTGTATCTACTAGTCGTGTTGCTCTCGACAAAAAATAGATCTCTAACTAAAACTCCAAAATGTTCAAATATCTCACTGTGCTCCCCATCTTCCTCGCACAGCTCTTGGCCTCTCCAACTCCACTACCTCTAACAGAGACCACTCTCTCCACTGATTACACATCCCAAGGTTATCTCCTAGCCCTCAACGCATCAGCGCCTTATTTTGCAGGAGCCGGTCCTGTCACTGGCTGCGTAACCTCGACTTTCACTTGGACAATCGACACTACCGCCTGTGGTCGCTTTGATGGCACTCGCACTGTATATAACCAAAGTATCGCCATGTGGATGTATGCATTTAGAAGTGAACAGGGTACATGCGGTTTAGTTGAGGGTGGTCGGGTAACATGTTCGGAAACTGTAGTCAAGAACCAGGGAAAGTGGAGCGCGGTACGTTTGTTTCTGTATGAATCAGATGTGACTCAGTCAGAAAGCTGTTGGAAAAGAGAGGGGACAAAAAGCTAACGTAATATGCGAATAGCCCAACTCTACGATATCGGGTGTGCCGTTATACATGATGGGCTGGGCAAATTGGCCGGTTCAAAGATGGCCGAGCAGTGGAGTAGATGTTGATGTTTGGAATACTTTAATGGATAATCCTGTGCCAGGAGTTTCTTTGGATGGGTTCGCCAGATCTTTTAGTGTGAGATGGCAGGCTGCATGATCTTTAAAGGAGTTGAACATTTGGATTTGGCGTTGGTATGGAAGGGTCAAGGTGAGAGATAACACAGTCTGCATGAATACTTCATTTCAGGAAAAGCAAAACTGGTCTCTTGTTTGGATTTATGAATTGTTTTCTTACAAATGGGACAGAAAAAGAAGCAATGAACAAGGGTGGAGGAACTGTATTCATCGCTGTATCCATCATAGATATAGGGAGTACAAATCTGTCAAGCATTCCATAGAATGATTCAAAATACTTTCGATAACGTTAAACAAAATGAGAACTAACCGCAAGACTGTGCTGGCAAGGAAATATTACAAATTCTTCAACTGAAAGGCTTTTGTATGGAAAATTAAGGAGAGTTCCTACCGAAATATGCTGCCCCTGAAGTTCGCGTTGATATCTGAATTGAGGTTTATGTTTGTTGAAGAAAACACGGCAGGTATATAATACAACAAAATTCGAAGTTTGTGCGTCTTAAGCACTCTGAGATCTTGGTTGTTACCCGCAGATTACCCTTCCACACAACAAAAGCTTTTTGAAATCGGAGATTATTTTTCAAGTGGCGAAAAATGGGTATAGCCCTTGATTTATTTTTGGGTGTCCTACGGCGCGAAGAGAACACATTAATTTCCGGAAAGCTTTGCTAGCTTTGCCTCAACAATGCGCTCCACCATTTTTTCCAAGATGGCAATATCTCCACCAGTTCCTTGGGCGAAATATCCCTCCACAGCTCTCTCGACGTATTTGCCAATTTGATCCACTTCGACGTTGATATATTCTCCTTCTTTCTTGAGAGCTGTGACTATTTTCGTTTGGGTATATGCGATCAACATAATCTCGAACCACTCCTCATCAACCTTGGTGATCGTCAAGCTGGCTCCGTCAAGCGTGACATATCCTTTCTCTACAATATATCTCATGACCTGCTTGTCTCTAGGCTTCAATCTCAGGGTCAATGCCTCTCCATCCTCTTCTCTCTTGATCAACTCTGCGACAGTATCCACATGTCCTTGTACGAAATGTCCTCCCATACGTGTGTTCGCAGAAACGGCGCGTTCGAGATTGACTTCGGAGTTGACTTGTAGAGAACCGACATTTGTGCGGCGAAGAGTTTCTGGTGCGCAACCAACTGTGAAACTATCCTCCGTGAAGGTTGTGACTGTAAGGCAAATACCGTTTACGGAAATGCTGTCGCCAAGTCCGCAGTCTCCGAGGATTGAGGAGGCATTGCTGATGGTGAGAGTGGCACCATATTGACTGTCGAGTTTGATGTCGGAGACAACTGAAATTGTTAGTGAGGTGACATTGTGTGTTGGAGATTAATTACGAACCTCCTTTGATCTCAACAAGGCCTGTGAACATCGCGACGGCTTTGAAGAATTGAATGAGATTGAAGGTTGAGCTAGGCTGATAGCAATAAATTACCCCGCCATGACCAATGATATCAGATACTACACCACGCTAAGCTCCTTTTGATACCTTACATAATACACATTGATTTCTTTCGAACCTCATCTCAAAACTTCGTATTCGAATTCGGGAAACAGGAAAATATGTTCTGCCCCTTATTAATCACTGCTATTACTCTAGGTACGATCCACATCCACATTGTCGTCCCAAGGTCTAGTATCGGAAGAAAATACCCCCCCCACCCGAAAAAGAAAAAAATCGTTTCTCATGATATCCCATTTGTATGTAGAACAAGAACCCTCCATGATTGAATATCAACCATCTCATATTTCTGTTTCTTCTGTGGCGTGAAGTGCGAGGCATTTGGGAAATCTTACTAGTCTCCCAAGTAGTCCAGTGTTAATGCTTGATCGAAGCCATTAGACACATCTGCTTTCCCGTCGATGAGATCCGATTTCTGAAATTGTACATCCAACCGATGCATCGGGAGACGGGAAGCCACAGACGGGAGAAGGTCCCTAACAAACCACTAGGTAGCTCATGCTTAGCATTCGAACTAATGCAATGCGTCACATTTTATAGCATGGACTGTGGATGTTCTACGAAGTATTTGGTGTGATTATCGAATTAGATTTCTTGTCACAAACCGATTATCCGAGGTCATTCCAATGATTACATCCTACAGATCTCTCATCTACACTCAATAAAATCCAGAATCTGTATGCAAACACTTACAATCAGGAAGACCTTTAGAGTGTCTCGTGTAAAGCGTTATAAACGTCATGACAAGCAATCGTACCTTGATATGTCAATCTACCGGGGGAGCTACTGCAAGGCGGCTTTAGCGACGCTCGATGCTAACATAGCGTTATTCCTGGGGAAGTTTATGATGTATTGTCGTTTGAAATGATGATTTAATTGCTGATGATTTGCTCAAGAGTCTGGAAATGTCTTGGAAAGTTCCAATGATTCAAGATACTTGGGGATTTATTAAAATATTCATGATATCACCGTCTTCCAGCCTCTTTTCTACATTTCGTCACACAGAGCTCTTCTATTTCAAGCTATAGCTGAGGTAACTACAAGTAGAGCGTTCTTCCACACAGTTTCTCTCAACAAACAAACGAACTCAAGTCTCTGCAAAGAAACCAGTCCAGAAAATCGCCAAATCCATCATGTCATCCTCAGAAATTCCCCAAGGAAACCCCACAGACAACGATTATGTCTCCCGTCCTGGCCACAAGCAGGATCCAATTCCAGTTCTAAGTGACGAAGCTCCCATTGAAGAGGGTAAGTTTTGTCTGTGTTCTTGATGATTGACTTGAGCTAATAGCAGCGTGTAGAAACCGCTGACAACGTCGCTGTCGACAAAAGCAACATCATCGATGATAAAACCAGACATGCTGCTAAGTCTGCTGAGACTTACCGAGAGCCGGGGGACAATGAGGGTTTACCTGAGGATGATGGGAGGAGTGCTGTTGCCCAGTAAATTTGGTTGAATGCATTAAAACAACTTGTGCGAAGGAACGAATTAAATGTAATATTGAGGGACCATGGCAATGCAACTGATTTCCATGGCGCCTTTCTCGGACGGATATATTGTTGGTGCTGACGTTATTCAAATACAAATACAATAATGACACCATACTACTACCTGGAATCTCTTTCCAAGCTCAAGCTGCTACCTTGATCCCATTTTCGAGAGTGTGAGGCTCATATATTCTAGGTATTAATCCCTCAACCATATCAATGGCTCCTTCCATGCTGTCTTTGTTGAACACAAAAAGTCCCTGTATAGCAGCCATACTGGTATGGAGCTCTGGCTCTACAGCCTTACCTTCTTCATTAGCAACAAGTCCAAGACTTTCTAGCTTTGTCAAAAATCGCAATTTTCCATGTCCATCCTTGTCAATATCACCGTAAAATCTATCCCACATCTCCGCAGCTTGATATCTCGTAGCTTCACCAATTCTCTCGATCATATCAACTCGTCCGGGCCGTATTAGTGCAGCGTCAAGTCTGTCAATATGGTTTGTAGTGAGGAAAGCAATTCTTTCTTCCCCAGCTGCCACTCCATCCAGTGCATTCAATAATCCCGAAAATGTTACTGTTGCGCCTGAATATCCTTCGGAATCTACCTGTTTCCGGTTTACAAACGCAGCATCTGCATCTTCAAGCAGTACTAGGGTTCTCGGAGGTAACTTTGTGAGGAAATGCGCCAGTTTGTCATCTGTCATTCCCCGCTCGCTCAAATTTATCATTGCGACTCCAAAGTTCAGTTCTCCAGCTAAGGCCTGTATAAAAGAAGTTTTACCACTCCCAGGCGGGCCATATAGAAGATAACCTCTGCGATAAGGTATTCCTCGATCCACATACCATTGTTGCCGACCCAGAAAATCTGTCACATCATCCAGAATTCGCTCCTTGACTCCTTCGTCTAGTATTACAGAACTTAATGGCCTTTTTCGTCGCGCATCTCCGAATTGTCTCCATTCCATTCCGGAACTCTTGTAAACAACAGTTTTCCCTTCTCGCTGTGTCGCAGCTAATACATGCGCTTCTGCAAAGATATCTGCGAATATATGTCGATGAGCGTATAATGTTCGCAGAGTAATTGTCTCGTGCGGTACACCAGTATTCATATTGTGACTACTTTGCTTTTCCCGCTGGACTAAAATAAAAGCATTCTTATGCTGAACAACATGCCTACCATATCCCGGCTGCGCAAGAAATGTCGCAGATGATGGACCGCCCTCAAGTTGTTCGCCAGACGTTCGCATAGAATAGTCATGAACACGGGTGATTCTGGATGCGATAAATCCTCCAGGCGGTCGAGGAAGACATAGCCATGCTAAGATCCATTGATATGATGGATCCTCCTTACTGATTTCGAGATTCACCAAAAGACGTCGTTTGATGGTGGAAGCTCCCAGTATCATGAAACGTCGACCGATGGCGGCAGAAGCTCCGAGACCTGCAAGACCAATGCCTCCGGCAAAAACGGGATTATTGAAGAGCGCATCGAGAGTTGTCAGTGACGTTGTTGATGGGTCAGGCATTTTTTGGTGATGGGAGTAATTTTAGGATTATCGAGTCGCCTGAAAAAAGTTCTGGAAGACCCGATAGTAACCGATGTTTGCGGGGGGATAAGCTTATCAAGCTTATATCATATCAACTCGATAAGAAGAAATAAAAACTTATTACAACAAAAAACTAGCCATCTTACATTCACATCCTACATTGTCATCAACATGTGAGATACCCCCGAGACAAAGAAACACAGATCGCAATAACGTTGGTTTAAAGCAACATAGCAGGTCGTTGATGGCTGGGGCATCCAGAGTGCCAAAATCTGGATTACACTACAAGACCAAATCCCACTCAAGGAATGCCTGAATTCTTCTGTACAAAATGATAACCCAAGTTCTATCAATTTTGTTCCCCGGGTTATCAGTACTTCATTCACGACCCTGATACATGTCAAACGAGCTTCCTCTAATGGGCTAACCTGCGTCGAGGCAGTCGAGTGATTGGGCCACTTTGATTGCTTAGGGGAGGGATCCCATTCACTGATTTCAGCTACACATTCAGGGGAAAGTTGGCGCAGTTGCCGATGTTGTTTACAATATATTGTCAAATTCCTGCATCGCTCCTCATTTTCTACATGCGAGAAACCTTATAATCTGCTCATGATAAGTATTCAAAACTCAAAGTTGAGTGTGTTTGATGTGTAGTATTCCTGAAGCAATTGTTAGTACAAAGTTTCACGAAGTTCTCTATCTGCTTGTTGGAGTGCGATGATAACCCTGTGAGGGTTTTTTTTTCGCGACATAGGACTAGTAGATGGTATTAACATTTATCGTCTCTAACCAGCCTCGAGCCAGCAAAGCGAGGTTTGTATGGGACTTCGAGAAAGGAATAAAGTGCACTAGTTAGGAGGCGTTCAAGACTGGACAATACAGGTTAGAGTCAAATCTGACGATCTCCCTGAACCAAAAATATCAATATTCAAAACTGCATGGAATCTATAAGGCTATTCTAATATCAGATCATCGATTCTGTTGCTTCACTTCTTTACGAAATCATAAAACATCGGTAAAACCAGTGAAGCTCCGTGCGAGTATCTACTAAAGAGGGTATTCCCAGGTTCACACGTGTTTCAATGTTCCATCCATGTACGCATTTTTAGAATATTTGTTACCCCGGACTTTATTACAAGTCCGTATTTCAATTATCGGCTGTAGTTGTTTCTGTACGTGAGGAAGGCCTCCTTGAGATGTTGAGGTTGTACCTGTGTGATTGAGCCACACCAAGTGATGAACGGCTGCTGCTGAATTCTTATCTCCATACGAGTACGAGAGTTTATATACGTTCTCAAATCTACCTCAGCTCTACCTCAGCTCTACCAATATTGTACTTTGCAACTTAGTGTGGTTACTCTCTCCATGTATGGGATCTCTCAAACACATCGAAGGTCCTGGTCAAAAACTGCCACGCTCAGACTATTGTGTCCGTTCCTGAAACTCCGGTGCTACTTGGCAGACTTTTTGTTCTATAGTTGTTAAGGCGACCAATCGTTTTCATTTTATGATAGTTTTATTCCCTTACACCTATCTATTCTAGACTTTATCCAAGTTCAGTTGCCTGACCCAGCCACGTTTCCCGTCCCGAAAGTCAAAATTTCATCAACATGATAAGATGAGAACAAAACCAGTTGTGGATCTGGCCACACAATGCAAAAAAGTCCGAACCTTAAACGGCTCTAACAAAACCTCATCGACTCCCATCATCATGATGTTATTCGTAATTTTCTTGTATAAAAGTTTGCGAGGCCGGCCCCCTCATGATTCACTTATTCAGTTAAACTAGACTCTTCTTCTGCAGTGACTGCGGGCAGTCTGAACCATGGGAAAGATAGCAACAAAACTACGGGAGATCAAGGAAGGACTCAGAAACGATGATAACTTAACTCGAGGAAGAAAGGGCTTTGTTCGAGGAATGAAAGCATTACCGTCATCGTCAGGAAAATATTTGGTCCGGAAGATTCCTTTCATACATTGGTTCCCGAACTATGCTCCAAGATGGCTTGTGGATGATATGATTGCTGGAGTAACAGTTGCATTGGTCTTGATTCCACAGGCCCTGGCATCTGCAGCGTTAGCTGGCATACCATTGCAGCAAGGACTCTTTGCTAGCTGGCTGCCATCAGTTATATATTTCTTCATGGGTACATCGAAAGGTATTACTTCAACATGATTCAAGATTGCTTAATGCTAAGAATTGTAGATATTGCTACAGGCCCTACAACATCTTTAAGTCTACTTACCAACGCCGTTGTGTTATCGATTACTGCCCAAGATCTTCCCATACCGCCAGCTCTCATTGCCTCCGGTCTCTCTTTCTCGATAGGCGCCTTTTCTCTATTATTCGGACTCCTGAACCTTGGATGGATCCTGAATTTCGTCACTATTCCTATGCTAGTTGGATTCCAAATGTCGGCAGCGTTGATTATCATTCAAGGCCAGATTCCATTGATACTAGGAGAATCGGGTGTGGGCCAAAACTTTACGCAACAAGGAACGCAAATTCTCAAAAACATTGCAACTACTCAACCTTTATCTTTGGCTGTTGGCGTAGCCTCAATAGTGATTATCATTTTATTGAAGCTCATGGGTAAAAGGTGGGGGAACAAGAGTAGCATCATCAGGATCTTGTCAAATCTACGGAACGCTTTCGTTATTATGATTTCCACTGCGATATCCTTCATTATCAACAAAGATCTGATCATTCCACAATTTCCCGTCGCTGGGACGGTAGCGCTAGCCCTACAATCTCCACAACTTCCGACTAAAATTGTTCTGCTTGTCGCCCAGAAATCATTCCCCGTGAGTCAGTCTAAGATCAATGCTTAAAGAGCCGGATGCTAATCTTCTAATCTTTACCTAGGTTTTTATAGCTGCCGTAGCTGAGCATTTGATATTCGCCAAGTCATTTGCTCGTGAACACAACTATGAAATTGATGAATCGCAAGAACTTGTCTTCCTGGGGACCGCAAACATTGTAAATGGGTTTTTTGGTGGGATGCCAGTATCTGGATCTCTTTCTCTGTCGGCAGTAAATTCAACAACTGGAGTGAGATCACCACTCAGTGGACTTTTCTCTGCCGGATTTGTTTTTCTAGCCATCAATGTATTGGCGGAAACATTCCAATGGATACCAACTGCAGCAACCAGTGCGATTATACTAATCTCTGTAGGAGAAACATTACCTCCGAATACCATTCCAATCACATACTGGAAAGGTTCATTTGCCGATTTCATAGGCTTTTTTGTCGTCATGAACGTGGCGTTGGTTGCAGGCCTAGAGTCTGCACTTGGGCTTGGAGTAGTCTATATAGCGCTCTACACTCTTTTACGCACATTATTCTCCTCGATTAGTCCACCAAAGCCCCATGATCTCGAAAACAGATACAGTTTCGAAAGCGTAGACAGAATGAGTATACCTCTTCAGGGAGGACGCCTAGTACCTCAAGGCACGCAACTCATTACGTTAGAAACTCCCCTGATTTACTTGAACGCGGAGAGGATAAAGAAAGATATCCTAGAAGCTATTTGGACCTATCATGAGCCGACTCCGTACGGGCCAACCGAACGAAATGGATGGAGCGACTATCGAGTTCGAAGAACTGCCGCTCTCCGTCGCAGGAGTAACGTTAATACACCAATCAGATTCCTTCCAAGGCTTGAAGTCGTCGTATTCAATTTCACGCGAGTCACATTTATTGATACTACCGGCCTCACCTATCTTCAAGACCTCAAAGACGAAATTATGGCCTACAGTGGTGACGCTGTTGAATTACGTTTCGTAGGTATGATTGACGCTGTACAGAAGAAATTCAAAAGAGTGGGATGGCCGTTGGGCACTTATCAAGAATCACAAATCGGTCTAGTCGCGGGAATCGACATCGTATTTGAAGATCTACATGATGCTGTTGCAGCACCTAGAAGTGTTAGAGCATCTATGAATGGACTGGATTTTGAGTTTGTGAATTCGAGGAATGACATGGAACAATTTACGGATGAGGAGGCTTTCAAAAAGGGTGGGGTGAATATCATAGTTACAAATGTTGTGACAAAGGATGGGAGGGCGTATAAGGAGGAAATGTAACTATACCTTTGGGTGCTTTGGAGTGTTTTGTGAGCGATGATTGCCGTATTCATGAATAGAATAAGAACTATATAAAATATATATATATGTGGAGAATCATTGCGGGAGAATGCTTTTCTGAACTATATAGTCAAAACCATGGAAGACGTTCAGAAAATCACCATATCAACTCATAAGTCTCAAGCGAAACATGATCTCCATTCTGATTTCCTTGTCCTTTCAACGGGGCCAATTCATTCACTCGTATCATTGCTATTTCGGAAGAAGAGTTGATTGAATGGTCCGTGCGTCATTTCAATTTCCCCCAACTGTGGTGAGGACTTTCCCCGCATTTGAAATTCCCAACAAACACAACGACAACGCGATGCGAAGCAGCGAAGGGCATCTATCCTTCCCAAGCTGTCAGGCGTGGCTACCCCAGAAATTCAAACTATTACGACGATTTATCATTGGATTCAGTTGATTGATCGAAAGACTTTGTGCCAACTGCTGTACCCATCATGATGAGTTTCTTCGCGACACGATGCATGCTCGAGCAACTGTGCCCAAATACTATGATGATATAATCATAAATACACCAAACATGGCATTGCATGATATGCAATATCTGTCCAAGTATACATGGATTGTTCGATGCACAATGGCGCAGCAATACCTTCCACGCACATTAATCGCGCGATATTAGGATGTTGGGATGAGGACAATTACATCAGAACAACTTGACTCAGGCTTTTTGGTTTCTAAGGCTTTGGTTATCATCGGGCCATTGATAAGAGACGCTAATGGGAGGTTAAACTCCGGCAACTGTGACGAGCATTGAGTGTAGGTGTAACTCCTTGGACACCATCCGAAGAATCGAAAGAATTCTTTCCAGATTGGGACAATGTTCCTGGTTTGATTTTGACAGCTTTGCCACTTCGGCACTTTCATCCTGAGAGCAAGGATTCGAATGATCGAATTTTCATTAATGTTATTGTTGCAGTCCATGGTTTTCTCGGAACACTAACCTGGCTTGACTTTAACGTCATTTCTGACATACCACATAAATCATTCTTTTGCAGTTGTTGGTGCCTGGAAAGGGCCAGCATCCCAACTGTGTGCCATGTGAGCAATTACATGGTCAGAGTAAAGGTTCAGGGAACATCAGAAGAGGAAGAAAAGCCGTCACTCCGAAAGTCAATCTTTCTCTGGGTCGTGTTAGACACAAAGTGGCCTCATCTCTACGTCTAGCCTTCACATCATTCCGTCAATTGGTAACAGAATAACAGGCTGGACATCAAGCGCTGAACTGAGATTCATCTCGTCTCGGTCAGTGATAATCGAATCAACGGCGCACTGCTACCTCATTGGGTCGCTTTGGGACCGATTTTGACATCCCCGGCTAGGCGATAACTCACTCTCTTCTTACCCGGTCGATCAAGGACGATTTAAAACTTTCAATGTGCGAAAGGCGCCGTCTCTTCGCATCGGGCCGTGTAACCAATTACATCATTTTTTGGATAGAATACAACGCATGTTCCGCGGAACTGACTCGGGAGGCTTTTCATGTAAGTATGAAGCAACAAATGAAGAGATTCATTTATCATTGTGGAAATGAATCTTCGGGTCGTTAGCCCACTTTGCGACATCTTCATTGATCTTACTGGGGACATTCCCTCCTAGGCTTACGATATTTTCATTCAGCACGGCCTCGGTCTAAATGAAAATATGTCTCAGAGCTCTCTTTAAATTTGCATATGCAGATTGTTATTAGCGGAAATTGCAAAGTCCTTCGGCTCTTGAGGCTCCGATGAACACACCAATGGATTTCCGATTTTTCATGTAGATTGGAACCGAGGCCAAATTATCAAAGAAAAAAGAGAAAAGGCAAAAAGCCTGCGTGTGGTGGAATGTGATCTGGTAGAATTCTCGCGTTCTACAAAATTTACTTGCCTCAAGGATTAAAAGCCAATGATGTTCAGATTCGGGAATTTCATATCCTGGTATACTGATGTTTCTTTGGCTTCTATGGCTTTCAGGGCAGGCTGGAGAAGATTGGCGACATCTCACGAATCTTGTCAAACCTTGTAGCTGCATCTTTAATATTACTTTGGTTGTAACCCAATTACGGCATAGTTGTCATTCTGGGGTGATCACGAGCTTCCCCACAAGCCACCACCCCCAACATCCCCAGATTCTTACCCCGCCATAAAGAGCATGCAGAATATGCAGAACTTGCAGAGAAAATATGCAGAGTCTACAGATTACATGCGAACCACAAGTTTAGCCAGGCCCGTGGTAGTTTGTACGACTATAGGTCGGACCGGAGAACGGCCGTTACCAAATTCAGAAAATCTTGCTATGTAGGAACATCCTTAACTTTATCTTACACGTGGTAAACTTGAAACCTCCTTCCGTCTTTGTATGGGCTCGCTCGTGGCTTTAATTGTCAGAATTGCCTTAAATTCTCTTGTCGTGGTAAATCTAGATTTTTGTTGTTTGGGATTGATTTTCTGCTTGGCCGAATTCTGCTCACAAGGCCACTTTTCGGCAGTGATTCGGAGCATTTTATCCAGAATACCACATCACTGGGCCCGCTTGTTGGATTATTCCGAATCCCAGATTCTCTTAATCCGCATTGAGCACAAGCTAATATCAACCACATCTCATGTTAAATGATCATGAGGCTGGAAACCCTCACATGTTACTGATGGGGTCCGAAATTGTACAAGACGCTCCCGTCGTACAGAAAGTCTTGTAAGGAAGCTCGTGATAATGCCCTTGAGAAAGGTCGGAAAATATACAGAAGTGTCTCAATAATGCTTTAACTAATACAGATTAAACTAAGCTCTTACTCTTGCAGCGGCTTCATCTTCTCCTTTTGGACAAAACACAAAAATGGTGCATGTAAGCACAGTGAATATTTTGCACATAAATGATCGGTGATTTCCCATTGATTACCCTCTACATCCTCTTTCAGTCTCAATCTTTTCACCACACAATTCAAGTCTTCATCATGGTGAACGTGATTAGAAGCGTAGTCTTACTTTCCCTGGTGCTTCAGTCATCATGTATGCAGTTCAAGATACCTCAGGTTGAAAAGGTAGTGGCGAAGGTTATGAACAAGTTCGCACCATATGTGCACAACAAAGGACAGCACTCCGATACCGCAGTCATCTCAGCAAAGGAAGACATGTCCCAGATCATTCCTCGTGCGACCCCTTATTGGTACGAACAAATCTCACATCAAGGAAAATCCGCATGGGGTCCTTCAGGATACCAAGTTTACCGCAACGTGAAAGATTATGGAGCAAAAGGCAAGTCAATCCATATACCGAGGGTCCTTGCTAACAATATCTAGGTGATGGCGTTACCGATGATACTGCAGCTATCAATGCGGCTATTAGTGCCGGTGGAAGATGTGGTCAAGGATGTTCCTCGACATCAACTACACCCGCAGTTGTCTATTTTCCATCTGGAACCTACGTGATATCATCATCGATAGTAGACTACTACTTCACTCAAATCATTGGTAACCCAAACAGCTTACCGACTCTTAAAGCCACACCTAATTTTGTTGGTTTCGGTTTGATCGATGCAAATCCATACTACTCCCCTGTCCTTAATTGGGGCTCCACCAATGTATTTCTGAGGCAAATTCGCAACATAATCTTTGATATGACTAGCATTCCAGCTGGAACCACGGCTACAGGTCTGCATTGGCCAACTTCCCAAGCAACAAGTTTACAAAATGTTGTATTTCAGATGAGTTCTGCTCCAGGAACTCAACATACTGGTCTTTTCTGTGAAAGTGGTAAGTACAAACGAAAATCTAGAGAGTTCCATGCTAACGTTGAGAAAAGGTTCTGCTGGACTTATAGTTGATGTTACCTTTAACGGCGGTCTTGTTGGTGCTGCTATTGGAAACCAGCAATTTACCATGCGAAATCTGGTTTTTAATAACTGTGTTACGGCAATCAGCATGTTCTGGGATTGGGGATGGTTGTTCCACGGCATCAGCATCAACAATTGTCAAAAAGGAATTGATATCTCGGCAGGAGGTTCAAGTGCTCAAACTGTGGGATCTGTCATCTTGATCGACAGCTCAATCACCAATACCCCGATCGGAATCATAACTGCTTACACACCTAATGCGACACCGGATACAGCTGGTAGTCTCATACTTGAAAATGTGGTACTCAGTAATGTTCCCACAGCTGTTACTTTGAGTGGTGGATCGACGATATTAGCTGGTACAAGTGGAAGCACGACCATTGCTGGGTGGGGTCAAGGCCGCCAATATGTTCCTAGTGGTCACTCTGATTTCCAAGGCGCCATCACTCCAAACAGTCGGCCTGCATCTCTACTCAGTGGAAACAGATATTACACTCAATCGAAACCTCAGTACAATGGCTTGTCAGTCTCATCATTCACGAGCGCAAGGACAAATGGTGCAGTAGGAGATGGTACGACCGATGACACCGTTGCATTGCAACGCGGAATCAACAATGCAGCAAGCGCTGGGAACGTGTTTTTCATAGATGCAGGTACTTACAAAGTGACAAGCACAATAACAATCCCTCCTGGTTCAAGAATTGTAGGCGAATCATATTCAACCATCTTGTCAAGTGGCAGTTTCTTCAATAATATGAATAGTCCACAACCTGTCGTACGAGTTGGAACGGCTGGTCAGACGGGACATGTCGAATGGAGTGATTGTTTGGTTTCAACACAAGGTCAACAAGCTGGTGCAACGTTAATCGAATGGAACCTCGCAAATTCCGGTTCGACGCCATCTGGAATGTGGGACGTGCACACACGAATTGGTGGTTTCACGGGATCGAACCTACAAGTTGCTCAATGCGAGAAAAATCCAGCCACTACCACGATCAATTCGAACTGCATTGCTGCTTATATGGGCATGCATATTACAGCAGGTGCCAGTGGCTTGTACATGGAAAATTCGTGGATTTGGACTGCTGATCATGATTTTGATGATCAAGCTTTGAGACAACTCGACATCTATGCAGGAAGAGGTCTATATATCGAGAGTACTGCAGGACAAATCTGGCTGTAAGTTTATCTTCCTGAAAATATCATGGAGACGTTCTAACAATTGGCAGTTGGGGTACTGGAGTTGAGCATTTCACTTTTTACCAGTATCAATTCGCCAATACAAAGAACATATTTGCGGGCTTTCTCCAGACCGAAACACCGTAAGATCCTTGATCCATTGTTCTTATGTAATCTTAACTGATGATCTTTAGATACTATCAACCACAACCGCTTGCCCCAACACCCTTCGGCGTTGTCTCATCTCTCAATGATCCTAACTTTAGTACTTCTTGTGCAGGTTATTCCGGCAACTGTGCTGCAGCTTGGGGGTTGAGAATCATCAATTCTCATGATATTCTTATATACGGAGCGGGACTGTACTCATTCTTTGATAATTATTCTACCAGTATGTCTTCCACTGAATTTTATGCTCAACTCCCATGAACCATATAGAATATGTACTAAAACCTCACAGCTTGTTCCAACGCTGGTGGCCCCGAAAACTGTCAAACCAATATCTTCAGTCTCGAAGGTACAATCTCAAACGTCAACATCTACACCCTCGCTACTGTTGGCACCACAAATATGATTACGAGAAACGGACAGAGTCAAGCGGTGTATAGTACGAATATCAATGTCTATCCTACTTTGATTACATTGTATAAGTCTGGTTAGAGTATCTGGCGTTTTTGATGGAGATTCTTTGCGCGTTGATATGCGAACATGCAGATTGTATGGGTGTAGGTGTAGGTTATTGAAATTGGAATTGGAATGGATACTTTAAAGTGAGTAGATTGTAGTTGGAGTCTGGCAGTTAGGTGTGGATTCGGAGGAAGCGATGCTTTATTCTTGCTGCAGCTTTATGTCTATCTATCTTTCTTTTTTGGATAACATGAACATATATATATTCCTTCCCTGCGCGATATTTTATGACTTGCACATATCAAATACTGAACTTACTAAATGGATGATTTGAATTCGTGAATAGCTAATGCTTTTGTGGAAATCATCATGAGTGATTTAGTCAATTGTTCATCTCATCCTCCACATCTACATTCATTATAACAATCCATCCAGAGAGAACTAATATCCTAAACATTCAAAATCTACCTAGCGCTTCGTCTATCGCTAGCCTATCACCTTATCGATCTTTCATAAGTGGTGGAAATAACCTTAAATTCCATCACATGTAGATCCCTACATTCAATTCAATCCCTGTCTTGCGAGCCTCCTCCGTCATTCCTCATTTGAACCTTGTAATCGCGATGAGGGGTGTGACACAGCAAGGCTTGGAATTGATATTCATGGTGGATGATTCTGGGGTCAGAATGGATAGCACTTAAGGGAAGGGGATTTCATTGTTGAAGCGTAAGTGTAGAAATCTTTTATTTGTGGTTATTGAGAGGATAGGGAGAAATTTTGATGAGGGGAATGAATTTTAATCTGGAGAGGAAGGAAATGGTTTGGGGTCTGAGGAGCAACGCGAGTAGCAAGCCTAGGTGCCTGTGATAGATGTTAAAGTTTGGCTCTTAACATATCACTCTCATTGTTTGTTTCACTCTCCACAATACTACAAACCAAGGTTTTACAGTATCTAATAGTGGTCGTTTATCTTAACTTACGTCTTCGCTGTAAATCACTTCTTCTTCTGGACTGTTTGCAAAATCAACAGACACAAATTAATCATTCTTGAAGACGCTCAAACTCGACTCTAGTACCGCTCATGGCTTTCTCGTAATGCCTTCCACAACTTTCCTGCAATCTATGATCTATGACTAGTCAAACCACCCAAATCGACCGAGCTCACACTCATATTCCTCTTCCTCCTTCGTAACCTGAACCTTCCAACCACAATCATGTATCAATTGTCTCACCTTGTCATCAATTTCCGATATTTCCCATGGACCCCAAATACAAAAGTCGAGGCTGATTTCTCTCAGCGAAGAAGTCCTCTTCAATTGCGCATCTATTCTCTTCAAATCTTCTGCAAAGAGGCTGCTACTACCAGCCTCGTCCAATTTAACTCCCCTAGAACTTCGATCCAGATTACAACTGTTCCACAGCAAGATTCTCACAGTTGTAAGACTAGTACACTTGTCGTGAATGAAGTCCAGAGCTTGAGTCTTCACCGGGTCCGGGTCGGAATCGTTCCTAGTCAATGGAAAATAGATTCCCAGATGCCGAATCAAGCTTGCGTTATAATTTCCCACCTGGGTGAGAAATTTAACAATGCCTTCATTGCACGGCATCAGGCGATCTCCGAATTCTTTATGCAAACGTGATAAGTGAAATCGATTATTGCCATATAGAAGAGGAGTCGCTTCGTGATGGAATTGCTTACTGACTCGCAGTATTTGGGGAGAGAAACAATCGCTATCTTCTCTGATGGCGATTAATTGTGCTGGATCATCTGGGCTTGAAGTAAAAATAACTGATAATGGTTCTGGGGCCACTAGAAGTTCCTCGTATATCTTTAGTCGAATCTCGATAGTAAAGTCGAGAAAGTTGAGTTTCGAGGTTTGCGATTGAGGGAGTGGTGGGGATCTGGGCTCATTCTCGACTTCCATTGTAAGAGTACAATCTTGGGAGATAGAAGGTGGGAAAGATTTGTATCACGATGAAAATCTTTGGAGGAAGTTACTTTGATAGTGAAGCTTGCAGTTATCAGTAATTAAATATTGTGTGGAAGGGGGTTTTTGACATACAGACAACTTTTGCGCGCACGAATCTTTAGAAATTTTGAAGAGGGAGAAAAGATAAGGATATAAAACTAGGTAGTTAGATGGAAAATACGACTGACTTTTTGAGATTTGATGATATACGATGAGTGAGGGGTAAAGATTTAAGATTATATGGAGATGCATAAATGGAAGCACATATTCTTCTTCGCCACCGGGAGGGACCCTTGCACCTGATCAGCTGTCAAAATTTCTCGTCAGTGGTTCTTGTGTTGGTGACTCGAACGGTGTATACTTATTCCTAAGAGTCATGAAGTAAAGGATCGATATAATTCAATCCGCTGATATCTATCTCTTACACATATTCAATCCGATATTGAGCGTACAAAGAGATACCTACATGAGTACCTACTAGTCGAAGAGTGCTTATATAATCAGAGCCTATACGATCGATGTTAGTCTGAAATTCAAACTACAAGAATAAGTTTCGCTCATTCAATACATAGACTTAATACTTGATTATAATCACATTGTCAACTCTCTTTAGATAAGCATACTCAAAACACAACATTCTATACTCGAGTAGACTTTCGAAATATGAAATATAAAATCGTGAAGAAGCTACCTAGGTAGGTATACATAGATGGTATCTAGCTAGCGAGACGCTACGCTCCGAGATCTTATCTATATCATGCATAGGTACTACCAGCTTTTTATAAGTTCAACTATCACAAGAATAGTAATAATCATAGAATTATAAACTGGAGTACCTACTCAATATACTTTCAATCCTCAAGTTGGCTTTGATGTATATATCAGAGTGAGATTAAGAATGATATCGATATCTAGATACAATATCATAACGAACGGACAGATTTTAAGGGGGAGCTTTATATCCATTGACTGTCTAATTACTTACTATATTTGATATTCATTTCATCACGAATACCCTTCCTTCCTTAGATACACAATAACAAAGCAATAAAATCACAAAGAAACAAAGCAACATCGAAACCCAAACATAAGTACAAAAACCATCAACACAATAAAATCCTCACAAATTGCTCGCAAACTTCTCATGTCAATAAACACAGAGATCTATATAGTATACACTATATCTAGGCTTCTAGAGAAGAAGACCCTATCACACGTCACATATCACATATTCTACTATTACTTGTCACTATCACCTTCATGATTTTTCAGGTCACGATCTCAACAAGAATCACATTAATTAATTAATTGATTGTATTTTTTATTTTTATTATAATTTTATTATAAGGAGATTTGATATGAGGAAACTTGACACAAGGAGATTGAATGTAAGGAAATTGAATGTAAAGAGATTCGAAGTAAGGAAATTCAAGTGCGGATAAAATAGACAGACAAGAAATAAGAAACCTACCTCCCACCTACCTACTCTCTAAACCGTCCCAAACCCCCCTCATCACCCCTGTCCCAACTATTATCCGGTGCCGGCGCCGCTCCAGTTGTATTTTTCTCTTTCTCTTCCTCTTCCTCTTCCTCTTCCTCTTCCTCCTCATTCTTCTTCTTCTCCTTCTCCGCAGCCTCAGCTCTCGCCTTCAAAATCAGCGCAATACCAAATTCCATCCTCCTCTTCTTCTCCGCTTCTACACGTGCCATTTCCTCCTCCAGCTCCCTATCCTCCTGATCCTCCATTTCCTTCCTCGCTCTCAGATCCGCCAAGAATATATCCCTAAACCCCCTTCTCTCCTCAACCCTCGGATCTCTCGGCACCATCGGCGCATTCGGGTCCGTCTCCGGACCAAAAACCACCGCTCCAGGACTAATATCCTCCTCGGCCTGGGCCTGTGTTCTCGGACCCGCAGCAAACGGATTCTGTACACCCTCAGGTTCGTAGAGATACTGACGATCACCTATGCTCCACGCCTCCAGCGTTTCCAGCGCAGTCAGCGCAACATCCTCATTGGAATTCGCCGCTTGACGTTCCAGTTTCACAATCTCCCCTTCGGCGATTTGTCCGCGCCACCAGCGATCCTCGGCCGCTTCGAATCCCTCGACATTATGTGCGCGCGCGGGAAAAAGTCCATGGAGTTTCTTCCCACGAGTGTGATGTTCGAGAAGGAAATTGTACCCCAAGAGACGCTTTTTGATAGTGGGCGAGACTTCGTAGAGTTGGTGGCCGCGCAGCATGTGTGCGAGGCCTGCGGAGCGGGTCCGGAGACCGTGGTCCCAGGTCCAGGGCTCACCGAGGGTGCTGGTGAGGGCGTCTTCGAGACCGGCGGCGAAGTATTCGTTCATGAAGGGGCTGGGGCCCGGGTACGGGTTGCGCTTGGGATCCATGCCGGCGCCTGAGGGCGCGTGTTCGAGCCAGGGGGTGGAGGGTGCGCGAAAGGCGCGGTGGAAGGGTCGTCCGAGGAAGTTGGATGTGTTGGGGGCGAGGGCTTCGATTTCGGCACGAGTGGTGCCTTGAAGAAGATGCGAGTGTTGGTTCTTATTGCGTTTGGTGAATTTTATAGGGCCGGGGAGAGTACGGAGAGGGGGATGACGAACCGGTCTTAGATACCCGATCCCGGGTCTGAGATTACGGATGCTTTCTTCCCGACGTTCTTGCTCTTCGGCGCGTCTCTTTTCTTCTTCGAAGATTTTCGTCTCTTCGCTTACCTCTTCTCCCTCTACACCTCTCCATCCCTGTGGCTCCCATACTTCTTCTTCCTGCGCCCCCAAGTCCTCAAAATCGGGTGTTGAGCCTGCGCTTCTTTCGCTCGTGGCTCTCTCGCTTCCGATATCCATGCTACTCTTTTTTCTATTTTTTTCTGTCTTCTCCTCAACTGCTCTCTTTCTCTCCTCTGACTTCTTCTCCGCCTCTTCCTTCTCTCTCTTCCGTTCTTCCTCCCAATATTTCGCCATAACCGCGCGAGCCTTGACGGCTTCGCGTTCATAGTGAGATAGAGTGAGGGAAACTGATTCGGTGCTAGAATCAGTAGTTGAAGAGGAAGAATCAGAAGGAACTTGGAACCCGGTGCGTGGGGTGGGAGTAGGTTTAGGTTCCGAGGTATTTGTATCTGGCTCCGCAACATCTGGTTTCTCGGAAGAAATATCAGAAGCGGCGGGATGTACCTCGATAGCTACTCCAGCGTCTGGACGCATAGGAAAAGAATCGGAAGAATCGGATTTTTCGCTAGATGGTTTCGCCGATGAGGGTTGAGGTTGGGGGTGGGGGTGACTTACCTTTGTTGAAGGGGAAGAAGAAGGATCGGAAAATCCGACATCGATGCCGAATTGTGATAGATCAACCGGTGTTGTTACCTCACCTTCCGGTTTCTTCTCGCCAGGATTCTCATCCGGTTTCGCAGGAGTAATAGGATTAGGACTAAAAGGATCGAAACGACCGGATTTCGAACCCGAAGATGTTTTTGATGAAGGTGAAGACTTGTCATCTTCTCCATTATCATTATCATTATCATCATGATCCTCATCAACAAGTATAACAACATACTCGCTCGGAGCCTGCGTATACCAATGATTATAAACTCCATTTTCCAACCACCTACCTTTTCTTTGCTCATAGTACAGAGCCGGACCCTCTAGTTTCAAAACTCGAAGTAAATCAACCAAGCGGCACCACTCCTCTCCAAAAACAGGTCTATACATAACCCCACCGGGTTCATATCTGCCGCTCCCCGCAATCCTCTGATTCCTCTCCCCTCTCTCCCACTTCTCCTCCTTAGCTCTCGAAAGCAACTCCCCAAACCCCCAAGGTTCAGGACTCCTCGAGTACTCGACCAACCTCACCAAAACCTTCACCCAATTCCCCACCACCTCCGCATCCAACGACGCCTCGTGTCCCCGAAACTCAACCGTATCCGGTAAACACTTCTCGTGCGGTCGCGTCTCCGTCCCCATCCGATCAAAATTCCACGCCATTTTATGTCCCACAAACGAATACGCACCTGCGGCCCCCTCACTCGCTACACACGTGCGAAAAGCATCTCTGCTTTCGCACGCTAGCAGCGTCGCGATGGTTTCGAGTACGCGCGGGGATCTTCCATGATCCTGCTGGTATTTCCACTGGAAATACGTGTTTCCGCGGAAAGAAACACAATAATCGTTACGGGAATCGATGCGATGTTCAGGATGAATGGAATCGAATTGCGGTTCGAAGGCTTGGATCATAGCGGCCAGACGACGAAGATGCGGGAGAGTAAATCCCTGAGTTCCGTAGCCGACGTGGACGTGGAGACCGCATGATTCGTTGACGGTGACGAGGTAATTTCTGCGCATGATTTTACAGAAATCGGCGACGTCTCGGAGCGCATCTTCGCAGTAGTAGTATGCGGGAGTGCGGATTTCGATGGGGTAATAGGTGTAAGCTTGCCAATCGGCGTAGGCTTTTTTGTTGCGACGGCGAGGGGGTTTGGGAGGCTGGATGGAGCCGTCTCTAGTGACTTCCCACATGGCGAAATTGGAATTGGCCTTTTCGGGTTCGGTGGGGAGACCAATGGAGGCGAGACTGCGTTTGATGTGTGCGTAGATGGACCATTCGTTGGCCCAGTCTTCTTTTCCGACGGGGATTTGGAAGTAGGCTGGGGCGTTATCTTCCGGGGTGGGGGGGAAGTAGACGGTTCGCGGATCGGAGGGGTTGGGGTTTTCGATGGAGGGTTGAGCGAGAACCGCGATGAGGAATTCGAATTCGATTCCGAAGGAGGGGGTATCTGGTGAGACCGGAGTCTTCTTGGGGACGTGTACGATATTCATCTTTGCTTTGTTTATATATCTCTATATATGTGTTTGTTTTGTAGTGATCAACCTATTGATCGTGTATATCTATGTGTAATGTGAGTCGATGAAACTCGAATTTGAACTTACTAGTACGAATTATAAAATGTAGAATAGCCAACTACTTGTAATTTTAGCTATAGTGTTTAGATATTTAGTTCAATTGATAGAAGGATATGATAGAATGACTGTTGTGAAGTTTTCTTGGATTTTTGAGTGAAGGATGGGGACGGTAAGAGTTTAAGTACTCGAATGAAGATGATGAAGACAATAGGTTTGTGAGGAGAGGATAAAGAGACGAATGAAGGTTGAAAGAGAGAGGAAATAAGATGAAAGATGGAGATATTCATTGTTGATAGACAAAGGTACTATAGGAAGAAGAGATCCATCACTCACTGGAGGGAAGATGGATAGCTTTCCATTGTCAATGGACAAAGACATTAACACAAAGAATCAATCCTGTCCATCGATTCCCTTCAAAGAACAAGAAACCCGGGAAGAAAACTCTCACGGCAATCACTATCTCTCATCCCTCATACCTCACCCCAAGTATCAAAAATAAAACTACTCCAACAAGCCCTTATCATTCCTCACAAACAACTCCCTCATCTTCCCTTCTCATCTTCCCTTCCCTTAATCCACGTCCCTCCCTCCTTCCCTTCCAAGTCCACCTAATTCCTAGCCCTATCGCTCAAAATAAAACTCACAACTCACAACTCACAACTCCACAACTCCCCTCTCCAACAACCAACCCCAAACCCACCCCCAAACCCACCCCCACCTCTCTCAAATATCAATTCATCCCTCCATATCCGCCATTTACCCGCTATCAACCACCATCAACCACCATCAACCACCATTCCCCCTTCACAGCCCTAGAATAGCATATCCACCCCTCCTCCTCTTCATACCCCAACACCCTACCACTCCAACTCCCCCCCTCCAACACCACAACACAATACACCCACATCACCAAATCCCAATATCACAATACCAGACTCCCCACGAAAGAAGCATCAGAACCCTCTCAAAACATAGTAGATCCAATTCACTCCCTACCTGCAGAGTCATAGATACACATACATCACATCTTCAATTGTAGCGGTGATTGGACACCCCATTAACCTTCCTTCCTCCCCCTTCACGCCCGTGAGAACTTGCGGAATACAACAACTCTTAGAGGAAGACAGTGGAGTCGATGAGAACAAAGAGATCAATAGAAAGCATATCTCGAGATTCCACCGAGATTTTGCTGAACACTTGTTTGCCGTCATCATCACAATCCCAGGCTTGATCCCTCGTAGAGTGAACAAAACACAATCTCACTCAAGTCAAAAGGTAATCAAAAGTTTCTGACACGCACATTCGCATTATTATATATACTATGCTATGCTACGCCAGTATATGAATGTGGTATGTATTGAAGTCGAGCTCAATCAGCTACCATCCTCCAATCTCATCTCAATCATTAATCATCCCCCTTGACCGTTATTAAAATATCTGCTATGATAAAACTAGCAGCTCAGCCACTTCTTACATGCCTTCAAAGACATTTAATGGATATAGATCGATGTAGAAACGTGAAAACCACGAGCCATAAACACCAATGCTAATCAGAAAAAGAAAAAAAACCACAAAAACACGCGCTAAAAACATAAACAATGAGGTGGAAGCGTAAAAATTATACACATAATCATCATCGGATGATTCAAAAAAAAATCTCATGCTCTTTGTAGAGATACAAAGATCATTGTAATTATTCCCAAATCCATCGTCCGAACTTCCTGTTTAAAGCATCAAACCAAAGACAGCAGCAACACCTGCCGCGAAGATGCCGGTACCATATTCACGACCAATGTTCAAAGCTGAAGCGGCAGCAGAAGAGGTAGCAGCGGCAGAAGCGCTGGTAGCGGATGCAGCGGAAGTACCAGTGGCGGTTGCGGAGGCGGTCGAACTTGCGGAGGTGGTGGCAGGAGCGGTGTAGTTATCTGGATCCAATTGACCGCAGTCCTTTGCTTCGGTCTCCTTGCAAAGCTTTTGAGCGGCGGCATCGTTCTCACCTGCGGCAATGCAGTTTGCGTAAACGGTTTCGCAGATATAGGTTGGCAAGGTTTGTTTGTAGTATTCAAGACCTGGAGTGGATCCGTTTGAAGAACATGTGCAGGTGTAGTTCAAGGAATCCTGAAAAGAATATGAGGTCAGCATGTGTACGCTGTCCAACTGGATATCGAGCAAGAACTCTAGTGAGAACGGATTTTACTTACAGTGTCACAGGAATTGGCGTCGACTGCACCACTGCACAGAGTACCGCAAGTGTTGATCTCGGCGGTGCACCATTGGGCTGTGATTTGTTATCAGTACACATGTATCATGAATGTCACAGATTCAAAAGAGAACGTACATCTTGTGGGGGCGTCGATAGTGCTTGGATCAATGGTATCGTTGGACGATTGAGCTGCAACCAGAGCAACAATGCTAAGACCGACGATTGACTTGATGAACATCATGGTGGAAGGTGGTGGGATGTTGTTGAGAGTGAACAAGGTTGATTATTAAGTATTCCTGGAAAGGATGAAGGTCGAGAGATGGAAGAGAAGTTGTTCGGAGATCTTTGGATTTGACGATTGAGAGAGAATATGGATTGTTGAGATTTATTAGAAAAGATGGAGGAGGAGGAAGGGAACAGGAACGGGAATTGGCGATGGAATTTATTATTTATTTATTAAACAATTAGAGAAGGTGGTTGGGGTGCAGTATTAGATTTTATCGTGAAAATGTATTGGCACTGGTGGTAGATAAAAAGAGGTGAACGTGAACAAATGGTAATAAATAGTAATAAATAGTAATAAATACTAATAAATACTAGCATGAGGCAAGTCCCAATGGCAAAATTCAAAGGTGAAAAGCGACTAAAGAGGTTACCATCGGAGAATACTAGGGATGAGAGAGGTGGAAAGCGGGAAAGCCATGATCGCATTGGGTTAGACCATGGATCCAGCAGCAGCGTGAAGACGAATCAATGAATTCTAACAGGGGAGCTAACGGAGATAAGGTTAGCTCGTCAATCTATCTGGATTTCCTCCACGTCAATCCTTGCTCATGTATTGCATTAGTTTGAGTGGTTTGAGTGTTTTGAGTGTTTTTGGTGGTGACTTTGATAACTTGGATGTCTTTTGGTACCTGGCGCACCAGATGTCCTGCCAAGCTTATCATATCTACTAGCTACGGTCACACGTTCTTCAACTTTGATCCAATCAACCAATGAGAGATGAAACTCGCATTGTTGTCATTGTCGTCGCTGGCGTTTTGTTGTCGATATTACTGGTACGACTGGTATACACTTTCTTGACTTGTTAGTCTCTCTGCTCGTGTTTTCTTTAAGCTTACTCTCGTCGTCGTCGTCGTCGTCGTCCTCACTATTACTAATAATTATATCTTCTTTTTCGGTACCGACTGATGCAACGACTGTACCGACCTACCAAAGTAATAGATAAAGTACACAATCATATGTAATACTCCCCCTCATTTCATTCCTTTTTTTTCCATCAAGGGGGTTCATTCTCGGGACTAACTTAAATAAGTATTGCCTTCGGAGCAAAATGGGAAAATGGAGTCTTGAGATCCGTGACCTGGTCAAAAATAAAATTACTTTGCAACTTTTTCTTCCCTTTCTTCCCGGTCTTCCCTGTCTTCCCTTTCTTCCCTTTCTCCCTTCACTTCATCCACCCTTCTCTATCCTTCCCTCCCCTTCCTCCTTTCTTATCGCTTTTTTATCACTCAAAATTCCCATCACAAACCAAATCGTTCCTGATTTGAGACGCTAAAAAGCTTGTTATGTTCATTCGACAAGGATTCAATTGATTACTGGTATTGGTTAAAGTGGACTGGTTTGAGCATGAACAACGTAAGTCGATCCAGTTTCTACCTAATAAGTCATTTTCCTTTCCATTCTTATCGGATATGATTAATCGTCGGCCCTAAAAAGCGTTTTGTCTTATTCCTTCCTCTATCGAAGTCGTTGGTGTTTGATGTTTGATGAATGTGAAATAGTAAGTGAGTAAGTAATCAGTCTGATGACGCTCCGCTGGGCCACTGCCGTGGAGGCTTCTTCGCTTCGCTCTGCTCTGATGATCGGATCTGATAGAATCTGCGTTCAGCATCTCCTCAGCATCTACTCAGCATCCATCGTAATTGGTTCAAGAGTGATACCTTGACTACATTTTCACTGAAGCAACCGGGAAGCTGCTCACGGCAATTGTGGCGACTCGGAGCTAATATAGATCTGGTTAGATTGAAAATATCCACTTCTTCGCGACAGTTACACCTTTTCCTCTGTTTACATCCGAGATCTCTTCAAGGTACAACACAAGACTCAAGTAAGTGCAAAGTCACAGTCACAAAGGGTACAAATAAATGCACAAAGGGATGCAATATCTTCAAATACGACCCGTCCTTATTTTATTATCAAGGAATGTGAATTCTTTACATATATCTACAGTATGCACAGCATCATACACATGATATAATTCATTGTCCTCTGCTGTCTTCTCTCCATTTGAAGCCACCCTAGTACCCATTGTTACATTATGAATCTTCGCTTCTTTGAACTCCTTCCCTTTGAAGCTCCTACTGCTCCACTCAACCTTCACTTCTTCACAAAGATCATGCTTTCCTTCATTTCTAGCCAATACCCGTTGCTCCTTTTCCTTACACTGTCAACCTAACGCTCACCAAATCTACACCGATCGTCAAACAATCTGCATAACAATATCATTCATCTCAAACCATCCAAGCTAACCTAAGAAACCCTCTTTCAAGTTCACGGACTACGATTTTCTTTTTCTTCGAATCAAGAAGCTCGTCCCAATTGACTAATGAGCTAGCTCAACGGACTATTTCCGTTTAGCTGGATACCATCTTAGTTTCGTCGGGCTCTTCCTCAAGACTTATAGTCACAGACTCACCACTGACCACTTTACTGTGTCTCTATGACAGAAAAATTATGGTAACGACTAAAAATTAGCGACACTTGGGGGGTTTTTTTTCGGGACCGGTAGCTCCGGATGTTCGGCGTAATCTTCGTTCATTCGTCAACGGTGAGTCAAAAATGTTGAACTCCTCGATAGAGACGAACGAGTGCCAAGACCCACATGTGATCTACGAACACATGATTAGGAGGTTTTCGAAATTGAAATTGCATTTGGCGATGAGGAAAGCTCTTGGGCATCATTTCAATTTTGAAAGTGTTTTGGAATTGGAGACTTTGTTCTTCTCATTCATCTTGACTTTCCTTCAATTATACCTCGGGCTCGTGTGGACCTGAGTACGAGATATTAATTTGAGTGAACTCAATTTCTAGCGAGGCCTCTTTCTTAGACAAGTTCAAGTATCAAGGGGGAGTCTCCTGAATTTTTACAAATTATCCCATCGACCGACTTAGGGTCATGTATGAATGAGAGCACCAAATTGAGAAGTTTCGCCTGAAATGACTCAAGCACAGATCAAGGTCCCCTTATTGTCCGAAAAGTTAACAGCCAAGGGTAATCAATTATGAAGTCCCCTGAGCCATTGGTTAAAATAAGTTTATATACTCAGATCGCTTTGCTTCCACTCCTATTCGTCGCTTTCTCCTATCAAGTCATATTTTCGGTACACCTCCTGTATTCGCAGTCTCTTTTCACAAAGTTACTCCCATACCCTTCAAATTACACACCACACCCTCTTGACGCCTCTCCCAACAATTTCCAGCAAGATGTCATTCAGAGATGTCTATTCGAAGATTTCTGAATCAAATTTGTCTTCGGCTAAATCATCTTATTTGACCTGATGAATACATTCGGCTTTGTGGTATTGTTCCCAACTTTGTTATTCACTGCTACACTAATTTTGGTTTCAATATCACTTGCAAGATTTGTCAAAGTCTATTCTATCTTGCTGTCCGGAGATAGCGGTCGTATGAGTGGGCGTGGGGGGTGAACAGCAGAGAAACCCGGAGACGTAGAGGAAAGGGAAATTTTTAGAAGAGGGATTTGGGACTGCACGATGAATTCATTGCTGGGAGGGATGCGCGATCGTTGGTTTGCTTTCACTCAAATCGACATCTGAAGAAAGCTTGATTGAGACCGATGATGTGTAGTTCACCTCCTTGGTGTGATTGTTGCGAACGAGTGTTTCACTCTGCATCTCAACGTCTATTGCTTTTGTGCCCCAATTGTATTGTCTTATCTTTTGTTGTCAATCATGGGACGATCGTCCTTGATTTGTCGAGAGTTGTTGAGATTGTCAATTGTGATATTCATTGAGTTTATCATGATTCAATCCTTTAAAACCGTCATTTCAATATCCGCCTCGCAATCCGAACCACAACTCCTTTTGTCCGCCGCGATATAATTATCTTCCATTGGCGCGAAACAGTCGCTAGATTCAGATATTATGTTATTGGTCACATTTGGAACCTCCATTCCGAGAGACCTTCATTGTGAAGTCATCGTATTCTTCGTGGGCAATGAAGTCTACCATCTCGATATCAGGTGAGGCCAATGTTGTGATTGTTTCGTGATCCATGATTTTCCTCAAAGATGAAGAATTGGGCTCCTCTCTCAACGTGCGACAGAAACCCACTTCTTTCCTTTTCGTCATTATACGACGATGAGAAAATCATCAAACCGATATCTTTTCGGTAATCCTGCACATCATTTATCTTTTTTTGTTAATCGCAAATTCTCTATTTAATAGGAAGATAATGTGATGATTTTCGTCAGGACATGGAAATACTGGTCGGATAAGAATTGCGACCAATTCAATGAAAAGAAGTCTACCACGTGTGCCACGACTCACAAGTTTATGCATCATTGAGCCGCTATCTAGCACTAGGTGAGATTCCCCACACGCTAACATTCTTTCCCCAGATTGGCACAATTGAAACATGTTTATATCAACACATGCCGCGTGTGTACTAACCCTTTTGTTCTTAATATATGAAAGATCATGTTGCCTAGGGGATTATGGACAAGGGTTGAGGAGGAGAAGAAGGAAAGGTAAGGTGAAAGAGACAGACCAAGAGCAAAGCTCTGATCCTAGTTGAAGTGCCAAACTCTAAGTAGGTTTTAGCACTAACTAAAATCACTTACAAGTTACCCACTTCGAATAATTTGACATTTTGACAGTTGCCCAATGACGATACTGCGGAGAAAACTTGCCATTACTTTCATATCGCAGCGCATGCTATCTAGAGTATGATGAGCAGGAGGAGGTGGAAGAAAAGAGACGAAAATAGGAAAGAGAGAGAAAGGTTTTGGTTAAAGAGGGCGTGATGCTTTTCATTAACTATTTGGGGGAAAATAATTCCCCCTAGGTTGATGAAATTTCGAAGTATGTTCACATCTATGTTGCCTCTCCTCTGATCAAATCAACATATTTGACAGCTTTTCAATAGCTTATACGATTTGACAGTCTTCTCTTCTGATTGATTGAATGGTGTCGCTTCTGACAGGGGGGTTTATAACCCGTGATTTTCAAACGATCAAACGCTCAAACGCTCAAACGCAAATCGGAAGCCGACTTCCGTCTTCAATACCAACCGCCAATGAAGATGCAAGAATTTAAGCTTAATGCATCAATCCATGTTCATCATAGTTTTGCACCGATAACACACAGACTGACTTTACGATTTCTTTGGTACTCGTATTGAAACTCTACTTCATAATTAGACAACAGTATTTCTTACTCTCATGAGCTTCTTCATACAATTATTTCGGTGCTAATATAGTTAGTCACTAGTTCAATTGATAGAATTTTGATATCATCAACGAGTATCGCTATGAAGATGATATAATACTTCTCTCTTCGACTATCTTATCTTCACATTTAAACAGAAAACATGATTCGGACCTCCGATCTCATCATTGAACGGACCCCGCCATTACCACAAACGAACAATAATGAGATGGTGAAAGATGGGAAAGAAATGGATTATTCTCAAGAATCCACTTCAATCAATTACACCATTGAAGTAGAAAAGAACCAGAGATTTTCTATGATAAAGGAGAATAAGATTATACAGTTTTGTTGGAGTGTGGTTACTTATACGCCGAAGAGATGTCGATATGATGTAGATAACCCGCCAAAATTCAGTTTGTGGATGAATTTGCTATTTGCTTTTGTAAGTCTACTTCTTGATTTCTCTATGAGAGTTTATGATCTTGTAATTTTGCTAATACATATTTCATAGGCTGGTACTTTCACGGTGGCAAATCTTTATTATAGTCACCCTATTCTCAATATCCTAGCGGCAGAATTCAATGTCACCAATGAACGTGCATCAATCATTCCTACTGTAATGCAAGCAGGCTATGCGTCTGGACTGTTGCTTTTATGTCCTCTGGGAGATATCTTCAAGAGACGTGCATTCGTATTAGTATTGGTATTTTTTACTGCGACTATGGTACGTTTACTTGGAAAGACTTTTATAAATAATCTTCATGATGAGGAGTTCTCAATGTGCTCTTTTACTGAGTGAGGCTAACCATCATAGTGGCTTGGTTTATGCCTCACAAACTCGTTTTCAGTGTTTGTTGGAATATCTTTCATCACAGCACTTACCACGGTTACTCCACAACTTATGCTTCCTTTAGTGGGGGATTTAGCACCGCCAAATCGTAGAGCAACTTGTTTGGCTATTGTTTCTTCTGGTCTACTACTTGGTTTGCTGATTGCTCGTTTGCTTTCGGGTATTCTGACACAATATACTACTTGGCGAACAATCTACGTAGGATCCTCCCCCCATATCGCTTATTATATTCACTGACAATTTTTCAGTGGTTTTCCTTCGGTGTCCAATATCTCATCTTCATCCTTCTCTACCTATTTATGCCGGATTACCCAAGCACCAACCCCGGATCTTTCAACTATTTCTCCCATCTACTCAGTATCCTCCGCTTGCTCTTCAAACACCCCCTCCTAGTCCAAGCATCTCTAATCGGCTTCTGCACCTCCACAATCTTCACCTCCTACTGGACAACCCTCACATTCCTCCTCTCCTCCCCTCCCTACTCCTTCTCCCCAGTCCCCATCGGTCTCTTCGCTCTCATCGGCATCGCGACTTTCATCCTCGGCCCCATCTACTCCCGTCTCATCATCGATAAGTTCATCCCCCTCTTCAGCGTCATCCTCGGTCTCCTTTACTGTCTCATCGGCGTCGTCATCGGTACCTATACTGGGGAATTCACCCTCGCGGGTCCGATTCTCCAAGCCGTTTTCATGGATCTTGGGATCCAGACAGCGCAGATTGCAAATCGTAGCGCCATTTATGGGATTGATACGAAGGCCAGGAATAGAGTTAATACGGCGTATATGGTGTTGGTTTTTTTGGGGCAGTTGACGGGGACGGCGGTGGGGAATCGGTTGTATGCGAGGGGAGGCTGGGTGGTGAGTGGGAGTGCGGGGGTAGGGTTTGTGGGGGCGGGGTTGGGTTTTTGTTTTTTGAGGGGGCCGTGGGAAAAGGGGTGGGTGGGATGGGGAGGAGGGTGGGGGGTTAGGAGGAGGAATTTGGGGATGGGGGGAGAGAAGAAGCGAGGGGGAGGAGAGGGGGAGGAAAGGATGGGAATGCTGATGGGGGGGTTTTGGAGATGGGGATTGGCGAAAGGAATGGAGAAGTTGAAGTTGTACCTTCTCGTGTTGGTTCTATACGGGAATCGAAGGTTGAGAGTCTGGGAGATGAGGCGAAATCGGATAGAAGCCCAGGGTCTTCATCGCGAGTATCTTGAGTATCAAGATACTCGAAGTCGCGAAACTGGATTATATATATTTTTCATTTCGATACGATATTAGATTCGAGAGAAAAGCATAAGCCAGAGGATAGGAAGAGGGATGAGGAGAGACAAAGCAGAGTATACAAGTCTGCGATGTTGAGGAGATTTATATATGATGTATTATGATATCAATATATACATAGTCGAATAATACTATAATTCCCACAGTCGATGCGAAGAACAAGTTTGTGAGTTTCGAAAGAAAAATGGATTAGTGGAGGGGATGGAGAAGTACATAGATTGAATTAATCATGTGAAAGCAAACAAGATAGGACAAAATGAAATAAAAGAGAAGAGAAGAAGATGTAATCAAAGATGTAAAACGTATAAAATAGAATACCATCTAAACACTCAACCCTATCAATTTCTTTCTTGTATAGCATTGAATAAGTGAGAAAGATTTTTGATATCACTTGTGCCTTTTTCGATTTGGGGATGGATATTCTGACCGGGGAATGGGAAATGGGAAACTTCATGATTGGTGATGAGAGCTGGGGTGGGAGATAAGATTTATATGGGTTTACATATATCCGTGATCAGATGTGGATGGTGATTTTGATGCCTTTTGCTACATATTTAAGGGGGGAGGGGAAAATGTTGATGCGGGTTGGGGAATTGGATAAAGTGAAGTTTGAAATCGAGATTTTCTACATTTGATACGTTCCTGTGCCGAAGTACTTTGAGGCTCTCGATTTGCGCCCAGACCTCATACTGTCAAATCTTCCAAGGTCGTTCGATTGAATATCGGTATGAAGGACACTTCACCCCATCTTCATCCCATCTTCATCAATCTTCCACCAGCGATCAGTTTTGATAGACTGCTTATCGTTGGTTCAACGGGATGGACTGGTGCAAGTCGATGCTTGTCGAAAAGTCCGCCCACTCTTGGGGATTATCGACACTGGAAAGCTTACACACACCTCACAACTCACCCTGTGGTTCTGACAAGATACCTGTTAATCTAGCTCGATTTGATATCCATCCACGAATGATGGTCATCCACAGTTGAGATCGGTCGAGCCGATTGATTTAAGCCGATACCTATAGTCAGTACCGAATCTCGTTGGTTGAAATGTTGTCAGCATGAATACTAGAATTTGTGCCTCGTAACTCTCGTCAGCCATAAACCAGTGAATGTCTTTGAAATTGAGTAACATCTACAAATGTCAGAACCTTTCCAACAAGTGTTGGTGTTATTCTTACATATATTAGAAGCCCACGTCTGAGGCTGAGTACAATGTGAGCAATTTTCCCCGCACTGGAATTAGTGAGATTCTTCTATTGAGATTCTTGTTTCTTCGTCTCGTCTTCCATTTCTTATTTAATCTGTCCCCGAATCCACAAGTAAACAGTGGTTTGCTTACACGCAACTATCTACTGTATCTTATTCTTCATTTTTGAACCCTATTTATATCGAAATAATCATTTGGCCCAACCAACATGGCAAGAACTTTCGAAGGAGCAGAACCTACCACCTCCAGTACGAAGGAACTTTTGCCCAATCTTGTCGATGCAATCGCTGCAACGGAACCTGAAGCTATCTTCGCCGAATATCCTGTGAATCTCGTCAGTTATGAATCTGGCTATCAAAAGTTTTCATATGGGTCGTTGGCAAATGCCGTTAATGGTATAGCATGGTGGCTTCAAGAAAAACTTGGACCTGGGGAAGACTTTCCTACCTTGGCTTACATTGGTCCCAATGATATTGTCGTTAACGCTTTCTTATTGGGAGCTGTCAAGACTGGATACAAGGTGCGTAGTCTGATGACTCCGAGACCATGTTTTGAACAAGCAATTGATATCTGCCACTTATCTAGGCCCTTCTTATATCACCAAGAAACAGTATACGTGCGCAGGAAAATCTGCTCAATTTCACCAAATGCAAAACTCTGGTCACAACAAGCCCCCAATCAACCCAGCTACAACCCATGATAGCTGCCCTATCTTCAATGGGTATTCAAATACTCGAATTACCTAACATTCTAAACCTGATCGGAAAACCTCACGAAAATTTCCCATTCAAGAAAACTTTCGAAGCCGCTAAAGATGAGCCTTTCATGGTTCTACACACTTCTGGGACCACTGAGCTACCGAAGCCCATCGTGTGGACTCATGATTATATTGCTACGGGCACAGCGCGGATTGAAGCTCCTACCGGCTATGTTAATCAAATGGACTTATATGCTGGGTAAGATAGCGCGCTGACTTTTTGATTCTGTGGTTTTAAGCTAACTTCGGCTCAGAGTCCGTATCTTTAATACATTTCCAAGTTTCCATGTAAGTTATGTTGGATTCCGTAGCCATGGATTAATACTGATTAGAATAGGCAGCCGGTGTCTTCTTCGGTTTAATCAACGGAATCTCCAGACGGAGTATTTCAATATATCCAATAGCTGGTCTTCCTTCAGCTAGTCTTTTGATTGACGGCCTCAAGCATAATAATGCTGATATCGCGGTTCTCGTCCCACCCTACGTTGTTGACCTTGCCCAAAGTACGGAAAGTCTAGATTTCGTTGCCAAAAATCTAAACCGTATCTTTTATCTTGGAGGTGCTATTCCACCGGCCGCTGGAGATGTCATCTCTTCTAAAATTGAACTTATCGGCCACGTGGGAGCCACAGAGACGGGGCTTTACCCTTCCCTGAAGCCAGTCAACACACGATCCAACTTTTGGGGTCACCACCAATTTGATACCTGCGCAAATATATCCTTTGAGCATCAGGCTGATGACCTTTATGAAGCTGTCTGGAATAGAAACCTTGAGCCGGAAAAATTACAACCTATCTTCAAAACATTTCCAACGCTCCAACAGTGGAGATCCAAAGATCTCTACTCGCCACATCCTACGGAACCAGATCTCTGGCTTTATCGCGGTCGAGGAGATGACATTATCGTTTTCCTCACCGGAGAAAAAACGAATCCCATTTCCATGGAACATCGACTCAATCAACACCCAGAGATTCGTCAAGCAATGATTATTGGTACATTGAGATTTCAAGCTGCTCTCTTAATCGAACTTGTCGATCAAAGGCCAATGACTGCGACAGAAAGAGCAGAGATTATTGAACGTATTTGGCCTGCTATAGAAGATGCTAATTTGACATGTCCGGCACACGCCAGAGTTGCAAAATCTCATATTCTTTTCACGGAGCCAGGGCATCCAATCCTAATGTCCGCGAAAGGAACTATACAACGAAGTCCCACATTACGAGAATATGCTTCTGAGATAGAGAAGTTATATGTTGATGCTGACAGGATGTCTGCATACATTGCGGGTGAGAATGACGAAAATGAGGAGCATGTCGATATCCACGATATCGAGGCAGTACATAAACTCTTACGTCAGACTGTTCTCAAAGTCTCTAAATGGGATGAGGTCAAAGTACGAAATGAAGATAATCTTTTCGTTCAAGGAATGGATTCTCTGCAGGCATTGCAACTCATACGAAATTTAAGAAAAGCTCTAAATAAGCCCGATCTCGCCATCTCTATCTTATACACCAATCCTTCGATTGTCCAATTGCTCCAATCGATTATGGCTATGTCTAAGGACGATTCGAACACAAATACAGTAAATGCATCGAATCGTCGTCATAAGATTGAGGAAACCCTCCAACAATACGTTCAACTTGTTGACAGAATCTCTAGTGAGCATGAGTTTGGAAAAAAGTTATCCCCGGTCAATGAACATGTAGTTGTCTTGACAGGCTCAACTGGTTCTCTTGGATCATGTATCCTAAGGACATTGATGCAAGATAAATCTGTATCGCATATTTACTGTTTAAATCGAGCCTCCTCTGCCCATTCCCGTCATCTGGAAAATAATAAAAAGAACAACGAATCCACGGATTTCCCAAACTCAAAAGTCACATTTCTCAAGATAGATCTCTCTAAAGCTGACTTGGATCTCGACGACGAAACATACAAACGAATTCAAAATTCTGCAACAGATGTCATTCACAGTGCATGGCCAGTAAACTTCAATCTCTCTCTCGAAACATTCAAGCCACAACTCGATGGAATAATCAATCTTCTGTCTTTCGTCTCCACGATTCCACATCGTGTCTCTCTTCTATTCATATCATCCATCAGTTCAATTCTGGGTCTCGAATCAACACCCATACCCGAGGCAATTATTGACGATGTATCGGCACCTCTTCCAATGGGCTACGCAGAGAGTAAATTCATTTCCGAACGTATTTTCGACCATGCTGCTAGGAAGTTGCCCGTCGATGTAAAGATTGCTCGTGTAGGTCAGATTGCAGGTCCTGCTTACACATTTGGTGTATGGAATAAATCTGAGTGGATGCCTAGTCTAGTGGTTACTTCTTACAATATGGGCTTCTTACCAGAAAACCTTGGTAGTGATGAGATGAAATTAGATTGGGTACCAATCGATATCCTCTCATCTTCACTACTGGATATCGCATTTAATCACGAATCTAAAGCCTCCGATTCCGGTGCTAGAGTATTTCATCCGTTGAACCAGGCGCCTACGACGTGGAATAATCTACTCCCCATCATCTTGGATACCTTGAATTCTTCGAACCCTAAATTCACTGTTACAACAATTCCATACACAGTCTGGCTTCAAAAATTGAAAGACACGACAAGAGAAAATGCATCTAGCACTACGGAGTTGGAAGAGATGTTGGAAAAGTATCCAGCGATTAAATTGCTTGAATTTTTTGAGACGTTGCCAGAGACGAAATGGTCTGATAAAGATGTGGGGAAGTCGATTGAAGCTAGTGTACATTTGAAGGGTTTGAAGGGGATTGAGGGGGCGTGGATGAAAAGATGGGTTGAGGGGTGGATTTAGAGTTCATGTTGAGTGATGGGTGGTGTGGTTTTGGAGTGGGTGATTTGTGGGGAGATGAGATGGGGTGTTTGATGTGATATGCGAGAGAAAAGCACGGCGTATTTAACAAATTTATTAAGCTCATCAAAATTCTTGTCTCAAAGGCTCCCAGAATTTATTTGGAATATCTTGATTTGACGATTACATGACATAAACCACCAATGTAAAGAATTTTTCTCACGATTGATATCATAAATCCCATTATTATTCATGAAAAGCTATTACATTAACCCCGAAGTTCATTTCCAACAACTACCCCTCCTATTTAAACAATGCAACCGACTTTCTACTATAACCTACGGTAGTAGGCCACGCACTATAGTCCGGCGCAAATAAGATCGCATCATTGCAATCACTTCCCAGACTAGTATTATTCAACCACGCCGGTTCCCAATAATGCACTCCTCTACCCAATCCATGAGGTACATTTCTCACAATACTAATCACATCTTCCGTCCACTCAAGCTGACCCGCAACCGTATACGGAATTTCCGGCTCGCTGCTCTCAGGAATAGGATTGTATTGCCCATCACAAATTGCCGGGTAATCCGTCTCAGCCACGTGAACCGGCTTACGATAAGTTTCCGCAACCCAATGCAAAGTCGTGCGCAGATTGGCCAAGGTCGCTGCAGTGCCGTAGAAAGGATAGAAGGAAAATCCAAAAACGTCCCACGCGGAGAGCGGTACGCCATTAGCGGTCAGCGCATCGAACCAGCGCTGTTGAAGCGTCACGTTCCAGCCATCATCGATGTGGATCATGATCTGTGGTTTTGACACGCCGGCCGCAAGCGCATCGTCGACTCCTGCGCGTGCGGATTTCCAGAGCGTGGCGAAGGAGGAAAAATTCTTGTGCAGTGCGCTGGTGGGTTGGATGTCCACGTCTACGTAGCCGACGGGCCATAACATGCCGTGACGGATTTCATTCCCCAAGGCCACGATGTCGAGTTTGATGCCGGCGTTTTTGAAGGATACGAGTGTATCCTTTACATAACCTCTCAGAGTTTTCGCAAGAGGTTTTAATTCTGTGGGCCACGCGGCGGGAGGAGGTTGTTTGTTTGGATCGGCCCAGGAATCGGAAAAGTGGAAATCGAGATAGATTTTGTATCCTTGTTTTTGCATGCGCTTGGCGAGATTGAGATTGTATGCTAGACCGTAGGTGCCATCGACGGGGTCAACCCATTGACGAAGTCGCACGCTGTTCATGCCGCCGTCGCCGAGAATGGCTTCGGCGGGTCGGGTGGCGTTGTGTTTGAGGGTGTCTTTGAAGATGGAACCGCCTTGTTCCAGCATGAGGAGGGAGGATAAATCATGTCCTTTGAAAAAATATGAGGAATCTCTAGAGTTTTTGTGAGTATTTGGTGAGGGGGAATAGAGATTTGCGTTCGTACCTTGAATGGTTTTCTGGTCTTGCCAATGCTAATGGCAAGACAGTAGTTAAAAGACCCCAGAATTTCATGATTTCTCTTGTACGTATTCCACACAATGAAAAAACTCAGATGTTTCTCACAAGAAAACAATCTCACAATCATCGACAGACCCAGCTCAATTTATACAAAATCCCCTCCCCATCCGGATTAAACCCATCTCCCACAAACCACACGATACATACCAACCATGTCCAGCAACCCCACAAACACGGCCCAGCGCCGACACGCTACCAGAATCCACCCCCTGTTCTCCGCGATCCGAAATCTCGGGGAACGGATTTTCCACCATACAGATGGATGCTGTGAAAAAATACGATGTGCTCATTTATCCATTCTCCACGTTCTCCGAAATCTAGATGAAGGTGTGGGGTATATTTAATCTGCGTTTAATCTGCGTGGAGTCTGCACCCCTCAATTGGAATCTAGCGGGCCAATTAGGAGATGGGATGAAATGGGTGGGGATCTCTTTCCGGGGAAGCGAGGGTGCTCCGATGCAGGCGCGGAGGTGTCGGATACTTGGGGTTTGGATTGGAGGTGGTGGTACCGAGTTAGTAGTCATGTGGTGTGTATGGTGAAGAAATAAAATTGACATTGATGTTCGGAGATTTTGGAAAGGAAGTTGGATGCTGATTTGGTGTGGTGGGTGGCGGTCAGAACAAAGTTGGCGAGGCGAGGGGGCCGAGTTTTCGGGATTGTACCTCGTGGTGTGGGTGTGGATGGTCAAATAAGCGTATTTTACCCACTCTTGGTAATCTTCATCATTGATTTCTTATTTCTATTTTATGCTCTTTAGTTGTCGAGCCGAGGTCATTTCTCATCCGGCATGAGTTCATGGATTTAATGTCTCTGTGATTAAATACTTACATCATTGAATACCGTCTATTTGCGAAAATCTATATCGGTGGTGCGGATACTGCTTATGAAGTACCGTTTGGAATTAGGTGGCGAGGTCGCGGCTCCGCTTTCGTAGCCTGCTCTAGACCTCGTACGAATATTTGAAAATGTCGATATATGTTGTTGTTGATGTTAGTGTTGGCTTCTGCTTTGTGATAAGAGAAAGGTTGTTGGACTTCTTGTGGGTTGATTGAGACCTTCTAGAGTTTGGCTTGTTCTGATATATTGTTAGGTATCATTCCATGCTACTCTGGTATACTTCGATTTATGAACGCTAGGCTTCATATTGGGACAAGGCGTTTTCGTCGTGCAAAAACATTAGACATTTTGCGCGTTCCAAAGCAGATTTGTTGCTGTAGCTGGTGGATTTTCTCTGTCTGGAAGAGGTCTTCGTGGAAAAGTAGTCTCGTGTACGAAGATACTATTTTACGCAAATGATTCAAGAAGCTCACATAAGCCGAAGTGAATGTTTCTTTTGGCAGCTCAAGCATGCCAATATTTGGGTCCGTGGTCGAAGTGCTAATCAATCAGATTTTTATAATTTAGGTAGATTTAATCCAAAATTCGCAATAGATTGACAGTTCGAATCTCTCAACTATGGAAACCAGGTCAGACCTGCTTGCAAACGGATGCCTATACCTGTATCAGGTCGGCGCACCTGATTTCGCAATTTTGTTTCATGTGTAAGGAGGGACGCTCTCTCCAATAATTGATGAATCATACAACAACCATCACATCTGAGAATCGTTGGAATTGCAAGGATACCATCGGATTAAACTAGAGAGGGCGGCAACGAGCCAAATTGTTGCCTCATAGTAAACAATCTATTTCAGTTAAAACCCTCAAAGTTATCACAGAATGTCTGAACTTGAAGGAAAATCTGCTCACAGTAGCAAACAAACACCCTCAAGGCCAAGTTGGTCAGCCAAGGATACAGAAACCATCAAAAGTTTGGTGGCTGATCATCCCAAGGCAGATTGGGAGGCACTTCAAAAAATAATCAAGAATGGAGGTTACAATTTCACAGCAAAATATAATTTGATGATTATCCATGACGAAGTGAAGGCTAGATGGGAAAAATATCGCCGATAGGGAAACATTCACTGGTGAACAATGGATGGCCTTGTGTGCAGAACGAGCTTCCAAAGACCCGTCTCGAAGAACCTACGATGCCATTTGTACAAGACATTTTCCAAAACTTGTGAAGAAACCTCTCGAAGTAAAGTATGGAGAATTGACTGCCGAGGATAAAAGAAAGTGGGTGGAGAAATATAAGTCGCAATCTAGTGAAACACAGCCACCGGGGGATATGCTTTGGATTTGAAGGACTCAAAGACTTCCGAATATGTCTATGCCACTTAAATCGAAGGGAAGGTGAAGCAACGAATGAATGATGATCAATGCATAAACACATATTTTCTGCAACATAAGTTCATGGATCTCAACATAGACGCCCTAAGTCGATTCATCAAGAAGATGAAGGATAAAAATAAATCGGCGCCTGGCTCTGTCCCTGCTCCTCCCACCCATAAATCTATTTGGTGGAATCATAAAACCCTCGATTATCTTAAGGAGATTGTGGAAAACAAATCAGACAGCATTTTTTACGGGAACTGGGAAAATATGTCTGACTTTCGCTTTCAAGGCTTAAGGCTAAGTTGTCTTGCTCTCTCGCATAGGTACGATGCTCTACTTTATGGCAAATACAATTTAGCGGTTGAAGTGGAGGTAGATCCCGCAAATCTCAATCCGGCGACACGAAAGAAATTTTTTGTTTGGCCCGATGGGCGGAAAAAAAATTGTGTGGGAATCTCCGAATGAGAATTTTGCCCTAGCATACTACTCTCATCGTACGAGACCAAATTCTGGCAAATGTGCAGGGTCAGTCGAGGATGTGTTTTTGAAAAATCATGGGTCTGCAAATAATTTACATAGCCTAAACAGTCGTATCAGTCAACTTAGAACAAAAGGAGTAGCGCAAAGTGCAGAGATAGACCTAAGAGCTGGACCACTGGGACAATATAAGATAAATTTGGAGGATGAGAACTTCGGCAAATACCTGTGTGACACCTCAAGAGTAATCCGGGCGAAATCACAGACTTAATAAAGAATCATGTACCAGGATCTGCGAATGATCAAGCTCAATTACACGAATTCGGGCTACAATTATGGAAGAAGAACAGACCTGATGATGGAGAATTTCCTTTGAAACACAATAAGAAATCGACTACTAAGAACAGAAAAGATACGACTAAGATACCGAGTAGTAAGAAGTCATCGGATGATAAAACACAATCGTCGAGGAACAAGGCACAAGCATCAAGTAGTAGGACAAAACCATCTAGTAGTCGAGAAACACCACAACGAACCGATAGTCGAGATAATCGAGACTTATATGGAGTCATTCCCCCTCTAGCTACAAAATCATCCCGCCCAAAGCAACCTAGTACAAGACTACCTCAAGAAAGGGGATATCCATCAGGATGGAGCATCATGAACAATCCAGCCCCAGAGCAGCGACGTCGTTCACCATCGGAATCTAGAGAACACCGATTACGAAGAAGTGAATCTCTTGCATTTCGACCAAGCCCTTCATCTAGTGTAGATCATTATCATGAGCCTCCACGTAGCAGAAGAGAACCTGATCAGAGAGACCGACAAGATACCCCTCGTAAGAGCGCTACTAGTAACTCAGCGACGAAACGACCTGCTAGATCGCCTGGAAGAAAAGATGGTAGTAAGCGAACGAGAGATGGAATTGATCCAATAAGGTAAAGAAAGATAGGAATTTCATGGTAGTAATTTTCTCACAGAAGCAAAGATACCCTCGTTTTGTAACCCTAAGATTTCCACGATTTCAAATTGATATATCAAAAAAATAAAAATCATTATCATATAAAGCATGTTGAGCAGCACTTTAGACTGTCCTCCGCTATCGCTATTGCTCACAATTTCAATTACATATAGTGATTAAATTCTACTTCATGAAGGTCACATTTTGAGTTTAAATGTTGGAACAGTCTAGACTGCCCGCTCTGTATATAAGAAATAACGAATTGTATTTTCTGGTTGCTAATCTGGTACTACTTCCTATCCCATACTGACTTTGCTCGCATGATTCAAACACGTTGTACATTGTGTGTCTAAAGGGGACGAAACAAAATCAAGAAGCCAAATAAAATATCAACAATCAATGTCCATCTTCACAACTCCTTCATATATACCACGATAAATAAGAATCCAGACGCAAGTCAATCTTAAGCTCAAGGGTTTTTCCAATCTGTGAAACCCAAAGATCCTCGAGATCAAGATCAGGCGCAAGGATAGAGAATCTCGCGAATTCTCTATGAACCACTTGGAGAAGAGCAAATAAGACCTTGGTCCAACTATTCGAGTGATTAGTATCCGCACCTAGACAGAAAAGCAGGACAACTCACGATAGGAAGATCGCAGCACATGTCGATTTTTCCAACGTCGGCGCAGACTTTGTTGAAAGATACTGCATCGGTATATGCAGCGGGTGCTGTTTGGTATAAAGTTAGTAATCTGCTCTGGCTATGAAAAAGAGCTACATACGAGTCTCGCAGTCTAGATCAGCTACCCCAAGGACATCAGTGTCGCAGCATTGGGGATTACCGCTGCTGCAGATAGCATCTTGTCGAGATACAAGGGTTGCAGGCATTGCAAGAGCAGATGCGAAGAGGGCAGTCATGCTGACTATGATGCTGATTCTTGAGGAATACATATTGAAGAAGGATTCTGTATGATTGATTTGGTGAAAGTAAAGGTTATTTTCTTAAAGCTTATTGTGATGATGAGACTGAGAATGAACTGATGATGATTGTGAGGAGGAAACTTCTTGCACTTTATAGATTTTTCTGAGCTTATTCCTGCTACTCTCATGGTGGCCAACATAGCTCAGCCATACCTTAGTTCAAGTACATGATGTCAGTCCATGAAATTTCTTGATATTTAGCACAAGGTGACGATACAATAGAGCATGCTCTATCCTATCGTTGGAGGTGATATTGATAAGAATAGAAAAAGTAATGATATCCAGGGAACTCACATGGTGATCACTGGATAACCCGATTATGTGAAGAGGGATATCGACTTGGATGCTGGTTGCCAAAGACCAATCCAATGGACTACCATCGGTTCCTGACACACAGTATCACCAAGTATGAGCCACTTTTCGGAATGCCGGATTCAGCTTTCCAAGGATAGAGGGGCCGGAAGAATTGCTTTAGAACCCAAAGATCAGCGAATTGCGCATGATATATTGGTTGGGATTGTTCAGGTTGAACGAAATCATATGCAGACCAAAATCACATACTTTTGAAAAATCCAATTGTTAATCAATCAATCAACATTTGTATTTCGAATCTGAATTGATTATCCGAAGCATATGATTGCTGGAACTTGCCAATTTTACTCCATTTCAAGCATATCTGTAGCTATCATATCACACATAGACAAGTGTTTTTTTTAGAATTATCTTTTTATATAGTGTGCACCGTGCACATGAGTTCGTTCAGCTCGAAGACGGGACGTAGCCGTTGTGGAGAATTTATGACACTACAGCAGCTAAGCTTCAGGGATCGACTAGCCCCATATCTCCACGCTTGGCGCGATCATCGTGATATATCGTTGGGATTGAAGTGTCAATCGGCCAATTTTATATTGTTATACGACGTGCATCCGAACGATGAATTTCGAGGCAGCTATAGCCGCGTGGGCGATTGATGAATGATGATACATCACGACTTAATTTCGATCCATTTTTTGCAATATAATCGTATGATAATGAGCAGGCTTCCTATATCAACATAACATATTATACCATAACAAGTATTCATGGCCTGGCTAGGCGGAGCTTCAATGATGTTATATCAAGACTATTTTTGGTATGCAGATAAACAACCGGTTTTGTCAGAATGGAAACCATGCCTGCTGTCAAACAAGGAAAGATCCGAATTTAAAATCCAACCATGTGGCAAACATGCAATAGCATGTTGAATTATGGGAAAGGTCATCAAATTGCATTTTTTGGTCGGCATGTGGCAAAGGTCTTGCTACGGTATTTCCAATGCAAGCCAATATAAGAACCGTAGCGATACCCCCGATTGGTCAAATGGAGCGAGTTGAGCATTCCAAAACGGTAGCTTTGTCCGAAAGATCGGCATTTTCTCCTTTCTTTCGCTTGCTCAGGTACAGAATTCTTGACAATGAATAGGATTTGTTGGTTCTAATTGAAATGGGATATATCGTCCGCGTTAAAGGTTCGTCATAGATGACAAGGTTGTAAAAAAACGACTTGATAAGTCAAATCTTCTCATTTTATTCATATTCGTGTGGTTAAGATATTTTCTAGAAGAAGTAACGACCAAGATTTCAATTTTTCGTTGAGAAGCATTTGACGTCGACGCTAGTCGCACTTTCGCATGCAATGGGTAGCTTAGTTAAAAAGTCACGCATACATCACGTGCAAGATGTTCTTTCCTCTGTATGCTAATCACCATCTCAAATTTCTTTTATCTTCAATCATATACCAAAGGAAATACTAGGTCAACTTAGCAAGCTTTGAAAGAATGAATACAAAAGGAAGTTTTGATGTTAAAGTCTAGATTAACAGGCGCTTTTATGAACAACCTCAAACGGCAACGGCCTAACCTCACTTCACCCATTCAGTATCACAGAGTCCGAAGTCTAATGCAGTGTCTATTCTCTACGTAACGATTTCCCAGTCCTTCATTATCACTTGATGAGGAGGTTCGTCTCCATTGCCTGCAATGAACTTGATAGTGCTTGGCTGAATGAATCATAGAACCGATGACCTTCAATGTTCATATAGTCGAACAATTTTCTTTCTTACCGCCTAACCAATACTCCAATCACAGAAAGTCTGATCTGAGAGCCCTATCTACCCGTAGCACTTCTTCGCATGCTACAAAAATATTGACTTTTATTCCCAGCTCTAGCTATCTAGGCAAAGAATACAGAAGTTAGTGATGGGTTTGGAAAAACATGCCAAGGTTATTGAATGCACGAGAAACAAGAAAATCATAAGACACTACCGTTTGACATCGTACAGGTACTCTCAGAAATCCCCTTCATACAAAACTTTGTGCACTTGCATCTGCTTCGCCATCATATCTTTATGTTTTATTTCCTCGACTTCTCATTGCCCGTTCTCCTTATCGATATCACAGAGTTCGCGGTGTAGTCTTTCGACCTCGAAGTGTGTTTGCTCCTTCAGCAAGGCTTGCTCCTCCTGTCGTAGTGTTGCAATGTGTTGTACATGTTTCTGAATCTTTATCTGGAATTCTTCGATTTGCTTTTGGCGTTCGCGAATGGCATGTTGAGTTTGCGCAAGTGTATCTTTGGATTGTGTAGACTGTTGGGTGACAGTCTTGAGGATTTTGAAGCCGGACTGCACGTCCTTATATCAGTCAAATGCGGGCTTTGTTCCAAGTAATGAAAGAGGAAGATTATAAAGCGCAAAGGGTGGTTTGCATAATTGGGTTGAGCTTACCATCTGTCCGGCATTTTTGCCTGTCACTTCGTTTTTGTTGGGCTTCATGGTTGTAGCTTGGAAGTTTGAGTTGTAAGTTGTAATTCGAGGTGCACGACTTTCAAATTATTAAAGTATTTGAGATCAGACAAGCTTTTGATGTTAAAGGCGCATGAGATGAAGGTCGAGGAAGAATAAAAGAAGGATAGAAGGTAAGGAAGTAGGAGAACATTGAAGTCAGGATCGGTGAATGTTCCCATGTTAGAGATGTGAGTTGTATATTGGGAGTGATTATTCCTTATTCAAAGTCTTCTTGTCTGGATACTTTTTTGGTCTGGGTTTCCAAAATAGACAACACAGTGAATGATTTCCCGATGTTGCACCCAGCCATTGACCCACATTTTGTAAAATATCGTCTAAGCGAGGGCAGTGAATGAAGTATGTATGAAGTGAAGATATACTCCCAAACCAATCACCACCAGACTTCACCCGCCCATTCAAAAAAAATCACAAACACCACCAAAAGATAAATGAGCTTCCTTAAAAAAATTAAAACAAAAAGGTGGTTGTAACCGCATCATCCCCTGATTAAGAGACTCTTGATGATGAAGTCAGGCGCTCAGACTAATGGACGCTGGCCGAAGAGTGAGAACCATTGGCAGAACACATCGTTAGAAACGCTTTTGTGAAGGCTTTTCGCGTACTTGGAATACATATTAGAGTAACTTCACGCCGCTATACTAATGGATGATGATAGCACTGGAAGGAAATTACCGTCACTGCATCAATGTGGGAAGTCAGAGAATATTCTAGGCAGATTAATTTCATTTGATGTCACAACCTGTAAGGTAATAAATCGTGAGATATTCTCATGACTCTGACCATCTTAATTCTCCATATTTCAAACCACTTCCGTGCTCTAGCATTCGGTTTACATATACTGACTTTCGAATTGATCACTGAGGTCTTGAGATGTGGTAATGTTAGTATTGCTTCACTGAATTGAAGGCACAGATGGAGCAAAGCTAGATTTTAAATGCATACATCATAAGCTATGATCTGGGTTGGTTTCCTTTTGATAAACTCTCATGAATCTTCCTCGCGCTTTATCCGCTGCAACATATTTTGCTGCAAATTCATCTTAGTCTTTGCCTCCTGAAGCATATCCTGCATCTTTTCCGCGAACTCCTTCTTGGCAATATCTAACAATGCTTTTTCGAGTTCCTCCCCTCGCTTTTTTATAGCCTTGAGCTCTCTGCCTTCTTCATAAGCCTCTCTAACGAATTCCTTCGCCTCTGCATGCTCGTCTCTCAATTTGATATTCAATTTATTGAGTTCTTCGATCTTGCTTTGATGTTCCTCAATCTTCAGCTGATTTCGTAGGATAGATTTTTTTGCTTTTTGAATGGCTTGATTTTTGTGTCTCATTATCTTCGCATGGACTTCAATGGTCTGTTTTATCTGTAATAGAATTATTCTGATTAGTATACCTCTTTGTCTACACATGAGAGATATTAGAACTCTGATGGGAACCTACCAAGTCAAGAGGATGAGCCTCGGTCTTTGCGGCATCTCCAGACATCTCGCAGAAGGTTCTTTTTGGTGGCATGGTTATAATCTTGGTAATATCGAGTTTTTCTTGGAAGTTGATGGTGCTTTAGAGGAGGGGATATCGTGGAGGCCCTAAGACCGAGGAAGACTGAATGAAGTTTGGATTAATGAGGAAGACTGGGGAAGATTTAATAGGTTTTGGGAAGGTCTAGTAAATATCGCGAAAGGTCAAAGACAGCCTGGGCAATAAATTTCACTTTCTAAATTTGAAGTGTTGATTTCCGCTGAAGTCAAGTCAAGTCTAGCTGATAGATGTAACATTCTCTTGTGTCCCGCACTCCCCGCTCCCGCACATGGTTTCTAGATCTAACCTCGTTTGGAGATCTGTAAAGAAGATGGTATTAGCATCTGATTGTGAAGGCAAAACAAATGATGTATCGGAGAGGAAATACATGACTTACACCATCAGAAATTGTCTTCAGTCTCCTTGCTTTCCATCTTCATCTTTTTCTTAGATGATGATTCTGCCTCACTCAATGCCTCCTTAATTACTCCTCCAATTCGTCCTTTCCAGCCTTCAGAAGCGTCTTCAAAAATTCCTCCCCTCGTTCTTGAGCCTGTCTTGGTATTTTTTCTTCTTTCTCGAATCCTTCTAGTTCAACTCTGGACATTTGAGCTTTATTTTCCAACAATCGCAGTTCTTCTCGCTTTCTATCCATCTCAAATTCGACTTTTTGGATCTTCATTTCGTGAAATCGGAGTTCCGCCTCGTCCTCTTCAATTTCACGTTTTTTTAATCAACATCTTCTTGCGCTGGATACACATCCCATGATCTTGTGGTGATAGATTCCTGACATTTTCTGAGCGCCTGTTCGACCTAATAAAGTAACTTAGCGTTAGTTACCGCCGCAGAATGACGTGCTTATGAGAACAATAAAGATTTGATTTTGCTAACCTCTTGGAAAAGGTCATCTAGCTTAGTCTCGCAGACTGCTTGAAGAGCGGTTCGCTTACGGCGCATTCTTTGATAGGGCAAATGCTCAAATTTGTGCTTGGGGGTTGAGGATCTTTGAAGTTTTAGTATCTGTAACACTGAAGAGATTATGGACCTCCAAGAAAATAGTCTGCGAATAGGGCCAGCTAAGTGAATTATTATGGGAAATTTGATCAAGAAACCACGCTAACAAATATTTTGCTTCCGAAGATTGAAGTGAGTGATAAGAAGAGCTTTTGTTATCATTGAATAGATTCTAGTGATATGAGAACTTCATTGCCGGATATATCGCTCTAATAACCGCAAGCTTTTCCCATGTCCCAGATCCCATTTCCACACAGCCTGTCTTCCGCTTCAAATTTGGATATCTAAAAGCAGAACATTATTATTAGTCTTGATAATATGTAAACCCAATAGCTCATGCAAATGGAGGAATAGTAACTTACATTGCATAACATACCCCTAAATCTCATTTTTGACCATCTTCTTCTCTCCATCGCCCGCAATCTTCTCATCCTGACCTCCCTCGCTCTCCTTCTCTAGCGATAAGCCTACCTTCTTTAATTCTCCTTCTAGAAACCTCGTTATGTCCCGCTGAATAAATTTCTGAAGAGCCTTTTCACGAGCGTTCTCTTGCTTTTGAATTGCCAGAATCACTTCCTCTTCTTGCTCCAACTTCACAGTTTCTTGTCTATTCTTCTCGATATCTTCCTTGTACTCTCTATTTGTTTCCTCGAGCTCTCGTATCAATTTTTCAGAATCCTGGATGTATTTTTCCCATCTCTTAATATTGGATCTATGAGATTCGATGTCTTTCTTATTCACCAAGACGAGACACTCAAACTGGCTGGTTTCTCTGTTGCTAAAGGTGACTTTGTCTACATTCTCTTTGAGAATCTCTTTCATCTGAACAGAGAGTAAGTAAATAGATCTATGGAATATATAAAATTTAGGAAAGTTAATTGTAGATTACTCACTCTCTTGAGTGGACCATCTTCGGCCTTTCCAGAGCTTCCCGTCATTTCGCAGGCAGTTCTTTTTGGGAGCATCTTGAAACTCGGAGATAATAATAAGCTGAGACTTTGGTGTGAGATGGATCTTTGTGAAAAGTTTGAATGCTTTAGAAATTATTCTCTGCTTGGACGTCGGAGAAGTTCAAGGTTGGGGATTTTGTGAGAAAGAGATAGAGATTGTGTGTGTGACTTTAAGTGGGTACAACCAGAGGCACGTAAAGGAGGGGATTTTATTTCACTTTCAGGATCGAAGCTAAATTTTATGGGAGTATTGGTGTGCATTTAAAGAAGTCTAGTTATGTTTTGATTCTTGGGAGGCAATGTGTCCGATCGTTAACTTTGACCACCCCGCGTTCAATGTAATGACCATGACCTCCACCCGCAAATTGAATTACTAACCCGCATTTAATATCGTTGAGTCTATATGTCCTGTTTAAAAAAAACATTAGTACCCGATGCTAGAAGCGAAGACAGTAAACTCATAACCAGAAGGAAAATGATTCCACACAACATACCCTCATGCATTTTGTTCAGCGGCCTCTTCATCCAACAAACTCTTCAAATGCTTTCTTATCATCTCATCAGCAGCAATGCAACGCATTTCTGCTGCCTCAAGATCTGTTTGACACTGCTTGAACTCCAGCAATGCTCGTTCCCCGCTTTTCAACCCTTCACGGAGATTCGGCTCCAATATCTGCTTTTTCTTCTGAGAAGCTCGCTGATAGTTTTCGATGCAACATCGAGCTTGCTCTTCGATATCAAGAATGATTCTCCTGATTATCTGGAGATCCATCGCGACTGCGTCGCTATTTGCTTTGATGATTGGCATTTTGTGAAGTGTTTGGGCCTACAAGCGCGGGTTAGTAGTGTATTATGTAGACGAAGAGGAGACCCGTTCGCTGGAGAGACCAGCGCCTGTATTTACTCACGAGATCATATTTGCTGATATTTGCAACTAGTTCGGCGAGAGTCATTTCTTCCATGTTTGCGAAGTGAAGTTCGAAGATGGGATTTTGGGTGGAGAATTCGAGAGGTGTACAGATATTGAAATCTTGGTGTAAAAAGCATTTAAAGATAGGTACCGAGTAGAATATTATTTAGCGAAAGGTCAAAAGTTAAAGATTCACTACAGACAGTATGAAACGAAGAATTCTTAAGATTATGTTATCTTTGAGAAGCTACTGACATCCAGAAAATGATGGAAATTCACTTCTTTGTGCTAAAAAGGTACTTTCAAATATTCTTTCCAATCTCTCCCTTCTTCATCAAATCCTTAACCCGCTTCATACATGCCTTCTCCATGCTGATAGACTCCTTTATGAACCCATGCATATCCTTTTCACCCTTCGTCCGACAAGCAATCAATTCATCGAGTAATTCCCACAAGGAGTCTAAAAGGTGTTGATGTTGTCTTTGACGTTCTGCAGAGAAGGACTCATACAACGCGATTGTAGAGCGAGCATTTTCTTCTTCACGACGAGCACTTGCTGTGGATTTTGCGAGTATACCGATATATTCTTGAGTCTTTCTCTTTGCTACTGGTAAGAACTCAATTATTTCGTCCTAAGTAGATGATATTAATTAGAATCCAGGTGATTACACAGGGAAAATGACGAGTAGTACCTGGATTCACTTACAAAGGTGAGTGTTCCGATATTTGCGATCATTTCAGATGCCTCAGGTGATGCCATTTGTGATTTGCGATGGTAGTCAGAATTTGCGTGGTGTCTTTGCGAAGGTGGAAAGATGTTGAAGGACTGATGTTGATTGATGATCTCAATCTGGTATGTCGAGGGTGTAAGTAGTTGAGTTGTTTTTTGAGTCAGTTGTTGCATGTAACGATCTCTGATTATCGAAGAGATTGAAACACATATAAGGATAGTAGGACCTTCAGCGACTCTTTAGCTAGTGAACTATTTCTGTCACATGAGTGCGCCGACGTGCGGAGTACAGTGAATTATGGCGAGAGAGTTAAGATAAGCTACCAAGCTATACATGCTGGTCCGTCAGAACATTGGGAATCGATGCCATATTTTTATTATGATAGGGGAAAGTCTGTAAGAAAAAATGATAGATAAAGGCATATAATGTTTCAATAGTCTACAGTTTGTGTGAAAACCTTTACGAAATACTTTCTGCTATGAGCTCCAGAACATATAGAAATCAAGAATTCACTCGAAAAAAGTGGAGTCTATATAGGTACTTGTAGATGGCTCCTCATATAGAAGCTATAGACCGTCATTCAGAAGATGATTAAAATGCATTATTGTAATCCCCACACCAATCCCGAAACCCCGCAAGAGGGCCATAGAATCTGCCTACCAACACCCCTAATTAACCCGAATAGGCTGTAAAGCCGATTAATAATTTTCTGATAATCTACCTGGCAGAAAGGGACATCTTCCAAGAAACCATGCAAAATTGTGAATAAGTTTTAGCACCTTAAAATTCAACACATGGCTTTAACTCCCCCTATTTCTCTTCACACCTTAGACGACACCCCTCCTAACGGTCAGACCCCTAGTTCTTCCCACATCACTACGCCCACTACATCTTCCATCCAATAACTTACAGAAAATCAATATCTTTCAACTACCACTCCTACTTTGAGGTTGAAGTACCGATCAAGCTAATCTACGCCTACTTACTAGCCTAAGATAAGCGAGTTCTTGGCGCTTCAAGCCTCACGATTGAGGAAAATGATGGGAATTTATTGGTCTAGTCTTGTGTCTGAGGGATACTGAAGCTCGGCTTGAAAGCTAAGCACTGATTCCATGAGTAGTATCGCTGGTGAGAATCCCAGAAACAGGAGCGTCAGTCTTGTTATTTGGAGATAATAGTTTGGGGTGAAGTATTACCATTCAATAGAGGTGCATTCCATGACAAGTGAAACAGACATAAACTGCTGACCATAATCTCAAGCACAATCTTCAGTTCTTTTCTTATAAACTTATATAATCTATGTAATACATCATTCGTGTGAAATATGAGCGGCTCTCTTTCTGTGCTCTCTCCCGCTCGCTTTTTCTTCACTCATCATTCCTTTTCCCCATGTTCAGAATCGACCAATAGTTTCATAGATTGTAAGTAAACGTAGAAGATACACTGAGCCTATGATGTATTCCGGAGATTTAGAACTACCCCCTCAAGATACTTGACACCCACTAGCGTACTTTAAGCGATCTATCCGCGTCTGAGAATAAAGATTGATGTTGATTCTACACAAGCCAGCTCTAGTTTTCTCAAAGGTCTCGACGAACGATTTTGCAAATAGGCTTCATACATATCATACTTGTCACTGATATATTAGTAAATTTCTCTTAGTCGAATGAATGATAAATATCACCCAAATGAGTTTCTTGACCTGTCTGTCACGTGCGAAGAAATTTGACAGTTTTTGGTTGCATGTCTGCTACAGGCTGTTGGAGCCCATAAGCCCCCTGTAACTTTTAGGAAGTGACAGGAAAGATCTTCTTAGGAACTCTTCTTCTTTTTTCCCTCCCATGTCGAATCACATCCCGCGATTCCCATCTCCCCTGCCACTTGCCTGCCACTTGCCTGCGATCTGCCATTCCATCTACGCACATTTTTATCACAACTGCATTCTCAGAAAAAGAGGCCTTTCCGCACGTAATTAAGACATTTCAAAAGCAAGCTATTTCATACGATGAAAACTATCCAGCACCAGTAACTTGATTCTAGCCCCAGCCTCCAAGCCATGTCTTGTTTCGCAGCCTCAGCAGATCTCCAGCCTTCTCTCCAGCACTTCTCTAGATCCCATCATATTGCAAGATTGCCTCCTCAACAACACTTCGCAGATATTCAAGAGCTAAACTTTCTCCCGCAATTGCCATTCGTTGGCGCCAACGACGGACTGTTTCTTTCATCCATATTCGAAGTTGTTCCTTGACTTGTTTAAATTCCTCATCCTGTGGAAATTTGTCAATTATTCGTTCTGAATGAGAGAATCGAAAGAACAGGAATTAAAACTTACCTGCTCTGCTAGCTAAAGTTCTTGCTCATGAAGATTAGGATCCATTTTCGAAAATTGCAGTAGATTTGTTGTTTTAAAGTTGCTTATACTTTCTGGCTGTAGAAGAACTCGCATTTGTATTACGATGTGTAAATGTTGAGAAAGAAAACCGGATCTTGTAAGAGAAGCAAGAGCTTATGTGGTTGTTGAACGGGCAACAGTCGATCGTAGTATGGGGGTATTCGAGCCAATACACATTCTTTCAATCAATAATATCGCATCATTCCCTAGCTTCTCTGACGAGATTGCGCAAGTTTTCCAGAGCTCTGATTGCCGATATCAAAGCCAGTTCTCTCTCTATTTCTGCGACTCTTCGAATAATCTCGCGCGCCATTTCTTCAACCTGTCTTATAATTTCGATCAATGATTCATTGGGCGTTTCAGTTGTTGAGTCTTGAAGATCTCCAACCGCATGATTCTGAGAGAAATTGGTTAGGTTTAGTTATGAGGTGAAGGAGGGGGGTGGAAGACAAGGCTTAAACTTACAAGTCTCGTAACCTGATCATTTAACCTAGATGTATTGAGATCTGCCATTTTGCATGGGAACGGGCTTTACTTAATCGAAGACAGCGTGCGTAAAGTTTGGGTTGTAAAAGGTTGAAGTTGCTTTTGAATATACATAAGAGTCCGATGAGGTTGTATGGCTTTCGAGAAATTGTGGGGTGCAAATATCATCCAAGAGTAGAAAGTTTGACGTCACGTTCTGTGCTGGAGAAAGCAGACACATGCATGTGCATTCACTTTCCAAAACTGAGTTTGCTTTCGGAAAAGATTGTTAAGGCAGATCATTTATCACCTATTATGGATTGGAATGCACATAAATTTCCTCGAATATCAAATCCATCATCCCAGAGCCAAATCACTGCAAGCTCAACGATGTTGTGTCCCGTTTTCCGTATATCCTTCCCCTTGACAAACGACTCGAATTGACTATCCTCATTCTGAGTTTAGATGGGTTCTATTGAAAGATTATGTTAGTGATATGTGTGAGAAATTGTCCCTCATCGAAATCTGACGGGGTAGGGTCGAATAAGAAATGAGGTATCTTACCTTGCAAGCAAGCCCAAGCAGCTTGATGAAGCAAATACGCTTTTCTTTCCGCCTCGAGTCTCTCTTCATCACTTATTCCCTCCGCACACGTACATCACGCTAAGTAATACTTATGGCAAGCGAGTTGACCATTCGAAAATTCGATCAATCTCCTGCAAGTTCTGACCGTATAGTCTTCTTTTTGAGTGATGACACCAGAGGCTAGGATTTGTTGGATTTGGAGTGTATTTTCTTTGATTTCATTTCCCCGGCACTGTTGATTCTGACAAGCAGCTGGGAGAGGGATAGGATTAGAATGACTTTATCGATCTGGGAGAGATTCTAGTGTGAGCCAACTTACATCCATGATTTCGTATTTGTTTTCCTCGATTCTAGAAGACATCTTGAGGTTGTCGTAGCGGGTTACGTTTAAGGGAAGTTGTATCTTGATACGAGAGGTTTGGTAAAAATCAAGGTGAGATCTTGGACTTGAGGTGAGAAATTAAAGTATCTGGGCAGCTTCGAGACTTGATAGGTAATGTAGCTCGCTAATTTAAAGATTCGCTTGACCAGAGTTACGAACAATATACATGAATCTAGGCGCTGATCTTGATGAAAGATGGGAAAGTGCTCGATAATGATTTTCATTCTTTAAAGCCCCCTCCCCAAGCGCGATTATCATTGTTGTGGCCCATGAACCTTTAGATCAATGCAAAATGCTCACATCAGATAGATACTGACACACTACTCGGCGCAAATCATTAATTCGCCCCAGTCTGCTGTTCTCAGGATCAAGGTTTGAGTAGTGCAAGAGAGTCTTTTCCACTTCATCCAATTGAGCAACACATTCCAGATCCATCTCATTGGGCTTTTCTACCTGCTCCTCCTTCCCGTCGAGACGATTTTTCCATGCGTGCAAAAGAGTGATATACTGAAGTTGTTGCCAGCAGGTTCCCGTCATCTCTGTTTCTATTCTCTCCAACTTAAGAATTTCTATATCCCGTTTGTGCTCTTGTATATCTCATTAAACCCAAGCGAAAAGTATAGCGAGCTTGTTCCGGATCCTGGCATATTTAGAGCGCTGGTTTTTCTATAGGTATCTTGTTAGTATAGAGGAAACGAAAAGGTTCTTATTTTAACCTATAGCCCTTTGGAGGGTTGTTGGAGGCATTCCCGATGCTTGGTAACAAATCAAAGTTTGTCCTGAAGAGGTTTTATGAAGTTGCCAATAGCTTCGGGACTTGGGGTTTGAATGGGGTTTGTGTGCTTATAGATTTGTGATCAACAAGTTCTCTACAGTAAGAAAGTGGACCGTGAAAAGTTCACTGACAAAGATCGGACCCAATCATCAGGGTAGATTTTCTCCAATGTTGAGATGATTTATAGTTCACCGTTTGTCCACAAAGATCTATCAGCGCTACATTCAACCTCGTTGTGATTTTGCTTCTCTGTAATCCTAGCATGAGTATGGCCATTGGTAACTTTTGCTATAAATTTCATGGGCGTCTTGAATACTAGATGTCCTTTCCCCTAGATGTCCCATAAAGTGACGTCTAATACGTAGATCTGGCCCCTGCGTCGTCCACCAAGCCTTGTATCCAGCCTTTTTAATATATCCACCAATTCTGTGACCCGACGATACTATATTTCCATCACTTGGACACGGAGTTATTAGCAGCTGTCTTCACACCCAGTGCCTGGTAATGTATGGAAACAACCAGAAGCTCGCTGGTCGAAAATCAAGGCGTCAACCTAGTACTTACATAGATCACGACCCTTCCACCTTCCCATCCTTGTCCCTATCTGCATCTTCATGTTCATTTCCATCTCTCTCTTCATCTCCACTGCTGGAATCAATCAAACCACAACAATTCTTGTGCTTAGCACGCGTCTCCTGTAACTTCTTTGTGATATTCTTCAGTCGCTCTTGAATCCCCTCCAACTCTGCGATGCGCCCGTCGTTCTTTTTCTTATGCTGCTGAAGCTCTTCTTGTGTTGCTTTGATTTGGTGGTTCAATTCAAGAGCGTTCTGATCGAAGTCCGCGCAGGATTTTTTCTTCATTGAAATTGTCAGTGAAATTTCAAGCAAGCGTGAAAGAGACAGAATAGATGTTGGAATTAAACTAACGAAGCCATCTTCAAGCTCTAGCGACTTGGACATTTTTGTAGATCTGTAGAATTAGGACTGGCTTGAGTCGTGGAACTATCTCTTGGGTGGTTTATGTGTATATTGAATTCGAAAGATTCGTGGGATGGCTTCATTGTGACGAGAAAGAGAGGTGAATACTTATGGAGCGAAAAGCATCGTTTATTCATGCAAGCCGTAGAAAAAATATTATTGCTCGGAATATTTAGCATAGTAGTATGGATGAATCTGACAATAATATTCACAAAGAACATCAGAGGACAAAGTAAACTTTGAGGCCTTTCATGTACATCTTGAGCTCCTATCCTTCCATTATTCTGCAAATCTTCTCCCAACATATGATACTGCATACTACCACATGCTCCCATCTGGACTCCAAAGCCAAGAGCATATTAGGAGATATTGATCCATTATTGTTAGCTTCTTTTCTAGAAAGAGAGAAGACGTTAGCACAACTAGAATTTGAGACGACTCAGCGCTTTGTATCCTTCTCGGACATTTCATACTTCACTCTAGCCAAGAAAATTACCGATTAGGAAAGCACGAAATTCTTCTCATACACCCAACGCAAAATATACATCAAACTTCTCAAAGAATAAACTTATTGCCATCCCATCTCCTCGCTAACCTACCATTCTTTACCAAGCCTCACTTAGATCAGATCTTGTCTCCCCCAAGAGATGAAAATCGCATATTTTCAAGGGCGCGACACTCTTTATTGTAGGGGTCTTTGCATATGAATGTCTGCATTATATTGCTTGTGTCAGTCTCTTGGTTTTCCGCTCTGTTACATGTTACATATTCAACCACTGAATCGGACAGCGACTTAAGTGTACATATCTTAGAGGCATTACTTGCGCTCCAGATGAATGCAGTTCATAGGGCCTTATGAAACTGCTTGTGAAGAGTTCGCAGAATATGATTTGTTTAGTGTTGAAGAGGTCCTCCATAAAGAAAGAAAGACGAAAACTTCAAAGCCTAGCATTCTGTCCCCCCTCTTCGTTAGTAACGCAAACACATAGTTGCAGTCATGAGGTGAGTCTCGACTTTACATCAAAAAGACCTATCCATCGCAGCCCCATCAACGAAATCTCATACTTCCCGAGGTTCCTTTTCTAACTCCATCTTCGTAATGAATCGAATCTTCAATTCTGCCATACACCAGATCAAATTTCTTGAGGGCTCTTGTAAATTGAACACCATCGGGAATAGGATCATCTTTGCCTATCTTGCCTATCCAGCCTTGTTCATTATTCACCATTGCCGCTTTCAAGCGTCCTGGCCACGTCTGTTGTCGCCTAGGTTGTTCACTATTTAACGTGTTACTTGAACTGTTTAAATCATGTTCAAGACCCAGCCAGTCGAAAGTCCAAATCGCTTTCATGTGTATACTTTCTCCTTCTTTCAGGAGCGATCGGTCCTGGTATGTCGTTAAAGAAGCTGCATCGTGGAATGTGACGTTTATGTTTCCGCCGTAGACTACATGATTCGCGACACCTCGCAGGGTCTTCTAGAGGCTCGTGTGGTCAATTTCCAGGTTGCATTTTTCCACAATCATTCTTGTAGCATTAGTAAACATATAGCTCATAAAGACCAGCAATGAGCGTACCCCTTGTAACATCCTTTGTTTGCTAGGTCAACAACTGCTTTGCATGATTTTTGTATCACTTCTTCACCGAAGATGCTCGAATTTTCGTCTCTCTTGTCCATCGGAATCGCTTCCAGATCGTCACCTTCGTCACCTCTCAGTTCTAATCGAAGAAGTCGTGCATTTGGGCCTTTAGTCTTCACTGCGAAGTCAGTGACCTGCTCACGTTGCGAAGTTTCTGGGTTTGTGATGCTGTGGGAACCTTGTATCATCATCCATGGCTCGGAAGCTGCTTAAAGTTTCAAAGGCAGGAATCTAGATAAAGACTCAGAATTGTTCAGTTTAATATGCAAAGTTTCGTTCTTGGCGAGAACAGATATGTCTGAAGCCATGCTTTTAGATGTGTATATAAAATTGATTGCAAATAACTTATGGTAGCATCTCCAAAGCGATTAACCTGCCTTAAAATCCACCATTCAGGAGCTTTCTCTTATGAATGATAAGATACAATTTCGCTACAGAATGATACCGGACTGATGCTTCCGTATATGTGTGTGACTGTCATTGCTCAAGTGATATTTTAAATTCGATAATGACGTCATCTGACATGAACAAGTATTGTCAAAAGTCTTATCATAAAACGATTGATTGAGAATGATTGACGATATTTCGTGATCTTTTTCCCTTGGCATTGAAGTATAGAGGTCTCGGTGCCATCCCTGAGCACCTCTAGCATCGACGATGTTTGGAAACACGATCAAAATTTGAACAGTGATATCAAGCCCGGCTATGACCTTTCAAGATTAGACAGAGAGAGTTCTAGTCTATCGCCGGCAAGAATGACATTGCAGTGACCGAAAGAATTCCAAGTACAGCATTGAGAGGGCATAGCTTACTTTCAGGAACAACAAACTTCTTGGCAACATCTTCGTAGCTCAGCGGAGCGTCGCGAGCGGTGTCTTCAGGCCTTCCATCTCCGCTCTCCTAGCCGTCAGAGTCCGCAGGATTCCTCGGCAACGAATACCGTCTGCAAAATCTACAGTATAATCAGCATCATTCATTATGTCTTGGGTTATATGACTCAATCGGTACTATTCTCAGTGTATTCTTCAAGGGAGCTGTCGAGATCAGCTATGTTTATCTCGTCAACAGCTCAATACTAGCGATCAAGAAATTCCCCACAAAGTCACGACACCATTGATTCACTTGAAAATCCGTCATATAGTCTAGCTAACAATAGCTAACCAGATGAATAAATAGGTACTTCAGGAATCATTCGACCTCATCCAATTCCACCAAAATAGTGCTTTCAGTCTCCATACCATGTTTCTTCTTTCCAACTTCAACAAAGTGAGCCCTTTCTGCTGTCTAATCTTTAAGATTAGGTAAACGTGAATGTTCGGACTTCGCAGTTGCTGTAACCAGTACTTATTGGTTATATGACAACTTTCCAAGGAGGTAGGATATGTTTGAGAAAATACCTTTTTTTCGGATCGCTGGCTGTCCCATCCTCGGTCAAGTAATGAAGGAGACCTCCATGTGTCACTAGAACAATACGCTGTGCTTCAATCACATAGAGCTATGCTCGAAGAGCAGCAGCCCGTGCTTTGACGGCTTCATGATTAGGTGCATAGAAGTCTTTCTGGAAGATAACACGAACTTTTGAGAACGTCATGTATGATACAGCTTCGCTTGAAGGCTTACCACAAGCATTTGTCTAGAGATATCCGTTCAAAGGTAATCAATTTGGCAATATACTCGAATACAAGGAGTTAAAGGAGTCGGTATGTTCGAAAGAGCTACATGCGACGTGAAGCAAACGATGGTGGAAGATTTGTGCACGGACCATTTTACTGGTCTTACCACTTAAATCTCTTTTTCCTCATGATGATAATATCTTTGCTCTTAGCGATAAATGACTGTCATTCCATGAATAAGATGGATAATTCTCGACTGCATGTGTATCCCTAGATATTCTTCTTCTAGATTCAAGACGGAACTTCGATCCTACATATACTAAAGTCATCCTAAATTATCTAATTAGTTTCTCCACGCGACACGAGATACGAGACGAAATGACTAGTATGTATGCGAGGTATGCGAGGTACACATCTCCTATTCCAGCAAGCACTTCTATCATACTATTAAGATGGCCGATCAATCCATCAAGACCTGTGTCAGAAAGCTTGTTTCCAATTCCTTTCAGCAATTGATAAGGACCTGCATAAATTGGAACTCTTTCTTCCCACAAATCTTACCAATTAGTTGGTCAGACCCTTCTTTGTGTCCCCTGTCGATATGACGTTATGCACATTGGACAACATTGGCACCAAGATTTTACAAACGTATCAGCCGCGTCGGTGGGCTTGGAACGCGTATTGAAGCTACTCGTACAGGTAATGTATTATTAGATAAGTTGAATGTTCCTTATGTTTTGTAACAGTTCCCCTGATCTCTATTACCTTTCCTTACCTTCTCGTCCAATTCAAAAGCATCAGGAAAACTATGGGAGATTCGGATTCTGCAACCGAAGGAATTCTTCCTGTCTTTCTAGGAGCCCTTCAAGCTTCATTAACAGTCCTCTTAACAATAAGTTATGGAGTTATTGCATCGAGATTTAATTTGTTGAAGGAGTCTTCCACAAGGGATATCTCAAAAACGGCTGTCAGATTGTTTCTACCAGCGCTTTTAATCACAAATGTTGGAGAGGAATTGAAATATGATACTGCATATAGATATTTACCAGTGTTACGTGAGTTTTTCTCAATTATCTGTGTATTCATAAAGCTAACTATTGTGGAGTATGGGCTCTGATATATACTTTATCATCGATGGCATTGGGAATGCTTCTCAAAAGAGCTTTCAAATTTCCCGCTTGGTGTGTACCAGCCAGTAAGCACCCCTTCCTTTCCTTTTTGTTTTCCCTATTTTCCAAACCACTAACTATTCACCAGTATGTTTCAACAACACTACCGCGCTCCCCCTCCTCTTGATCCAAGCTCTCGACACAGCCGGTATCCTCACCAGCCTAACCATGTCCGAATCCGACACCCCCTCCGCAGCCCTTAGCCGCGCAAAATCCTATTTCCTCGTCTCTTCCATGGTAGGAAACAGTCTTACATTCGCCCTAGGTCCCAGACTTCTAGATGACGAAGAAGTACCCGACAAACCTGACGAAGACTCAAAACCAAGCCATACCCACAGTCCAACTGAAAGCGACGAGGAATATGCGCATCCCACCAACTCCGCCGGACGAACCGCAGAAGAAGAAGAAGAATATTCAAACGAAACATCCACTCTTCTTCCGCGCAGCGTCGCCCGAAGCAGAACTACTGCCGCCAAAAAATCAAAGCAAGAATGGAAGAAAATCCCTCTCAAAATTCAAAATGTGATATCGACTCTCTATAGTTTCATCAACGCACCTCTCCTGGGCGCTCTTCTCGGTGCTCTCCTAGGCCTCACTCCCCCTCTCCACCGCATCTTTTTCGCCTCACCCTCATCCGGCGGTATCTTCAAAGCCTGGCTCACCACCTCCCTCAAAAACATCGGCGAGCTATTCGCCGCCCTCCAACTCGTCGTCGTAGGCGCCAAACTCTCCTCTTCCCTCTTACGCATGAAGAAAGGTGAATCGAGCGGGAAAGTCCCCTCACTTGTCGTCCTCACCATCTGTTTCATCCGCTTCATTTTATGGCCTATAATCAGCATCGGAGTCATCTATCTCATTGCTTCCCGTACAGGATGGTTGGATAACGATCCCATACTATGGTTCGTATTGATGTTGATGCCAACGGGACCACCGGCTACAAAGCTCACAGCGCTAGCGGATGTGAGTGGTGCGGACGAGGAGGAGAAGATGGCGATTGCGAAGTTTGTGACGGTGGCTTATGCCGTTAGTCCGTTGATCTGTTTTGCGGTCGTGGGGAGTTTGAAGGCGTCTTTGGCGATTAAGGGGTGAGAAGCGAGGGGGTACAATGTTGGGCGCTTTTCGTTGGGGACAAGATTAGACGTGGAGGTGATATGCAATTCGAGATGGAGTCAATTTGGGTACATAGTGGGTATTGCAAGATATTGGATATATACCTTGAGGACTTTTCGATAGACATAGAATTTGATAAAGCAAATCAAAAGTCTATTTACATACAAAAATGATCCCATCCCCCCTGCCCCCTCCAAACATTTAAACCCAAAGTTCCGATCCTTCATTGTCCCCTCGTAACTTAGATGAATGATTATTTGATAATTGAAAGTGCATATAAGATCCTTGCTATTTTTATACAAAGCCACAATTTAAATGCTCTTTCTTTCACATCTCCCATTCGACATCATTTGTACTGGTGCTCAAGAAATCCCCGGACGGAGCTTGAATTTAATATCCATATTCCATCAACTCTCACCCGCCCAACTGCATTCGACAATCAAAAGAACGTAATTTGTTATGCAACATTATATTGAGTACATTGGATACTAAGGTAAAGCATCCAGGTATCTATAGACTATGGATCACTTTTTAACACAACGCCGAGACTCCTACAATGCACTCGTTCTAACATCCGTGCCCTTATGTGTCTTCAAATCTTCATTCCCTTCCTCCATTTCATCCACTTATCTCCATGTCACATGCTCAGATCATGCTCAAGATCAGATTCGAGCCCATATTACCCACCATCTTTTCCTTTCCGCCCTTTGCTTTCTTTGCAGCACCCTTTCCACTGGCCTTCTTGTCCTTCTCCTTTGCCTCAATCTCTTCTCTCTTACTCTTCTGTTCCGCCGTCTCTTCCTTTGCCGCTTTCTCCAACTTCTTCTTGTTCTTAATCAAAACTTTCTTAACTTCATCTTTCTTTCCAAAAGATTCGGATTCTAATAATGCAACTACCACGAAAGAACTGGATCCAGTTGCCCATTCGACAATAAATTCCTTGATATGGGGATACAAGATATCCGCAAAGTTCAATGCTGGTTCGATTGGCACGACGGACTTGGTAGCCGGGTCGTAACGACCGCCTGCAATGAGAGCTTTAATCATTTTTCCACCGAAAGGTGTGCTTGCGATGTGGGAAGGTGGCTCTGCACTCATTGCGCCTTCCTCGACAGGAGGTTGAATATATGTTGGGTCTCCGGATACAGCTTCGGCGAGTGCTTCAAGAGCTGCTGATTTATCTCCTTCGGCGCCGAAGAGAACCTCAGTTACGAATTGGCAACCGAAAGATGTGGCGATGAGTTCTCTAGCTGCAGAGGCGATAGCCTTGAGGAGATAGGGGGAGAGAGACTTGACTAACTCTTGGCGACGAATTTCTGGGTCTTTTTTGGAGGTAGTAGTTTTGATTGTGTCAACTTCAGCGAGAATTTCGAGATCGGAGTTGTGGCTTGCTGGGAATAAAGATTTTGAGCGACCTTGGAAAAGGTAGAGAAGTGTAGTACGGGCGTTGAGATCGTTGGCGGAGAATGCAATGTTCTCGACTTGCTTCTCTTCATCCTTGCTAAGCAATTCTGGGAAAATAGATTTTGCAGTCAAGACAGTATCATCAATGACTTCGTATGCGGTGAGGATGATGATATGTCCATTTGGATCTCCTGCCATCAATTGTAATGTATCCTTGTACATCTTAAGGATATGTTTACGATCCTTGGCACCTCCATATGCTAAAGCAAGACAAACGACTCTTGCTCCAGACTTAGTAAATGCCAAATTCTTCATCAAGTCGCCTTCCTCGTCTCCCTTCAACAATTCGATAAAGTCGGTGATCTCCTCAGTACCTGGCTTAGCATTGAGGAAGTACTGCAACATAGCATCGTGAAGGAGAGTGAAACCGTTGGTCTTCTTCTGTAAGAGATGGTTGATCATTTCTTGTAGATATCGCATGATAGGTGCTCGCTTTCCAGGTTCAGCAGCCAAAATCTCTGAGAGTTCTCCAGTCAAAAATGTAGAGGTATCTCTCTCCATGACAGCGAATTCAGCGCCATACCATTCTCGAAGAATAATAGCTCTCTGTTGCTTGGTAGCGACTCCACGGTAGATATCATCGAGAATCCATCCAGCTTCAGGGTGCTTGATAAGTCGACGAACGTGTCCATAAAACTCAGGAACAATAAGGTCTCTAATTTCATCGTCTCCCTGGACCAACAGTTTTCCGATCAAGAATTTGGCGTATCTACTCTCGGCTAATTGACGATATGTTCCCGCAAGCTCCTTTGCGATCAATCGTTTTTGCTCTGGGTTGGAATATTTGATTGCGGTTTGGACAACTCTTACACTGTCATGCTTAAGAACAAAGTCCTTGATTCTGCCAGTGATGAGCTCGAAAAGTTCCTCGACCAATTGTTTTCTCTCCTCCTTTGGGACATGCGACTTTCGGCGTAAACGTTCCCAAATCTTCTTCGTGCGTGCCAATTGATCTGCTAATGGTTTTGCGGCTTTTCTCTCATTTGCCAATTGCTTTTGCTTCGCATGTGCTTCTTTCGATGATTGACCTGTAATGTGTAAGTATGAAAAGCCTTTAACATACTGCTAGGAGGGAGCTCACTGTTTGCGGCAACAGCCTTAACTCTATCTGGATGTAGACCTTCAATGTCTTTCATTTCCGTATCTCCATCCTCGCTATCCCCAGAAGCAGAATCCAAAG